CACTGAGAAAGATTGGTTAAGGTGCTACAGTCATTTAGTGAGAACGTATGGGTTGACCCGTACGGGATGCTACTTGTCGACCGCCGGATTGCTAATGATGCTCGGCAAGAATGACAGGGAGGTAGCACATCTGTCCGGTATGGGGGAGACGGTCAAGAAGATCTGCAACCCGCTGGCTTGCGAGATCGTCGAGAACCCCAGGACGCAGAAGAACTCCGATGTGTTGTCTGGCAAGTTCAGGCAGGGATCGACCTTTTTGATCACTGATTTGGCTCATCATATCAGTACTTCAACTGGCAGGCACGACTTAGGCATGGGACTGCACGACATGGGATGGAACATTGAACTTTAGCTTTTTTTAAAGTCTCGTAAAAATATTTTTGTTATGTAGCGTACGTGTAGTGACGAGTGACATGAACGGGGGTATGAACGTGTGTGTGAACGACATGCGTGCGAGTGAACGTACGTGCGAACGTATGTATGTACGAGTGAGCGTACGTGCGAGCGAACGTGTGAGCGTACGTCCGTGCGTTTGCACGGTCACTCGCCACGCGCGCGCGCACGTACGAAAATAAGGTCGACTTGAGTCGACCTTATTTTTGCACGACCCTGCCTCTTTAGTATTGATTTAGTATTGTAGCGCTTTGCACGTACAGAAATAAGGTCGACTCCAGTCGACCTTATTTTCGCACGTGCGCGCGGACGCGGCCAGTGAACGTGCAAACGCACGCACGTACGCGCACACGTCCGTCCACTTGTACGCACACGTCCGTTCACTCGTTCGCTCACACGTGCACTCGTCCGTTCACTTGTTCGCCTTACGTTCGTCACCACGTCCGTTAGCCACTCGTACCCCCTACGTTCACTGCGTCTCTTGGAGCTTTAAAAGCATTGTTTACGAGGCCTTAAAAAAAGCTAAATTGAACTGTTCAAAATCCATGAAGCCGAAGCCGCACAACCCATTGACAAGCTTCGTGAAACTGTCAACAATGTCATTGAACATTTGAGTCAAGGTCTGAGTGATATGGGACAGGCCACTGTCCATGTTTGGTTGTCCCTCCAGTTCCTGCATGATGCCAAGCCGCCACACAATGTCGTGGTGCCATCATCATTTCAGAAGGAGTTCATCAAGTGCTTGACCGATCTTGACCAAGCGTCATCAAGACCCGTGATCGTTGCCATCAACACCGACTCCCTTTTCAACGGTATGGATTCCATTACTTCCAGACTGGCTGTTGAGTTGACTGAGAGTCTGAAGAGAGAGGGAGTGATGGTAACCACCGATCAGAGAATGTGGAGGTCGATGCACTCACAATTTGGCAATCAATTTAGTCCATTGAAGTCTGCACGAAGAGGTACTCTTGGCAAGAATGCAATTTGGTCAGTGATTGAAAAGAACCTCTTCAGACAGCGCGTCTTCCTCATGTGCGCCTCGAACCGGGATCATGTGTCAACCCTCAACGAGGGCACATATCGACCCAAACATTCTGGCGTGAATCCGGAGATGCTCGCTGATGTCACCGGCGCCACTCAAGTCTTCAGAATTGCAAGCGGTGCCATGACCCCGGACGACTATGCCAAAGGTGACGTGCCGATCTACCAGAAAGGCACTTCCACTTCAGGCTCAACAACTACCAGGTTCAACATGGATAAACGACACAAGGCTCAGTGGGTCGAACCAATTGCCAGGTCCCACGAACTCGAACCTGAGGAATCACACAATTGTTACTGGTTCCCAGTGTTTCCCGACAGTGTCGACTTCCTTTGCGAACATTGCAGAGCCGCCACGACAATGGATGCTATCGAAATTGCCCAGTACAAGCCTGCATCGTGCATTAATTGCTCGGCGAACACACAGAACCACTACCAGAAATCGGCTCCAACGCTGGGCGCACGAAAGTCAGTGCTGTTACTTGCGGCCCGCCTGAAAGTCGCATTTGCAAATTGCGGCTTTGGACAAACTTGACATCGGCAAGGACTTCCAAAAGTGGTTGGTGTTTGCAGCAGCGTCTGTGATCAGCAACAAGAACCTGAAAGATGGTGAAGAGCTGATGAAATCATTGTCCCACATGGGGGGTGTTCGCATTCCCTATACAATCAGGCGAAGGAGATCTTCAAGAATGGCCGAGGCAAGCAATTCAGCATCTACAGGGAAAGGGTCTATGACCGAGGTCCTGGAAAGTGGATTCTGGCCTTTCGGGTCACCAAAGATTGCGGCAATGTCGCATACAAAGATTTCTTTGAACAGGTTGCAGTCCCAGGGCTGAAGGAAAGAAATGAGATCTTTGCCTTTACCAGAGCAACCGCTGAGAAAGTGGGCGACATCATAGAATTCTGGCTTGGAGTTCTTGACATCGCCAGCATGGCCAAGGGCGTCATCGACGTGTTCGATGACCACATCGACCCTACCGAATATCTCAACGGTTTGGAGAAGGCATTGACTGCATTCGGATCCATGGCAAGGACCACCTTCACCACCAACGACAAGAGAAAAGGATCCTTTGATTGTACTCTCCAGACAACAGAGGCAGGGGAAGTTATGACGATTATCAATACGATCCCCGATTACGAGAGCCTCTCCAACTTCGACTGCATGACAGCTTGGGAGAAGCAGCAAGTGATTGAGAAGTTCCGAACGAAGTACAACATCGCGGATGATGTTGATATGGACGATGATGCTGATGCGGGTGACGAAGCCAATGATGAGTTGGGTCAAGGGCTATCAGCCCCGGCCCGCCTGACGAACCAGAAGCTGAGGAAGCTACTGATGCTGATGCAGAAGTCGCCCGTGCTTCCGAAAGATCTGGGAAGCAATTTCTCCTCGATGCTCTTGGGGACTTCTTCGCCGCCTCCGAGGATGTCAACGTCTGCATCTACTGTGGGAGCACCAAGCACACTCATGATGAATGCGAAGATCCCAAGAAAGCAGACATCAAAAAGGCTCTTGATGCAGTCAGAACAGCCCTTGAAGGCGAAAGCTCAGGCTCCGACGCTGACATGGACCATGAGAAGGTGAGAAGACGAAAGATGAATCGGGCAAGGCTGATGAATCCAAAGGGCCAGCAGAACCAGACACGGCCCGAACTGGAGAATACCACTGGTATGACGAAAGCCGTTTGATGTCCGAAGTCGGAGATCTGGATGAACAAGGAAGATTCTGCATTGATGGCCGTGACATCGTCTGCGAGGGGCCAATGACGAGCTACGACCTCAACGACGTGATCAGATCGAGACGCCGTCATGCGTGGAGGAGGTGACATCTGGAAAGTTCCGGACTTCCTTGCAGCCTACACCGATAAGAACACCCGCAAGCTAATGTACAAGAGAGTCGAAGCACCGATGGACGGCTTCTTGAAAATCGTCCCCAACACAGGCTGTCATTTTTTCAACTACAAATTTTACAGCGGTGTTGAATATGGGGTCGATTATCGATTCGGGCAGCACAACAAGCTCTCAGCCTACGAAGACGAAGTGAGCTCAGCCCTGAATCGCATCCTCAGGCATCATGTCGGAAGAGTTTCCGAAGGCCAAAGCTTACCATGTGATGATGCCGGATGGGTCCCAATTGGTGATGTGCTTCAAAATGAAGCCATATGGAGGCGCGAAAGATTGAGATGGCCTCACACGTTCCTGGTTCCCTACGGGAAAGAAAGGATCCAAGAAAATTGGGACGAGCAGGAAGCAACGTTCAGGTTGCAGACACTCTTCAAGATCATGTTTTATTGTGCAAGGTATGGTCGACGTGTTCGTGAACAAGTGCTCGCGTTTGGTATCTTCCCCGACATCGATCGGAACAGTCAGACTTGTCGGTGTAACGGTGTATCGACCGCCACTGACATTCCTGAAGAGGGACTGCTTCTGTATCCTGTCGCGGTGAGAGCTCCTACTGGACATGCTGAAGCTCGTGGAACGAACGACGTCGAGCTGAGACCAACCTTGCTCTCCCATCCGCTGGCACCAAGCACAGTGGTGGCAATGCCGGTCTGCTTCCACATCACATCCAGCCGGAACCTGAGAGGAATTTGGAAAGAAGGTCTAATTCCTGGTGGGCAAAGTGCCAATTCCAGAATATTCACATTCTTCAATCCATACGTACCATGGGACCCAAGATCGTGGAAAGTGACGAAGAGTGTGGACACCAGGAAAGGAGGATTTTCATGCCTCTATATCCCCGCAGAGATCCTGATGAATGAGTTCGACGGACGTCTGACTGATTCAGGACAAGTGGTGACAGACCAGATCATTCCATTTTCCAAGATCAAAGGTGGATGGATTCAGAATCCCAAAACAGCATGGGATCGATTGATTGTGAAGTCAGGGGACGAACAGGTCGTCCGCATCGGACGAGTGCAATCCTCCATCGTTGCGACCAAGGAGTCCCTTCTACGATTGGCCAAGCAATGCCTGAGCGTGGAAGAACAGCCCTATGACGAGCTCTCCATGGATGCAATGAGTCTCGTCGACAAGTTCGAAAACCACTTGATCCCAGAGGGTGGAAAGGAACAATACGAAGGGCGCATCAGGCACGTGGATTACATACTCGAAAAGAAACCGGTCACAGAATCAGGGTGCCGGTATTCTGGGGTGGACTTAGCAAGGCTGTTTGTTGTGATTGTAGTTGGGTAAAAGTTTTTTTGGTCAAATGAACCAAACCATCTTTGATATGTATGTTCCACTGATAATAAACAACAATCAGGTATTTCATCATTCTTTGATTCTTCATATCTATCATTTAAAAACATATGCATATATGACTTTCCTCGTTCTTTTTATGATTGTGGTATTGCAACCAATTGAATTTGCCAATGAGAAAAAAAGTAAAAATGTCAAGACCGCTCCCACTGTGAGATTCTTCTGTCAAACTTCACAGAAGGAGGTCAGCCAGTGATAACAGCAAAGTCAAAAGCTGCAATCAAAACTATGATTTTTGCCCGCTGGTATTTTCAAGCTTTCCAATTTGATACGAGTACCTTTGTCCGTGCCCCCAAGCAGAATTGGCCATGCAATGGTCTGTGCTATTGGATTTCCGGGCAGAAATCACACAGCGAGTCCCTTCGTGGAGAGATTTCCCAGACTATGAGCTGGAATTGGTTAGAAATGTATGCCACTTCGCGTGCCGGATCTGCGATGATACCGACCTTGCTGCCCTGACCTTGTGCTACAACTTGCTGACAAATCTGCGGTTCCAAAACTTAGATGCCGTTGACCCTTGGGAAGCCATGCCTGAGTCCAGCCTGACCTTTACTGGCGTGTTCAACCGTTCAGACGGCTTCGAGATTGTGCCGCTTTATATGCGGTTCAACCTGTTTTGTGAACCAGAAGTTCCAGAAGTGCTTGCAGGCCACATGGCGGAACTTTTTTCTGCGATAGGCGAAATGCCAGTGATGCTTCTGGCAGCTGGGAAGATCAATGATGGCGACTTAGAGTCTTGCCTCAGTAGTGCTTTGCGGGCGCTAAACGGTATCGGCCGTGCGTATTGCCGATATGTGGAAATAGATTGATGTTGGTTCGAAGCGCCTCATGCAAGGAAAAACAAACACGCTTCTTTGGGAGTTGTTGTTCCCCGCTTCCTATTTTCATGGAAGATTTTTCTCTTTTAATGGGGAAGGGATTAAGTAGCTGCACTCTTTTTCAAGCAATGTTTCTGCAAACGTGAAAAGTTCAAGGCCGCCTCCTGCAGAGCAACCCGGAAAGCTCAATTTTTTTCAAGGCAGGCGTCCTGAAAGTGATGTTCAAGGACGCCTCCTGGACAACAACCAGCGCTGCAGAGGTTTTCTGAAGGCAGGCGTCCTGAAGTTCAGAAAGTCAAGGACGCCTCCTGCAGAACAATCAGCATCGCTCAAGTTTTGTCAAGGCAGGCGTCCTGAATGTGATGTTCAAGGGCGCCTCCTGGACAACAACCAGCGCTGCAGAGGTTTTCTGAAGGCAGGCGTCCTGAAGTTCTGAAAGTCAAGGACGCCTCCTGCAGAACAATCAGCATCGCTCAAGTTTTGTCAAGGCAGGCGTCCTGAATGTGATGTTCAAGGGCGCCTCCTGGACAACAACCAGCGCTGCAGAGGTTTTCTGAAGGCAGGCGTCCTGAAGTTCTGAAAGTCAAGGACGCCTCCTGCAGAACAATCAGCATCGCTCAAGTTTTGTCAAGGCAGGCGTCCTAAATGTGATGTTCAAGGACGAACCCTTGGCAAAACAAGTTTTGAGAAGGCAGGATAAGTACTGATTGTTCAAGGATGGCTCCTGGACAACAAGCATTATAAAAGGTTGGGTAAGCAAGGATGTTCAAGGACGTCTCCTGGACAGCCCAAAGAAATGTATGTCAAGGAAGGCGTCCTAGATTCAATTAATAAATCACCTTTCAGCGTTGTTGCAGATGTGCCTGGCCACCCGGGTCATCCAGCAACTAAGCCTCACGGTACCCGAAACATTCTTTCAGAGGAAGCCAGTTCGCTTGTGATTGTGTGTCTCCATCATGTCCAGAAAAGACTGGCCTAGCAATGAACCATGTTCTCTTTTGTGTCTCCATCGTATCATATGGCCCAGTGAATAGAGTGAGTTAAACCATGGCGACTGCTTCCAGCACTGAGCAGCAAGTCCCGGACCCAGCGGTTCTCACTGCACTTGGGACTTTCGACGATGCAGCTCACCAAGCCAGATGCACTTTCAGAACATGTTCCCGGTGCAAGTTTATCGGGAACCGAGAGCGGTGGCTGAAGCAATGCCCCTGGCTGGACTCCAAGTACGATGTTGATAGCAAGCAGTGGGGCGTGGGCTGCAAAGTTTGCTCGGAAGCGCTGTCCCGAAGGCCAGAGATGATGAAGAAGTTCAGTCACCACAGGCATCACTTTGCCAAGTACGAGGTTCGGGACAACAACTTGGTGTTGGACCGTTTCAAGAAACACCAGAAGAGTCCAGCCCACCGGACTGCTGCTCAAATTCTGGACCCTGCAAGCAAAGCTGAATTTCTAGATGAAGGCGGGTTCACTCCAACGACTCAAGAATGGATGTCAGTGCTGACGCACACAGAGCCTGGAAGGCTAGTCCTGAGTGTTCCAGATGTGGGTAGCAGCAAGAAATGCCAAATGATGCGTTACTGTCTTGCAGAGGCACAACAGGCAACGCAACGAGAGTTTTTGGCGAACGCTGTTTGCGTGTCATTGCAGCAAGATGCCCGTGGAAATCGTTTTCTTGTGCGCTTCAAAGCCTGCGATGAAAACTTGGAAGTCAGACAAGGCGTGCTCCATTTGCAGAAAGCTGTGTCAACGGTGGATTTGCCTGGCGCCGTCGGGATCAGACAGGCGACCATGAGGGCATTGAAGGAATTCTTCACGACGGCAGCTCCACCTTCATATGGAGGGCTTGTCACGAATGATCCCAAGCCTCATTTCCACGAGGATCTTCTCCTCAAGGTCATTGACAAGATTGAAGTGTTGGCCGCGGATGGGGCGGCAGATGAGCAGCTCGCTTTGCGTGAGATGGCTGGAATGGCGGGCCCGAACATGGTGCAGTTGAAAGACACCATGACGCAGGTCTTCCCAAAGCTCAAGGCCTGGCGGGTCAACTAAATTCCACAGTTTGGTTCATTATTTTTGTTAACAAGAAATGCTGCAGCCGATAGGTGGTGGCCAAAGACCGCTGCCACGCTGCGCAGAGGATGCTGTCACGTCCCTGGTGCGCTGATGCCTTCTTGAAAGACATTATTGTCCAACTGGTGGAAAAACCTCATTCTGTTGCAAGGCTGATTGTGAATTTCTCAGGCATCAAAGAGTTGTACAATGATTTCAGATCAAAGACAACAGAGCCCGTGAAAATTAGCAAAGCAATCAAAGACTTGGCATTCGCACCTCAGCGATATTCATCCGAAGCCAAAGTTTTGGCCCGGTTGGTATTGACCTGGGACAGTTGCCTTGCCATTCTCACATCTGTTCCAACCATGCGGGGGCCAAGAAGTCCCGAGGGAGCAGCTTGTTTGGAGACATTGCGGTTCCTGGACAACGAAAAAATGCTTCAGCTTGGTATGTTAGCAGATTCAGCTCTCGAATTGCACCGCGTTGTCAAAGACCTGGACTCTGACAACTTTGATGAAGCTGAGTTCCCCGCTGAATTGGATCTCTACAAGCAAATTCTCAACAAGCTCTCTGTTGATGGCTTGTGTTTGACTGTTCCTGGCATGACCAAGCTGATGCTGGGGTATTTGCAGCAGCCGCGCAGCGTGCTTGTTGCAGATGTGGCCAAAACTTTGGGCGGCAACGCAGAAGATCCAGTCATGAGGCACCAGTGTCTGAAGCGCATGGCGGCATACACGGTGGTAGCAGAGGCTGTCATGAACGGCGAATTTCCCAGCTTTGAACTGATGGGCTGCTTCAAGGTCTTCAGCGTGTCTGATGAAGCCAAATCCAAACAGCGGAGTCAGAGCGGTGAATTGCAAAATTGTTTGCAGCGCTTGGCTCAAGTGATCAATGTGTGCCCTGCAACCCTGCAGTATGAGTTCCAGAACTTCTACCCCCTCGCTGCAAAGTACGGCAAGCAGGGCCTTCGCACGTTTGAAGCCTGGAAAAAAGCCATTGAGGTGACTGCCAAGAGAAGAGCATCTCACAGTACGGATGCGCTACTGCCTGTCCTGGCACGTCTTGGGGCATGGTCTTGCTCATCTTCGTCTGTGGAGAGAGGCTTCGGAATTGCTCTGGCTTCCAAGCAGCTAGGCCAAGGCCAAGATGAGCACCTTCCATCTGAGGAATCCGTGTTGATCATCCAGCAAGACATCTTGCAGGGCTCGGCGGCTCAAGACCGAGACTTCCGACAGGTCATCTTCAAGGCCAAGACTATTTGGGCAAGCTCCTGCGCAAGAGTGCGTGCAAGTGGCGATACCAAGCGCAAGACTCGGTGGGACAAGGGTGTTGCCAGGACAGGGACGCACTGTGTCTAATCATTTTTCATTTTGCTTTTGATACACAGCATGTCGCATTTAAACCACCCTTCCGTTCCTTTGTCGCAGGAAATTCTTCAAGTCTGGAGAAGCTGGTTTCCTGCAAGGTCGTGAGATGGTTACCCAGCAGCTCGCTGGCCATGCTGGGGAGAACCCATCCTTGACCAAGACTTGCACTTCGGCAGATGAGATCCGCCAATACATTGGGGAAAATCAAAAACAATTGAAAGAAATTGCTTTCAATGAAGACAAGAAACGCAAGGTCCTGGTGGACGAAGCTCTGCTCAAGACCTTGAGGCCTGATGACATGACCCCAGAGGTCCAGAACGTTGTGCAGCGGGAGGTCGCCAAAATGGCCAAGAACCAAAGGGAAAGAACCAATGAGCAAGTTCTGCAGCAGAAGCGTGTGACGCAGAAGCAGGCCACTTGCAAGACCATGTGTTTGTTGATTTTTTTCAATGACTAATTCTTTTCAGAATGTGTTAGTATAGCATCTATATTTCATGTCCATTCCTGAAGGTAGCTTGGCGCGACGATGTCCTGGTCTACGGCCCCAACCGGAATGTAGCAATCCATGCTGCTCGTGTGTTTGTAGCAGATGATCCTCACCAGTGCAATGTCTACATGAAATTTTTCGCTGGAGCCTTGGGTGGCTTGGTTGCGAACAACATGTTTGTGGACACCAAAGGTGAGAAGGGCATTTGCGTGGCCTTCAAAGCTGCCATCTCGATCATCAGGCGGGTGTTCGTTAGCCCTCAGTTCATGGCAGCCAACGTCAATTTCTGTCAAGACCTGCTGGAAGTGCTGAAGCTAGCGGATTGCAAGTGGCAGCTGCTGAGGAGAGATGAGCTGGACAAGGAAATCCAGCGACTTAATCCCAGCCGGGCCCGGCAGCTGATCATTTTCCATGCGCCTGCAGAGCATGGCTTTCCTCAGAACGTTCATTGCTTTTCTGCGCTTGATGCTGCAGTTGGTGATCCAGTTATTTGTACAGTGGACCAGAGCCGCTCGCGAAGTGGCATTTGCTCCTCATACTAGAAAGTACCAGGGGCGCAACTTCCAGGGGATTACATGGAAGTGTTTGTGAACAAAAATTGCGAGAGCGGCTCCTCTGAAATTGCTCACATGTGAGGTTTCTTTTCTTTTTTGTCTGTCAAAGCCTAAGCCGTGAGCTGCTTGTCACTGGTCCGGTGTCACTGTGGTAGTTTCAAATTCCAGAGCCTCTCACGGACCGAATGCAGCTACATTTTTGTCATGGCCGAAAAGAATTCATGCATCGGGCACTCGACTATTCAAAACACTGTCTCTCCCTACCAGACCGACCCTCGATACCAGCAATTTCTCGGCTCTTGACAGCCCGTTTTAGTGCTCAAGTCTAGGCAGCCGACTGGGATAGCCTTTGCCCACCAGATGGCCACAGCCATGGTCCGCACAGTCGCCTTCCTAGCCGTGATGATGGTCCTGGTGATGGCAGGCAGTGATGATGCACCGCCCCGGCCTCTGCTCGGCAGGGTGTTCGGTGCTGTAATGTGCGCAGCAGCGCCAACTCGCCCACCAGTGGTGCCTGCGCCAGGGGTAGTCCCTATGGCAGGACCAGCAGTTCCAATGGGGCCAGCAGTTCCAGCCGGCGTCCTGCCAGCAGGACCAGCAGTTCCAGTGGGGCCAGCAGTTCCACTGGGACCCGGAATGGTGCCAACTGGGCCTGCTCTGCCAGTAGCGCATATGGCTCCGACTGCGCCGATGATGCCAGGTGGAGCTGCGCCAATGACGATGACGCATGGAGTATGGCAAGGAGTTCCAATTGGGCCTCCTCACCATTATCCTTCGCATCTGTTTGGTGCGCCAGGATGCGGCCATGCGATGACTGGTGGCGCCGGAATGCCCGGCCATTGCCCAGCTGCTGTGCCGCCTGACCGCTCCACAGGGACCACGCCTGCTGCTGGAGCGCCTGGTGCAGATGCTGTGGCAAAGGCATCTAGTAAGGCATGATGTGCCTCCTGCAGACACAAGCCCATTACCTCCTTGGCGAAGCAGCAGACGTGGCGCGACGCCGGAAGCTGTTGAAATTGCCCGTTCGCCAAGTACTCCCGCTGCAGCCGATCCAGGGCCTTCGGTTCCAGCACCTTCTGGCAGCGCTGTTCCTGCCGATGCTACAGCCGAGCCAGGGGACAAGGGCATCAATTTTGCCCTGAGGGATTGCAAAAACTGCCACAAACGAGCTTATGCTGCCCGTGGCTGCTGCATTGAATCGAGACTGTGAGACTTGTTATATATCGCAAGTAACAATTTTTACTTGTTTTTTCCACTGATACTTTTTTAAAGGGGGATAAGGATCATTTTCTTCGGTGTGCGATGCAAGCACCGCTGTCTCCCAGGAACTCTTCAAAGCCTACCAGACGACGAAAGACAAGGGCGCCAACAACAAGAAAAAAAACCGCGGAAAGAAACGTCGCACTTGGTTCACTGAGCATCGGAAGTGGGCGTCAAAGACAGGCGACGATGAGGAAGATGAGGACGACGAAGAACTTGAGGACCACGAGCCGACCTGGTGGCACAAGCACCAGCCGTGGCAGGACTGGAGTAACAGTCGAGGAGGCGGCGGCAGGGCCTCGCGTGGCAGGTGGGCATGGGCATGGGTCAGCTGACCGAACAGGACCTCCTGGTACCATAATTTTTTGGAAGATAAAAAGGCTGCTTGCGTTTGGAGGTGGGACGGTTAGGTCGCGGTTTGAGGGGGTGAAGGGTTGTCAAGGCAGGTGTCCTCATGCAAGGTTCAAGGATACCTCCTAGACATGATACATCAGATACTCGTAGATGTTCAAGGACGCCTCCTGGAGAACAGGTCAAGGCAGGCGTCCTGAACTGTGCGTTGCAGGACCCTGGGCTCCAAGAAGTGGTTTCAAGGAAGATCTCCTAGACAAAAAGAAGAGAAAATGTTGTCAAGGAAGATCTCCTTGACGCCAGAGGCCAGGCTTTTGCTTTGTTTTTTCAAAGTGTTTTGGCGACAAACAGTTGGAGGCAGGCAATGTTTCCTGAACCTGTCGCCTTCAAACACATTCATTGATTCATCCATGGTTAAGTTGAATACTTACCATCGGATCATCCTTGCTACGAACGCCTCCTTGCTAAAGTTTTTCCACGCTTTGGCCGCAATGCTAAGCATGACCGCGGCACAGGCTGCATGGCAAGCAAATACGTCTCAGGCTGTGGTGTTCCAAGGGGCGCTTGCCCACTGAACACCGCAAAATGAAAGCAATATGAAACCTATATAAAGAAAAATCGTTGTGTCTTAGAGGACTGGCCACCTGGGAACATCAAACCCGAAGACGTATTTACCCGCCGTGTTGTCAGGTGACCGGTCACGAGCTCACATTGCAGTCAGTCATGTTTCAGGCGTTGCTTCTCTGATAGCGTCAGACAACAGCAAGGCTGGCGCGCATTGCAGCCAAATACGTCTTGGATTTTTCGGTTTTGATGTCCGGGGCGGACAACAGCAAGGCTGGCGCGCATTGCAGCCAAATACGTCTTGGATTTTTCGGTTTTGATGTCCGGGGCGGACAACAGCAAGGCTGGCGCGCATTGCAGCCAAATACGTCTTGGATTTTTCGGTTTTGATGTCCGGGGCGGACAATAGCAAGGCTGGCGCTCATTGCAGCCAAATACGTCTTGGATTTTTCGGTTTTGATGTCCGGGGCGGACAATAGCAAGGCTGGCGCGCATTGCAGCCAAATACGTCTTTGATTTTTCGGTTTTGATGTCCGGGGCGGACAATAGCAAGGCTGACGCTCATTGCATAGCCACATGTTTGATGAATATACTATTTCTCTTCTTATTTTTTCTCACACCGAGCAGAGAAGCGGCTGCAAGCGGATTTCTCTGTGTGGCTGTGAGGACTTTGAACCTTTGACTTCATTGAATCCTGCTTGTTTGCAAATTCACATTGACACACAGCTTCTCTGCTCGGATTTCAGTGACGCATAGCGCCGCCCTTTCGTTGGCTTGCGCGTGGCGCCTAAGAAGCAGAAGGCAGCGCTGGCGGAAGGCGTTGTGGAGCCACCAGCCAAGAAGGTTCGAGGAAAGAAGGCTGCAGCTGCACCCGAAGGTGTCGTTGCTGCTGCAGAATCAGCAGTAGCCCATCAAGATGCGTCCACTGGAACGATTGCTGCGCCAGAGGCCATGAAATGCAATGGTGAAATTTTTGCAAAACATTTGCAGAATGTGCGCGTGTTTCGGGAACAGGCAGTAGCACAAGACCTTGTCCAAATGAAGCCGCAAAACAGCGGTTTTCTTCAAGTCTTCGATGCTCAAAAAGCCTTGGCAGCTCTCAAGCAGGAAGGGCGGTACCAGTGCTGCATCAACTTGATGTGGCTTGATCAGAGTTACAGCACTTCACCGCATGTGCCGCTGAACCAAGGCGCCATCTCGAAACTGAAGGCGCATTTTTTCAGCAAGCCGCAGAGACTCGAGCAGCAAGCGCTCACAGTAGCGATTTTGCAAGCGGAACTAGATGCTGGCACATTTCCGGCAGTTGGCACATGGAAGCGAGTCTCTCCCGAGGAGAGTGTCATGGCATGGTTCGAAGCTGCGTCTGATGACGCGGCGCTGTTCAGGGATGGGGCAGCCGAGAAGGAAGCCGATGTGCAAGAATGGCTGCGCCATTGTTTATCGACATCGTGTTTGATCAAAGTTGTGGATAGCCTGGGGGAACTTCAATGGGTCAGTGCCCAGCTCAGAGAAGACATGTCCCAGCTGGCAGTCCTGCAGCGCACTCCAACACAAAGAATCTTCGATGTGGTCTCCAAGAAGGAAAGCATGGGAACGAACTTCACAGCTGAGGCGCTGGTCCAGTTGTACGACAAGAAGTTGAAATGGAGCTCCACCGCAGAGAAACTGTCAATTGGTTTCTTGTCTATTTAATCTGTCGTTTTTTGGTTCTTTGCTCCTTCATCTGTTTTAACTTTCAAGGAGGTTCATCGGTTCATCTATCATTGCCGCTAGGCTTTGTGAATTCCAGCTGTCTCATCATGGACAGAGCCCTTCGCATTGAAGCGGTGCTGAAAATAGTCTTGCTGGAGGAGGCAAGCGACGATCCCATTTGGAAAACCGTGAGCTTGCTGCAAGGGACTGTCAGCAGAACCTCTCGTCCAGAAGAGGTTCAGTGGCTTTTCGAATATATGAGGGATGCCAAGTTGGCAGGTTTCTTAAAAGCAGATGGTTTGACGACACGGTCGCTCCTTGGCACGTCAAAGGATCACAACAAGGGATATGTGGACCTGGTGCTGTACAAGCTGCGGTTCAAGAACTACTGGGTTTCTGAGTTCCTCACCACAGAGGCCAAGGACCTGAAGGATGCTTACAAAGCATCGCTGCGTGAATTGTGCCTTAAGACATCAAAAGTTTCCGCGCAAAGGTCGGGTATCCAAACCAAAAGGCTCCCTTGACTTGGAAAGCTGGCTGGCCTCCATCAGCTGATGCAGCCCTGCAGTTGTTCGAGGACCTCTGCCTTCTTTGCTTGTAAGGATTTTGTTGTCATATTTCACGCTGGATTCATTATAAGGTCGTGCCATTTAAAAATCATCTCCATGACTGCAGGACCTCCTCTTCCGGGACACCTACGATGATCACCTCAAGACTGGCTTGCGCCAGGGTAAGGCTCCAGTGGATTGCTTGCAAGTGGACAATCCCCTGGGCGAGAAGGTGTCTGAACTGAAGGCACTCTTGAGGCAAGAAACAGATGCTCTGAGGGCTGAAGCAGCGGTAACTGCTGCGCAGCAGCCTGCCGAAGTGGTTGAAACAGAAGAAACACGCATGAAAGACCGTTCGCCTGCCTTTGTCTCCTTTCTCGAGAATGTTCAAGCAAAAGTAGGGGAAATCAAAAACGAGGAAACTCTGCAGCTCATTGGCACCTATGAAGAAAAGGCGAGGAACCTTTTCAACAGCAATGTCAGCTTGGCAGTGCTGCCGAACTCGGCAACTGACATCGGCAAGATCTTGGATGCCTCGACGGCTGCCGCTGTTCGAGGTTCAGGTCCGGCCTGGACTGGTGTGCTTGTCGATCCGAGCCAGTGGGGAGAAGCCATTACATCTCCAAACATCCGAAATCCTCCTTTGAACTTGCAGCTGGTGAAGCAGTTCATGAATGCCGTGATCCGCAACAGAGACAAACAGTCCCTGCAGCTTCACGATCGGGACATTGTCATCTACTTTGATGGCTTCACCCCGAACAACACAAGCAAGGTCCTGGCTTCCATGCAGAACTCATCAGGAAACGTCATTTCCAAGAATGTTATGACGGTGTACTTGTCTTATGATGAGGATTCGCTGCGTGCCAGGCGTCAGTACGTGAAAGCGAACTCCACCATTTTCCAACAGATTGAGGTGATGTCACTCGTGACCCATGAGCCGTTCAATGACTCCATGACCTACCGCAGCCGAACGCTCTTCAAAGGCTCCAGCCTTGGCAACAAGATCGGCGATGTGGTAATGGATGCGCCTGGCACCCTTTGGAGCTTGACCCTGAAGGATTTTGCGCCCGCAATGCCTGCGTTTGTTCTGATTCATGTTCCTCTTTTATATTTTCTTAGACATTCATTCACTAAATATCAGACCAGATTGTCGACGCATGACACAGCAAAAGGCCTCCGTAGACCAATTGATTTGTAAATGGTATACCGCTCTCGAGTGCAAGCCATAATTCCTTTATCATACATAAGACTGATTGCTGTTTTGCACCAATACGCATAAATCTTCTAGACCCCAGCCTCACAGGAGAAGATCGATCTTTTTGGAAAATACCGAGTCGCAGTGGGAGGGCGAACAACAGGAGATGGCGATTCGCACCGAGGGGTGTCTGCAAGGAAGCAAAGCACCCTCGAGCCGGTGTTCTGGCACTCGAGACCATTGGCCTTGTGCTACGAGGTGATCATGTCGTACAACCTGACATCCATTGTGGACGCAGGTTCATCGGATGGAAATTGGGCGCTAGCATGTTGCCTCAAGAGAATTCCCTACCAAGGTTTCTGCCTCACAGAAAAACATTTGGAGTCTGTGACGGAGAGGGTGATCACGGAATTGATGTTGAAGATGCTGAGCAGCAAGAAGCCTGTCTACGAGCCAAAACTTGCAGCCCGTTACTGAGCAATTTTCATGTATTATATATTTCCTTTATTTTTGTAGAAGAAAGATAGATAGATAGATAGATAGATAGATAGATAGAGAGAGAGAGAGAGAGATAGAGAGAGAGAGAGAGAGATAGATAGATAGATAGGTAGATAGATAGATAGATAGATTGATAGAAAGATAGATAGATAGATAGATACATAGATAGATAGATAAATAAATAGATAGATAGATATATCATGTTCATTTGTACATACATGAGGGTATTTGTCTGATTAATTTGTCCATGTTGCAATTTTCCCATTCCAAGTCTCAGGTTTGGGCGGTGACCGCAGTGGTGACCGCATTGGCGGTGCAGGTAGCAGCTCTGGCCAGACGGTACCACCTACACCGGCTACCAACACAGTCACCCCTGCTGCCTCTGGCAATCCTGCAGCAGGATCCGGTAGCACTGCTACGGCTGTGCTTGATGAGTTCCAGCGTCAATTGCAAGGCCTGTCCTGATCTGAGCGATGGCACTTCGGTTTCAAGATATCTGCTTTTGAAGCGGGCCATCCCCAAGTAAATCATAGGGCCTGACCCGGAGCCAATTTTCCATGGATGTGCCAAGCGCCAGCACAGTTGCAAGATATCTTGGTTTTGAAACCGAAACCGGCTTCTTCTCCCCAAACCTGCACTGGCACTGCCAGCGAACCAAGGCACCACAAAAAGATTTTACTGCCTGCAGTTTGTGCAGCTTCCAGTTTCATGTGGGTAGACTGTGTTGGCTCGAGTTTGCCACTTCTGGTGTTGATTGCTCATGCACCATTTCCTTTTACGGCTCTTTCAGGACAGAGAGAGCAGCGAGAACCTAGTAGAACCTGACCTGCGCAATGGCAACATAGCTTGCAGGCGCCCCAGCGTGCCTCAACAAGCAAGGCCTGTGGAAATGGCTAAGAAAGAATCCAAACCCAAGACTGTCCGGAATAGGAAGGGGCAGAAGGCCAAGACTGGTCTTTCCAAGCCCGTGAAGCTTCCAGAAAAGAAAAAATCGAAAAAGCCAGGCTCCAAACAAGTCACTGTTGGAGAGAAGGTTCCGCTGGAGCCTGAGCTGCCTGCCTCCCAGAGCTTCTGTGGCCAAGCTCCCGCTCTCCCCTTGGGAACATGGACGATGGCCAGTGACTGCAGTGGTTTGTGCACAGAGGGTTTGGCTTCGAATCTGACCCTCCCAGATGTCAAAGTTATCCACAAATATGCTTCTGAGTTGTGCCCGAAAAAAAGGACGGGCAGCAAGCTGCATATAACATTGTTTGTTTTTTGGTAGATTCATGTTAGTTGCAACCATTTTTTCATTGGGCTCCTTTCCAGGAAATTTATCGAAGATGTCATTGGCCCAGACCATCTTCATGCCGATATGACACAAAAGGAGTCTCTTCCAGCAGAGCTGTGGGCAGATTGTGATCTGTACTGCGTTGGATTCCCGTGTCAGAGTTATTCCAGAGCAGGTCGAAAAGGAGGCGCCCAAGATGACCGAGGAGCCCTTATGGCGCATGTTCCTGCCCAAATCGTGAAGCATAAGCCCAAATCATTCATTGCAGAGAATGTATTGGGATTGCTTCAACTGTTTCCAAAGCAGTTCAACTGGTTGATCCAGACTCTGCGTGGTTTGCGGGATGAGCGTGGGACGCCTTGCTTCTAGTATACCTTAGTATCTTTTTTTGTTTTCGGGGATTAAACGTACAGGTGGACACCCGGATTCATCATCTCACCGCTCTGCCGTCCAGATCCTCACAGGTTACAACGTCTATTGGGGCAAGATGTCTACCGTTCAGCATGGAGGATTACCTCACCACAGGGATCGCTTGTACGTGGTGGGAATTCGTGCTGACGTGCAGATCCGGGCATTCCAGTTCCCAACGCCTTTCCCAAGACATATCACTTTGGAGCAACTGTTAGGACCTGGAGTTGAACCCAAGAAGGACTTGGCAAGCATGACTGTGGATGCTGATGGATCCATGCTGAGCAACACAGTTCGTAAGAACTTGGCGCAATTTCAGAAAGAGGTCTCTCAAAAAAACCTCCTCCATGCTGACTGGATCGTCGACTGCGGCGGGTCCAAGCCAACATACATGTTGGGCAAGTGCCCATGCCTGATTCTCAGCAGGTGCAAGGGGAAACATGGTTACTGGAGCCAATTGCACCAAAGGTTCTTGGGCCCCAAGGATTTTTTCTTGCTCCAAGGCATCCCTGTGCATTCCTACTGCTACGATTCTTCCAAGCACACAGCTAGCACTTTGGGCGAGCTGGCTGGCAACGCAATGAGCGTTGCAGTTGTGAGACGAATTGTTCGCCAGATCCTTTTGGCCAGAGGCATCCTGGACGAAAGGGTTTAGTCTAGCCATTTCCAGAAGCAGAAGACAACATGACGTTGCTCAGAGTTTTGAAAAGTGACGCTGCTCCTGTCACAAGAGTTCATGCTCAGAGTCCCCTTTCGATATGAGAGTTTGATAATTTCAAAACAACACGGTGTGAAAAGACCTGGCCCCACAAGTCTTTATGTCGCGAAACAATAGGATAACAGATGATCTCTGGAACCATTTGAACGAAAGGTATCAACGCAAAGACTGCCTCCTCGTTTTTTTTTAACATGATTTAAGCAGCACAAAGGGGGTCGCTGAGCCAGTGATGTCACAGCCTGCGCTGCTTACTCCTGTTTCTGCTAGTGGCGTTCCGGACAAAATCCTAGAGAGAGAAAGAGGGAGGGAGAGGGAGAGAGAGGGAGAGAGAGAGAGAGAGACTACCTTCATGAAGACATGTCTGATAACATCTGATATATAACTATGAGTTGGATCTGGTCAGAAATTCATGGCCCTGTGCTTTGCTGCCCTGACCTTGCGCTACAACATCCTGACACATTGAATCCCGTTGTCCCTTGCAGGAAGGACATGCTTCAGTTCCAACCTGTCCTTTGGCTCTCTTCCATACTTCGAGGTTTTAGTTATCGGCGCTTGTCAGCCTGATAATTTGAAAATTTGCTTGCGCTTCCTATCCAGCGTTAAGTCTGAGAGACGCTGGCAAGGATACTGCTTTTGGCAACGAAACGTCAAGTCCTTCACCTCCTGTGAGCGTGGGACCAAGGAGGCGTCCCACGCCTCCTGCACCCACCCTAAGGAAGGCATTGAGGGAGGGACATGGGAGGCGCTGAGTTAGTTTGTTGGCGAGCGCCACCGTGTGCAGCGGGGAGGGGCTGCACACAAATTTGGAATGTTGACATCTTTCCCAGAAAGAATTTCAAAGAAATGTTGAGGTAGGTCATATATGTATATGTTTTTAAATGATGGATATGAAGAATCAAAGAATGATGATACCTGATTGTTGTTATTATCAGTGGAACATACATATCAAAGATGGCCTGGTTCATTTGACCATAAAACTTTTACTCAACTACAATCACAACAAACAGCCTTGCTAAGTCCACCCCAGTATTGTCCTCACTGTCTCAAGGAGACGCCAACAGTCTTTGCCATTTGCCTGTCCTGCTGGACAGCCCTCGAGAGTCATGGCTTGAAGCCATACAGAATCATCGAGGAAGAGGACGAAGAGGTAACCACGAAGCGGCAAATCGACGAAGAAGTACGCCGGCACAAGGAAACTATTTTCAAAGATGTTGTCCACGAGGCGCAAGAAGGTGCTTCTCAGGACAACGACTATGGATTTGACCCGAATGAGGTCGATTATGATGAGGAAGGCGACGAAGAAATGGCCGAAGCTGAAGAAGAAGAAGAAATCGTCGCCGATGATGAAGTGGAGGAAGAAGGAGAAGAGGCCAGAGCTGCCCCTGAGGCAGCCAGAATGCCCAAGTGGGCATTAAACCTCGACGTTGGAAGCATCCGCCTGCCGGCAACAGGGATGATCAACAATGACTCATCCGAAGGCGCGGCGCAGCTCTTCGACAACGCAGTCTTGGCAAAGGTGATGGGCATGTACAGGCACTACTACAGACAGAGGGTCCTAATGACACCAGAAGACTACCGTGCCGAAATGACAACCGGCCGGGTCGGTAGACTGGACCTTGACGGTATCTGCCCATACACCGGTGAGAACGAAGATGGGTCGCTCCGACGTCCCACCGAAGAGGAACTCGACGTGATGTTCCGTGCCAAGGCAAAGCAGGAAGAGTGGATGCAAGGGGAAATGATGTATGGGGGGCGCCCAAGGAATATGCCCATGACCGTGGTCAAGACACTAGAGATCTATGAGAAAATCTTGGAACGATTGGTGTTGGCTGGGTTCAAACCTGGGGAGCTTCAATTTCTTATCCCCATGAACAAAATGAATGGCACCGCCGAAGAGAAGAGCGAGATGAGGGCCAAAATGAGCAGCTTCCTCTGTAGACTGCTGAAAAGTGCTTTCCCGAATTCAACGCAATACACCTACTTTCGGGCTGGTGACCATGGATTCGAGGATTGCATCGAGATCCCTGCATTTGCCGTCTATTTGACCTACAGGGAGCAGGAACGACAGTTGGAGTTGCTGGTGACGGCATCTCAGTGCAACGTGAACCTCCCGCAAGCTTTCATCGGAAGGATTGCACACGCAATCAAGCGTGCCGAACAAGAAGCTGCAAGAGGACATGTGCGATGGCTTGATCACATCGCACCGAACGTTGATCCAAAGGTCGTTCAAAATGTCTACAAAGCAATTGGAAGCACCGAGGGCGCAAAGAGAGCTATGGATGACGTAGCAAAGGCTGAGGCACGCGCGTCTGAAGCTGATGCCAAATCGAGGGGTGGTCCAAAGGCCTATGGTCCCAGATCACCTCCACCAAAGGTCGCGCCCACAAGTGCCCCAAGCTATTCAAGCTCTTCCTCATCTGCAGCAGCTGGTCCTGCAAAAGCCAAGCCTGCACCCAAGCAGATGCCAACGTCAGCAAAATCATCCCGGCCATCTCCTGCTGACAAACCACATCCAGCACCTCAGTACAAGAAGAAACGCACCGATTGATCTGACTTATTTTCTTATGACTTATGATTACTGAACATGCCTGGATACTATGTGGTGTACTCCATCTTCATTGATGAACATCTCAAAGAATGACTGGTGAGAGGACTCTGAGCGAGGCCTAGTACAGGATTAGCTTAGTTATTTTCTTTTCACCAAGTTCAATTCGAAATCCTTTATCCCAATTCGAGATTTCCAACCTTTTTTGTACATTTGCTGGTAGCTAGCTGCGAAGTCAGTAGTGATATGGTGACTCCAAACCGGTAACGCTCAGCGAGCGCCCGGGGAGGACGAACCAAATCTTTAGCTAATTAAGGCATTTGTACAACGACATAGAATTTGATAAGTTCCCATCCTTCGTGTTTGGTGAAATCATATCACACCAAACATGGGGGGTGCAAATGGGGACTAGACGGGAGTACAGTGTCTATACATCCCGTTGTATATTTCAAGGGATTGACTGCCAAACGCAATGTTTGGCTCAAGTGCCCATATCAAGGAAAATCAACTGTGCTTCCGCTGCAGCCATTGAAACGCTGGCAAACACAAACGCTAGGTGCTCTGGAAACGAATTGGTAACATCCGGAACAGGGATTATTCTGTTCACAGAACCATTATTCACCATTATCAAGCATTTTTTCAGTACCCCATACGTTCATGATTTTCAACTAGGGATCAGCCGCCAAGGCCCGGTTTCACCAGCCTGGCTGCAGGGGAGGATGGTTGTTTAGGCATCACCCCAGAGGTGCCCTTGGGGCGGCTTCAGGAGTTTTTGGAGAATTCGAAGAAGTTTCTACAGCTTGGGAATTTAGCTGGGTGTATTTTAATTCATTTTAGTGGTCTAAGAAAATCAGAACATGGAAATTTTCGGATTGGTATTTCCGATTTTCTTAGACCATTTGGAATCCATGTTGATGATTTTTTGCCAGTGATCTCCCCATGACAGGGCGACGTGCACCGATGGGTGGCCACTGGAAACTCTGGCACCATCGCCGCGGTGCCCAGAGGGGTTGATGCCACTTGAAGATCTTGAAGTGGAAGCACCCTGGAGTGTTCACCAACAAACATGCTGTTGATATCAGGAGGAAAAGGGTTGATTTGTTGATATTGTTTGTGGTAAATTACCAAATACATCAAAATACACGTTTAACTTTCTTTGGCAAAACTCAACGGATTTGAAGACGCAGAGTCACCTGTTGTTCTTGTATCGCTGGGTCCATGTTCTTAAAAAACATGCTTGATTCCTAGTGTTCCATTGGAAAGCTGGACTCGCATCTGACCACTGGCTTTGACAGACCTCCCTGCTAGATTCTTAACTGGTTGGTGGTTTGGAACATGTGTTATTTTTCCATATAGGAATCATACTCCCATTTGACTTTTTTTCAGAGGGGTAGGTATACCACCAACCAGTAATATAATTCCTAATTACATATCCTCTGGTAAACTATATAACTATGGAAATCACCATTTTTCATGGGTAAATCAACTATTTCTATGGCCATTTTCAATAGCAAACTGTTTGTTTACCAAGCCGGGTACATAATATGTCCATATTTCCTTGGACAGACCCCATCCTGGGACACCAACGCCAACGGAGCCAGACCCGTGGTTTCGCCATGGAGTGGACTCTGTCGGTCTTGAAGGACGAGGTGCATAGCCATGGCGCACCCATCGGTGATTCCGGTAGATCAAAGACTCAAAACAAGAAAGCAGCAAGAACGTTGGAATTTTCTGAGCTTTCACATGTAATTCGAAGTAATTCGAAGATATTCGAAGTGGGGATGTATTTTGATTTTATCAATCAGAAAAGAATATATGTATACATTTTGATGTTATATATGATTAATGTTTAATGTTTCGAAGCGCAGTACTTTAGCTGCTATTATATATGTTAAATTTAAATAAATTTAATACACAGCCATGATGTGCCCATTGGAAATTTGTCCCTCGCGTCAGGCGAATCAAAGACTTCAGCTACGCGACATCGTTGGAGCCCAGTCGAAACCAACCAAAACGAAGACATCTGGAGCACCAACAAAAAGAAGTCCAACAACCAACATACAATAACTATATATAACTATATTGATCCTAATATTGTGTCTTCAAGTATGTTAAACTATAAGTGGAACAAAAACTCTAAAGTCAACTCTAAAATCGAACCCTTCTTGATTCAGCTGTCAAGGCCTTGGGCTACAGAAGCCAGTCGCCTTCGAGGTCGAGCGACAAACCTCCTGGAATCTACGGTTGGGTAGACATGATATTCATGTGGATGATCAACGTTGTTAAATCCTGTAAGTAATCTATGTGAATGTGGATAATATATCATGGATAATATTTAATTATGGATAATATATCTATATAATTAAACATCAAACATATTCAAACATCCATTAGCAATCTGGTTGGTGGTCTCGAACATGAATTTTATTTTCCATCTATCGGGAATAATAATCCCAACTGACTTTCATATTTTTCAGAGGGGTTGAAACCACCAACCAGTAATGGATAATAAATTCGTTGATGATATTCATGTGGAGGATATTTGAAGACACTTGTGCGAAGGTCAATGGAACATTGTTACCATTTATGTTGATATTGTCATAGATCAGTTTTCACTGGAATGGGATTTGCCACTGCCAGTCAAGAAAAAATACCGGAGGGTGCCTCCCTATTTCTTTTGTCTTAAAATCCGATATATTGCTTTTGAAATGCCAATGTTCAGCTTGTTGATTCCAGGTGTGGGCTAGATAAATCAATAAACCCATTATTTGTTTGCTTAAATCCACATTCTTAGGCGGTCCAACAGGTGGTTGAGTATGGTTGAGTATGGTTGATGAGGCGGTGAAATGAGGGTTAATGATGGTTAATGATGGTCAACCATTATACACATACGCATACATGTTTACTTATACATATGTGATCACGTATGTATATATACATCCCTGGTACCGGTCCTTCATGCTGCTCAGGCTTTCCTGTTGCAGTGGCAAGAGTCCCAGGCACCCAGCGCCATGGAATTGGGAGGAAATGAAACTGAGAACATGGCAGACAGGGCATCTCCACATGCATTTTTTTAGGGCCGTGCCCAGAAATCCGTTCTTTGCAAGGAATCAACTTGTACGGCTTGGATCATCTTGTCATTTCCAGGTATTCATGTAGCTTTGAAAGGAACCCGTGTGGTTCAACCGCTGGCAAAACTCTGGCTTCAGTCGGTCCCACGTCGAGACAAACTGGTCTCATAGACTTGTGCCTCACATGACGGGTGCAGCCCGAGCTGACTAGTGGCTTGCCGCGGCCGCGCAGATGCACAGGTTCGGCCATGCACAGACACTGCACTTTTCATCCCCCAAGTTGAAAGATTGCTACTTGGTGAGAAGGTGTGGCATTTTGAGCAGCTTTGTCCAATGAGTAAGAGGGCAAAGTGTCCGAGTTTGGGTACATCATTGCCTACTTGTACTCACAGTTACCTCTCCCATTCTCGTTTCCTTGCTTGCAACTGCAGGCCAGATGCTGATGCCAAAAGCAAAGTGGTTTCAGTAGAAATCCAGCGTCAAGTGGAGATGGACATGGCCAGGACTGCTTCGAAGGATAACCAAAACATCAAAGCGCAGTTAGCTGATGTTGGTATGGGGATTCTTTTGACTGTGACAAGTGCAATCCTTCTGCCAAGTTGACAACGACACAAACATATTATGGAAACAACCTCAGGAATACTTAGCAGCATGAGCTCAGCATGAGCCTTGGCAGGACATACTCGAAGATGTTGTTTGGCCACCAGGTTGCGGAGCCAGAAGTGGCGAAGAGGCGCCAGAAGTTGATCGATTTGATGACACTTAGATCACCGGTGCTGAGGAGCTGACCTGGTCATTGAAGATATGGGTAGGGCCGGGTACCCAACAGGATCAACTAAGGGGGGACCTGTTGGGAGCCCAGTCAATCCTTGGGGAAAGCACTTTTCGGGCTTCCGATGTGTGTAGCATAAGCCCCTGATGTCATGGATTCGCCCACACCACCAGCCAAAAGAGTGGGGAAACACTTGAGCTCCAAGAGCTCCTTGACCGATCTATGATCTATGTAATATGGCAAACATTGGCATACAATACTATTTATGACTATGTAATCATTCTGCCCTGCACTGCACAGATATGTGTACATATGATATAAACAAGTTGTGATCTAAACATGGTACAGGCTTCAAACCAAACGATCTTTTCTCATGCAAGCTTCTTTTGGGGCTTGGCGCGTGCATCTATTCATTTGCAACAGGTTCAGCGTAAGTTTTCAAGTTTTGTGCACAAAACTTTTAGATATATCTTCTCCAGAAAGTGTATTACATGGATCCGCTAGCACAGTATGTTTTTTGAAAGCCGTTTCGAGATGAAAGAGCTATTTGTTCTACAAGGAATATTTCCTTTGTGGTGTTTTTCAAATCTTGCCATTCCAAGAACAGCATTCAAATCAGCGCTGGCTTTTCTCCTCAATCGCAGCATACCTGGGCCACATGAGTTGACTCATCCAAGGATCAAATGGCTTGAGAATGAGGAGACCCTGACATACATGCAGGGGATGAATCATGTGCCGCGTGCTTAGCTTGTGGCGATTCCACGTCCACATCCCAAACACGTCCACTGTGGCAATCGCAAAGCTTAGAACGTCTTCAGACTGGTAAATGATTTCGCACATTTAAGCATAATTGTGTGCAGGACTTACTGGATTTACATGGTAGCATGTTGGGCACTTCTCCTTCCAATAGAATCCACAAATGTTTTGCAAATTACAGAACATAGATGTGATGAACATCGTGGGTGCCGCTGGACCACTTGAGGATGGCGACATGTTTCCGCGAGACACGGGAAGAGAAGGCAGCATTGCAAGTTTTTGACTATGTGATCCGGCAGGAGGGGGGGAAGGGCATGGGACGAGCCAGTTGGTACGCACAAGATTGGATGTTTCGTGCGGCAAATGGCACAGTCCGTCGTCGTATGTTTTCCTCATGGGGCCCTGATGCTTGCGAAAATGAGGGGGCTCAGCCTGCAGGCCGATGAGAACCTCTTTCACCCAGATGGTGACAAGCTCTTCGCTGCCAACCAGGGGTTAGCTGGACAGCTCCGAAGAATGATTCAAGTTGAAAGCCCCACAGTGGCCCAAAGGCTAGAAGAGGTGGACATCGATTACCTCCCAATGATTGCACCTTGACCCAGATTCACTGGAGAACCCTTGAAGAAGTTTTCCGGTCCTTTCTGCCACTGAAGGAGTAGCGCAAGGAAAGGATCTCACAGATAGATCATGATAGATCCATGATCCCTTCTTCCTCAGGAAACAAGAGCTTCTCTTGCAAGGCTAGACTTCCAAACACCAGTGCTTAGGATCCCATAAAATGCAGTGTCCGCCGCTCCCATTTGCTCGGCAATTCTTGATATAGGTTTTTGAACGTTGTTGTGGTGACCAAGTGGATGTAGTGAAGCTGGTGTGCAGCTGAGGTACAAAACTGGTTCATCGATATGTTCCTGCACGTGCTGCCCACAGAAGCAGGGGCACGTCTTTGGGACCATGTTTTGGAGTCCCAAGGAGAGAGATGTGAGCCAGAAAACTCCCTTTATTAAAACATATTAAAACCAATCTTGTGTTTTTTTGAAACAGCTCAATTCAGCTCAATTAACAAAATTGGGCATGCCAATGAGTCTGATTGAAATTTAAAGATTTTAGGCTTGTTGTCCATGGCTCGCCGAGCGCAGCAGATTAACGGCGGTTCAGCACGCAGCAGGTGCTTCCCAAGTTGTGGGAGGTACTCTACCACCATTGTCAGAAGCACTTGCCAGGTTCAACTCCCAAATTTTCTGACTCCCTGTCCTGCCAGACACCTTTGCAATGGCACTGGCGATGCATATCTTTGTTCATACAGCTTGTCATACAGCTTGCAGATGCAACTGCAGCTAGCCCCGCAAGGAGTTCCATTGAAATTTGGAGTTCAGTTGCTCCTGTCCGGCAAGCAAGCCACTTGGCCTGGGTGCTCGAAGTCTTCTCAATGTCTTGGTTTTGACGGGACCTTGTAACAAATTCCACTCTTTGCATCCCAAAGTATTGGATTATCATGGACTGCCCATGAACGGTGAGAATCCCGAACCACCCAAAAATGTTGAGAGCGGCCGTTGAGGGGGATGTAACATTTTAGTTCCAAAGTCCTAAAGGCACGGTATTTTACAGTGTTTTATGCTTGTCATTGTTCTAAACACACAGTAAAATGCGTATAAAGGTTCCGCTTTAGTTGGTTCACTGCTGGTTCACTGCAATACCAACATTGATGGACAGGCAAACATACATTAAAAGCAGACACAGTTTGTATTGTGCATGATTTAAGCAGCTGCATGTGGAGCGAATTTCCTTGCGAAGCAGGCTTGCAGAGAACAAGGCAACCATGTATTCCTGTCTTCGTAAAAAAGCTGGGCTGAATCTGATGCTTCTCTCGCTAGACCAAGCCTTTCAGGCAATTCTGAGCTGCCATGAGGAGGATTTGCAGGAAGTTCTTTCCGAATTGCCAAGTCGAATTCAACGCCGCCTGGAGATGGAAGATTTGGCTGGTTCACCGCAATTTGAAATCATAGGAATTTGAAAACGTGCTTTATAGAAGAAACCCAGCCTGCTTCGGATTGTTTGACAAACTGTTACGCTGCTACCCAAGTTCAAGTTCTTTTGGCCAAGGCTGTACCCCGCAGTTTGCCCATGGTTGCGTCTATGTACCTCCAATTTACGTTTTGTGCGCTTGAAAGAAACATGTGCCCATGCCTGAGGTCCAGAAGATGTGGACATACTTCTGCATTCGGACTTGGCGGATAAGACAGAAGCTGTGCGCAGACAGCCCCACCTTATGATTGATCCAGTGCTAGGAGGCAACATGCCTCCAGTGCAAGTTTTTGAGATCAAGCCGACGGTGAGAATGCCACGTCGTTGGCAGCCGTGGAAGTTCATCTCCGTTGCCATGGTGATTCCTTGGCTATTGATGCACGCAACCCAGCAGCCCACGCTTTCGAAACAAGTGGCCCCACCAATGCTGCGTAAGGCCTCCCTCCCGCCAGTTTTGCATTTCGTGCCCATGCACGAGGCAAATTGGCCAAAGTGAAGGGAGCAATTTTCTAAGAATATGATTTGGAATTCAGTGCTCACAGTGGCTGTCCATTCTCATGTTGGGCAGACCATGGTGGTTTGATTCCAGCTGACATGAAGGTGATGCAAATCCCTTTCGTTTGCTGGACTGTACTGGTACAAAGTTCCGTCGAAATGCTCCAGAGGGGACATTGGTTCAGCACTTGGTACTCCCAACTGCCCAAGTCGTGGCGAAATCCCAAAAATCTTGAAATTAGCTTGGGGGAAGGCTTTTGTGGAAGTCGTGGCGATGCGGCGTTTAGCTTTTGTTTAGGGTAGGATGCTGTTTTACTATTTCATGTAGACCTAAAGTGGCGAAGCGGCGTTTAGGTTGTGTTTGGGGTAGGGCGTTGTTTTACTATTAGCATAGTGCTATCAAGTGGAAAATCTCAGGACAAGGGACATCCATGCCCCCATCATTTTGGCTGCTTACTTGGCGGACCATCCCATTTAGTAACTGGATCTAGCTGGTTAGTGTTTGTGGGGTGACTTCCACCCCACTTATAGACGGAATAACCCACTTAGAGGACTTGTCAACCAGGTTACAACCACTTACTACCCTTTGGCAATCAAACATGGCACTGGAGTATTCCCTATACATTACTTTCAACATGTTTAATGGCTATTTATAGAGTGCTTTTCCCCGCCAGCTATGTTTGGTGACCGGAGTCTCTCTGCAGGTCGCGTGGGAGGTTGGTGGCTGTAGCGCTGATGGACAGCGGAGATGTCTTTGCCTCGCAGGCAGGGTCATGGGGGCCACCTGAGTTGTGGGCGAAAAACGTGTTGTTGATGATGATGTTGATTAATTATATGTGATGAAGTGATGATGATATTGTGATGATACTTGATGATGATGATGATCATCATGGTGATGATTGATGATCATCATGATGATGATTGATGATTGATGATTGATGATTGATGATTGATGATAGCTGATTGATGATTGATGATTGATGATGATGATTGATGATGGATCTTGATGATGATGATGACGATGATGATGATGATGATTAATGTTGGATATTTGATGATAATTAATTAAGTGATTATATGTGATGATATGTAATGATAGTTGATAGTATGTGATTATACTTGATGATATTTGATGATATGTTATGATACCGGTATTTCATGGTATGTGATGAGATTTAATAGGACAAACCATTGATCTTTTTTTTACGTGAATGTTCTGCCCAAACGCAAAACACTGTGATGTAAAAGCATGAGGCCCAGCATTGCAATGCAGAAATGGTTTGGGACCCAGCAATAATGGTCACCAAATTGGGTTTGTTGATCGGCGGACGACCCAATGATACATCAGTTTTTACATCACTGCAGTCAGCACCGAAGTCACTAGCCATCCAACATGTTTCTTGATATGTACTGTACGTGGCAGCATTTGCTCCATATTGTTCCATATGTAATCAGTGTAAACTCAACTGATGTAATTAAACTGGTATATCAATGTGTAACATATATGTATACATACATATACATACAATAAGTCTATAGTATCAATGACATACGTACGAATAATAAGTACAATTAATTAAACTCAGCCGCTAGGCATGGTACGACGACGGCGGCGATGGGCGCGAGGGGCACCTGCCTATGAGTTGCCCCGAGTGGCAGCCACTGCCGGGGGACGTGGACGCCATGGCGGCCATGTCATGCCATAGGAAAACCATAGGAAAACCATAGGAAAATTGTGATTTAATGATGGTTTATGGTGGTTTAATGAAATTTAATGGGATCTACCCGGCCTGGTAAACATACAAAAAACTATAGAAAATCCACCATTATCCATTTTTAATGGCTAAATCCACTAATTCTCACAAACTTAAGAATGCATCCCAGATCGTAAGGTATTAGTTTGTAGGGGTTTGCCCTTCATGACTTTCAGAAATGCCTACCTGATCTCAGAAATGCCTAGGTGATTTGAAAATGACATAGGCATTTCTGAAATTTAGGTAGGCTAATCTGAAATTTGGTAGACTAATTTGTTGTCCAGAACGTTGTGCAAACAAATGTGGTTTCATATGTTTTTTACAAAATATAAAAAAAAAGACAAAATATGTTCAAAAAGATAAAATCTAAAATATGGTAAAACGTTGATTGAACGTTTACCTGCTCACGATGCTAACACGTTGTGATTACGTTGGCCAGCTCAGTGTGCAGCTGAGTCATTTGTGTCAATTGTATGAAGTGATGAGAGAAACTGGGCATGGATTTGACCTGTTTAGCATGGAAATTATGATTGCATGAACCACGTATGGTCCATCCATTTTCCATTTTTATCACCAAAATGGAATCACACCTTAACTTCGAGGCCTTAACTTCGAGCCTCAGGGTTGTCAATTTTGTCCTTGTTTGTTATTTGTTTGTCATGTGCTGTCATTGTTGTCATTTTTGTGATCTTTTGTTGTCTTAAAACAATGAGTATCGATGTTGCTCCCAGAACATAAATGTCCCTTGTCAAAACACATAGATCTTGTTTAATTTAATATAATATTACTTATTAGGTTTGCATTTTCAAGCTTGCCTAAAAGTCAGGTATGCAAAATGTAGCGGTTATTTCCAGTACGAGTGTCGTGTAAAAGTGTCCCAGAAGAGTGTCACAAAATCATAGCGGGAGCGCCGCTCATTTATGGACACAGCCTGCCACTAATTTACGGACATAGCCTGCCACTAATCTATGGACATTACCTTCCAGTAATTTTTGGACATAACCTGCCACTACTTTATGGACACAACCTGCCAAGATTTTATCGACATAACCTGCCACTAATTGATTGGCATAGCAACTAATCTATGGGCATAACCTACCACTAATCTACAGAAATAACGCCGACCCCGGATGGATCAGTCAACTCGGGCAGCAGTGTCTTGCGAGAGTGTCCACACCACAAGGTTGTCCCACAGGCTGCCACTAATTTCTGGACATACCCTGCCACTAATTGTACGGACATAACCTGCCATTAATTTATGGACGTAACTTGCCACTAATTTGTGGGCATAACCTGCCACTAATTTATGGGCATAACTTGCCACTAATTTATTAATAGCTTCCCTTACCCCATTGTGTCACCCCCTTGTCTGTCAGAAGGGACGTCTTCATCCACTCCGCCGGGAGCCTTTAGGAGGGTTACAAGATTTGTTTTTATATATTTTTTATTTAGGATCCTTTTTCTGCAGGGTAGGATTTTTGTTCTTGGCATCCAGGTTCGTGGCTTCACTTGGTTAGCTAATACGGTTGTCTGCATCCTCACTTCATCTGGCCGTTGCCACTGTAATGCGTGTAGCGACAGAAGGGGGAGCTAGGATGATGAGGGGAGCGAAAGAACCAATAAGCAGACTAGTAATTTTCCGTTTGGTTTGGGACTTTGGGGGGCGCCTTTTTGACCTATTTTTGGAGCACCTTTTTGGGGCTAAAAAGTCGCCCCTTTTTAATCCCCAAAGCAGTACCAAACCAACGGGAAAATTGCCAAAGCAGACCCTCACACCCTAGAAACATCCTTTACGAAAAGGTTGAAAAAACTGTTTTCGTTTTATGGCTCAAGCGACGACGGCGACAGTGGAAGGAACAGCACTTGGAGTGCAAAGAGTGGCAAATCTTAGGCGACGCCATTTTTTCATCCCTAAACTCTATAAATGGCACTTAGGGACACTAAATTTAGCATACCTCACTTCTAGGCAAGCGTAAACATGCATACCTAAACTCCATTAATTCCATTTAGGCACACTAAATTTAGCATACCTCACTTTTAGGCAGGCACTCTTGCCACGATACTCTTGTGGACACTCTCGCGAGACACTGCTGCTCCAGTTGACTGATACATCCATGGTCGGCGTTAAGGCCACAAATTAGTGGTAGGTTATGCCCATAAATTAGTGGCAGGTTACGTCCATAAATTCTTGGCCGGTTATGTCCATAAATTAATGGCAGGTCGCGTCCATAAACTATTGGCAGGTAATTTCCATAGAATAGTGGCAGGTTATGTCCATAAATTAGTGGCAGGCTATGGGACACTCTTGCGGGACAGCAAGAAACTCTTGCCACGACACTCTTGTGGACACTCTTGCAAGACACGGCTGCCCCGCTTGACAGATCCACCCGGGTTCGGCGTGATGCCCATAGATTGGTTGCAGGTTATGTTCATAAATTGGCAGGCTACGTCGGTAAATTACTGGCAGGTAATGTCCATATTCGTGGCAGGTTATGTGCATAAATGAGTGGCAGGTTGTGTCCATAAATTTAGGGCAGATTATGTCCATTAAATAGCAACACTTCTGCTATGATGCTATGACACAGTTTTGGGACACTCTTACAAGACGCTACTACTGGAGATGAGCCCTAAATTGAGCATACCTGACATGCATGCAGGCACTCTTGCCACGGCACTCTTGTATAAACTCTTTTCCCAATGTTTTCCATGTTGCAACCTTCAAGCTTAAGGTTCAAGAAAATTCCGCGCGCAGCGCGGATTTTTTTTTCTGTAAGTATTCACGCTACGGTACTATAAGCAAAAACAGTGTTTCATGAAACTATTCTGTAAGCATTCATGCTGCGGTACTATAAGCAAAAACAGTGTTTCATCAAACTTTTCTGTAAGTATTCATGCTGCGGTACTATAAGCAAAAGCACCATTTCATCAATTTTTTTTGTAAATATTCACATCTGTTTGCTTTCGGTTTCAAAAAGTTTGCAACAGCGTTACATTTTTTCATGCCTTTGGCACTGTCAGCAACTACCAGTTTGCTTCAAAATGTCTCAATCTGTCCCAATATGTCTCAAAATGTCTCAAAATGTCTCAAAATCAACTCAATTTTTCTCAAAACTCATTTTGAGACATTTTGAGACATTTTGAGACATTTTGAGCAATTTTGAGCAATTTTGAACAATTTTGAGCAATTTTGAGCAATTTTGAGCGGATTTTTGGGGCAGGTATGAGACATTTTGAGACATTTTGAGTTGATTTTGAGCAATTTTGAGCAATTTTGAGCGGATTTTTGGGGCAGGTATGAGACATTTTGAGACATTTTGAGTTGATTTTGAGCAATTTTGAGCAATTTTGAGCAATTTTGAGCGATTTTGAGCGGAATTTGTTCGGCCAGCAATTTGTATATTTGAATAGTCCTTTCAATCTACATGTCATTCCTGCACAATTGGAATTCACAAATTATGGAGATTGAAGCTAGGTCGTAACGTTTTTGCCCATTTTATTTTAATATTTGTTTTAGTCTAGACGCAATCCTTAGGCCGATTTTGAGCAAACTTTTCTGGCCAGGCCCATTGCGTTTGAATACTTGTTTTGGCCTATAGCAAGCCATTTTCGAGCAATTGAAAAGATTTTGAGCAATTCTACCCACATACCATCCATATTTTATCCATCTATTATTCTTAATTTAGCGTCCATATAACACATTCAATATCGATTTGCGATCAACGTGTTATCCATAAGTTATCCATGTTTTATCCATGTATAGTATCCATTCATTGTCCATTTATTATCCGTTTAATCATTGTTTATCCATTTGTTGTCAATTGTTTATTCATGTATTTGGCATTAATCATGCATTGGATTTAGCTATTATCAATCTATCATCCATTAATTATCCATTTACTACCCATATATCACCACATATTGTCTTGTGCTCGTCCGTTTGTTATCGATGTACTAGCAATTTATGTTCCATGTATTTTCCATTCTGTCATCATTGTTTCATCCATATGCCATACATATATCGTCCAATATTTTTTTTTGCTTCCATATATTATCAGTTTCCTTCCATAAAGTTTCACATTTCCGTCCAAATGTCCAAATATTATCCATTGTTCAGCCATTATATCCAGCTATTATCCATTTGGCTTTATGCATTATCCATGTACCATCCATGCTTTATCCATATAAGAATACTATCCCTTTTTTACCAATTGTTCATCCATGTGCTATCCATCGGAAATCCCTCCTCCAAGATGTTTAAAGTTGAAAAAAGGCAATGCGAAATCCCTCCTCCAACAAAAGGCCAGCGTCTGGGACCAAAAGCAAGGGCAGCATTTTTCAGTATAGACTCAACATAAGGCCAGTATCTAGGACCAAAAGCAAAGTAGAAAGATAGGCCATACAAAATTCCTTGTCCAATCTGTTTGAAGTAGAAACAGGCAATACGAAATCCATTTAATTTTTTATAAATTGAGTATCCATTTATAATCCGTTCATTTCCTGAGTTTCCATTTATTTCCAGTTTACTCGCCAAATATTTTCCAAATTAAATCAAATATGTAGATATTATCAATTTAGTGTCCACGTATTTTCTTTATATTATCCATTTATCATCCACTCATTTTCCATGTGTTATCAACGTATTTTTTACAACTTATCCGTTTATTATCCATACAGCATCGGAAACGACGTACGGCATGGAAAACAACAAATGCAACAAGACTATGCGCAAAATCCTCCACAAATAAAATAAAGTGCGACGTTGATTATTGAACATGCGTGTATTATTGTAAAAATACATCTACATATATATATCTCTCTCTCAAATATATATATATACATTTGTGTATATATGTTCCTTTTGCCCATTGCATGCCTACGCAGAATCACACATGTGTGCCAACATGTGTCAAAAAACGAGCCTTCAAAACAAACCTTACAAAACCACAGTCTCCACTGAAACTTTGTTCCCTTAACTAAAGTTTGTTTCTTGCGCAAACAAACCTCAATTACTGAAGAACAAACCTCAATTAAGGAAACACATCGTAATTAAGGTTTGTAAACATAAATGCTAATTAGTTAGTGCCTTTTTCAAAGGATAGGTATGTGTGCACGTCCACACATATTGACTTTTCAATTTCCAGGTCCACAACCGTATGCATGTATACACTCAAGTGTAAACAGGTATGCCAGTAGATATTCAACAATGTTCACGGTTAGATACTGTTGTAAAAGCACGCTTTTATTATATAAAAAACGTTTCATATCTATGTTCTGCTTGTATATTTCATTTCCTGCGTACACATGGTAGCGTTAAAAAAGCGTTTTTGTTTACACATGTATTTCTGCTTGCGTACATAAGACATATGTGTAAATATTTTTTGGTGCTGGCCAGTGTTGGCAATGTGACTATATGCTGGCGCAGCGATCAAACATCAAACTTTATACATTACCCAACGAATGAAAAATGTTATTCCCTTGAAAATATTCATTTTTTCTACTTTTGAAGTTGCTGACTTGTTCGTGTTCACATGTTAGGTGGCAGCCTCATGACAATTGACCCAAGTGACAAAGGCTATTCACAACGGCAACAATGACAACACCATATTTCATGTCAGTTCAAGCTTTGAACAAAAACCAATGAAAACACACAAACGCAATACCAAATTTCATTTCAAAGGTTCATTTTTTGGTTTTTGGGTTCAAAGTTGTTCAATGTCACGTTTTCAAACCTGTGAAACACGTTGATGTTATCACGATGCTAGCACGAGTCACTTTTGGCTCAAAATAGCTCAAAAAGTACTTTTTGAGATGCCCAAAAATCCCTACAAATTAATCTCCCCACAAGCTGGTCGCCATTCCGAAGTTTGTGAAATTCTATGTCCATGTTCCATAGCAAACTGTTAGTTTACCAGAGGGGTATTCATGGTTTATTAATGGGAAAATCAATGGTTTACTAATGGGTTATAATAGGATATGAAAATGGTCCGTAATGGTTTATAATAATAATTCGATTCCAATAGTATAACATAAGTGAAAACATGTGAAAACGCATTTTCGGACGCTTTTTATTGGAGGCTCCTTACAGTTCACCAATGTTGGGGCCCCCATCGTATTCCAGGGACTGGGCTTTTTTGGGAGGGGTCCATGTTTGATTTCATAGGATGAAAAAAAATATGGCCTACCTTTGGAACGGAATTGCATGGTGTATCTGGAGATACCTAGAGTATGTTGCCCAGTTTTCTGAAGAAACATGTTTCGATGCAACGGATGATATCGGCCAAAAAGGGCGTTCGAGAACAGTGGTGCTTCGCATTCTTCATGCTGGATGAAATATGTGGGTTCTTCAAACCTAGCTTCGATACTCTAAGATGGTGAAATAGAAGATAACAACGGAATAGTAATATTAGTAATAGGATATTCATGGATTGTTAATGGTTTATGTTATAATCATCAAATAATGGGATGAACAGAACCCTTTTGGATGGTTTGGATCAAAGACCATTTTGGGATATCTCAGCTTGAACCTTTGCTGACGATGAAAGAAATTCCGCAACATTTCTTCATCTGCCACTTGTGGCTCAGAAAATCATTTGCTGCGATGCATGGTGGGCCATGGCGAAGAGTAAGAAAGGCCCCTTTTTGGGCAGTTAATTATGGAATTGGTACTTTGTTTGCTGACAATTAGGGAATACTTAATAATTACTGTATGTACCCAGCTTGCATCAACTCTTTTGCAGAGTTACATGGCGGCCATGTTCTGCGCTTTAAAATGGTAAAGGCTCATTGGCTTTTTTGCCTCACCAGAATTGGTTTCTGTTGGAATCCAAGAATCGAAGCTTAGCGGCTTAGCCGTGATGGCAATGGATATGGTTATCTAAGTTATCTCTGAAAAAGGTGGGTATACCCCAAAATGGTCACTTTTCTAATGGAGAACAAGATGAGAATCCAAATCTGAATGGGAGCTTCATTGAGTTTTGTCATGCGTTTTCCCCTACATTTTGTGATGAAAACACATGACAGGCAGCCATCCATGTCTCCCAGGTCCCTTGGGCATCGAGGTAGTCCAAGAGTTCTCACTGCCACTGGGACGTCTTTGCGTCAGCGTGGGATCTGTGGAACGCTTCACAGGCGATGCCATTGTGAACGCCGCCAACGAGGCTTGTGCCTCGGAGCACTGCCGGGGGAACGGAAGAACAGTAAATATTACAATTACTGTATAATATTGGGTTGACTTATATATGTATTTAATCCACAATATCATGTATTTAATCAATCTTAATCACAATATCAATCTTATATAAGATTAAATATTCACGATATGATTAAGTAAACCCAATGTCATAGATTGTATATGTCATAGTCGCCATCCCTAAAATCGCCTGGCTTCGATTCGCTTCGATGAGTTCGATCGAAACCATCCCCTGGTCACTGGAAAAAGCGGCAGATTGAAACTTCCGATGGCCTTGCGCAGCCTAAAATCACGCAAATCCAATTTTTCATTGATGTATATTGTCCCTATTGGATGATTTATTTCAAAGCTGAGAGCGAATTTTTTTGGGGGTGTATCGGCTATACCGGCTATACCATCCATGAAAAAAGACATGACCAAACATATCCTTAAACATCATATTGGTGAGTCGGATCCTCATCTCCCTATTGTTATCCCAGTGTTTTTATCCCACTAGATCATATACTATATCCCATTTGTTGGTGTTTCCCCATCATTACGCAACGATATCCTCGGCTGAGGTCTGGGTGGCGGAGGTGTAGATGGCGCGATCTCCAAAGCCGGTGGCAAGAAGCTGCTGGACGCGCGCCGCGCGGCTTCAGAATGGGTAGAAGAGCTTCACAAGGCCATGTTTTCTAGAAAGCTCTAAAGATGAGGTATCTAAATGTATCCAAAATGTATAGTCTATAGATGTCTATAGAGGATTGTTGAATATTGTTGATATTGTTGGCTTTTGGCGAAACTTCACGATATTTCTGCTTTAAAAGGTCGCCGGGTCGCAGTCGGGATCTTTAACCCCGAGGCAAAGGCCTTCCGGCCAAGAGTGGAAAGAGCCTTGTCTGTTAGCTGTGCTGTTTGGGGAATCATGTTGATGACTTTGACTTCAGAAGTGAGAAGTCAAAGAACATATGATGAAACATGAATTCAATGAATGAAACCGTCAATCTTCAGTTTCATAATCAACTTCATCAACATTTCAAGAAAAACTGGATGGTGGTTTGGAACTTGTTTTATTTTTCCATATGTTGGGAATAATCATTCCAACTGACTATACAATATTTTTCAGAGGGGTAGGTATACCACCAACCAGTAATATAATTCTTAATTACATACTCTCTGGTAAACATACAAAGAACTATGGAAATCACCATTTTTCATAGGAAAACCACCATTTTTCATGGGAAAAACACCATTTTTCATGGAATCAACTATTTCTATCCAACTTGGGGACTTCTTGAGCCATTCTCGAGGAGATGTCCCACACGACACGCCGTCGTGACGACCGGCGGGGACCTAGCAGTGACCTGGCGAAAAAAGGTGGCTATGGTGATGAGTCCTGTCCGTCCTGGGTATTTGTGGAAATTAAATAGATTCTCCATTGATCCATATTTATAATATTTAGGAATATTTAGGATAATTTATAAATTTGGATATGGATCAATGGAGAATATGAGGATCATTAGGATATAATATTTAAATATTTATAATAGGATAATTTAGGATATACAGTAGTATGTACATACTAAATTGATAGATAAATAGATAGATAGATAGGTTCCCAGGAGTTGCAGAATTCCTTGGAATACACAAAAAGTCCAGGACAATCTTTGGCAGGACGTTCTTGGCATTGACTATCGGGGCCTGTGGTCCCTAATATTCCCTAATTGGAGGGAAATGAACCATACGGAAAAGACGTGGCAATATTCAGCACCCAATTCAGAGTCAGAGGGAATATCATGGCAAAGGTCGGAATGGTGTGACCCACTTCCTCAGTGATAAGACCAAAGCAACAACATTCAACAATTGCTGAAATATCACCATTTATTGGTTCTATATGGTAGATATCCCATTACCCATAGGATCCATGTATGCTATATATGGTAAACCATCAATATACCCCCAATGTTAGCATATATACCATACATGGATCCTATGGGTTATTTGTTAGATATTTCAACAACCAAACAACAACCAAAACATGGGCGGCTTAAATCCTGTGAACTCCCAGCCGCTAGGCGAAGTGGTGCATCCATGCCGTGGCGCCGCGGTACCCTGGAAAGGGCACCCCAGGGGAGAAGAATGCGGCACAACTGGCGGTTCCTTGGAAGCTGATGGGAGAAATCCAGACTTTGATGGAGATACATCCCATATCACCCCATATCATCCCATGATTTACGTCTGTACAGGATTTCAGAGTCACCTATGTTTGTTACTGGTACAGGATTTCGCAACCATCCACAGTATGGAAACATGGATATCTACATATATATATATATATAGATAGATAGATAGAAAGGTAGATAAATAAGATAGATAGATAGATAGATAGATAGACAGATACATAGATAGATAGATAGATAGATGGATAGATAGATAGATGGATAGATGGATAGATGGATAGATAGAAAGATAGATGGATAGATGGATAGATACATAGATAGATAGATAGATAGATAGATAGACAGATAGATAGATAGATACATAGATAGATAAATAGAGAGATAGATAGATAGATAAATAGAGATAGATAGATAAATAGAGATAGATAGATAGATAAATAGATACATATATATAGATAGATAGATAGCTAGATAGATAGATAGATAGATAGATCGATAGATGAATATAGATAAATGAAGATAGATAGATAGATAGATAGAAAGATAAATAGATAGATATATAGATAGATAGATAGATGAGATATATGAATTAGATGAATTAAATGAATTAGATGAATTAGATAGATACATGAATTAGATATATAGATGAATTAGATAGATAGATGAATTAGATAGATAGATGATTTAGATCGATAGATGAATTAGATAGATAGATGAATTAGATAGATAAATGTTAGATATATAGATGAATTAGATAGATAGATGAATACGATAGATATATTAATAAAATAGAACGATGAATGCAATAGATAGATGAATGAGATCGATAGATGAATTAGATAGATGAACTAGATAGATAGATGAATTAGATTGATAGATGATTTAGATAGATAGATGAATTAGATAGATAGATGAATTAGATAGATAGATGAATTAGATAGATAGATGAATTAGGTAGATAGATGAATTAGATCGATAGATGAATTAGGTAGATAGATGAATTAGATCGATAGATGAATTAGATATATAGATGAATTAGATAGATAGATGAATTGGATAGATAGATGAATTAGATAGATAGATGAATAACATAGATAGATGAATTAGATAAATAGATGAATAACATAGATAGATGAATTAGATAGATAGATGAATTAGATAGATGAATAAAATAGATAGATGAATTAGATAGATAGATGAATAATATAGATAGATTATATAATAATATAGAAATATTAATAACATAGATATATGAATGATATAGATAGATATATAAGATAGATAGATAGATAGATAGATAGATAGATAGATGAATTAGATAGATAGATAGATAGATAGATCGATGGATAGATAGATAGATGGATAGATGGATAGATAGAAAGATAGATGGATAGATGGATAGATAGATAGTTAGATAGATAGATGATAGATAGATAGATATATAGATAGATCATACATGGATATATAATGATATGTATATACATATATATAGGTTGGTCAAAAACCACAGATCCGAACAGATGAGTAAACGATGGTTGAAGGAGAACGACTCAATGGATATGGATGGATGGTTCAAAAACCAATGCTATCATTGCCTTTTTATGAATAACAAACAGAATAACCAAATACTTAACCATGTAAAATACCATTCAATAATAAGTGTTTATTCATATTCCAAATTGAATATCACTTTTGAATAACAAATAACTGGATATAGTTGGAATATGAATAAACACATGTTTTTCGAACGTGTGGATGTTGTGCTCATATTGGCTAAGTGCATGGTTCCGTTCTCGATTTTCCTTCAACCCGCAGTAGTGCGCAGTAGTGTTTGCATATTGATGGACGAGTTTGAACACGTAAACCATCCCATTTTGCAGGTGCCGTGTCCATCAAAAACAATGAGCACGATATAAAACAATGAATTTCGAGGGGCAGAACCATTCCTTTTTGATCCTTTTTTTGTGAGTTCTACCCCCATTGAAACGCCCAGATTTGTTTTTCGCGTCGAGGACTGCGACGCCCTACTGGAAGGTGCTGCCCAAATGGCCATGAAACTGGCAGCAGTGCCCTGGTAGCCCTATGGAAACCTCCTATGAAGTTGTACGATGTTGTACAAGGCTAGATTTAAAGATGTTTATAGTCTCAAAATGATATTTACACTTGTTTGACAATGTGTGAATATATCCCGAAAAAATGTATCCCAATTTATGATTACAATTCAATGTCGGTCATTTTTTGTCGGGCTGAAGATCCCAGGAAAAGAGGGTGAAGACCATCGCTTTTCCCATCCTCGGCAGTGGCATCTTCCGGGGCTGTCGGTCATTGAAGGAGGTGGTGGCTGCGAATCTGCGTGGCATCTGCGCTGGAGCCTATGAAGGTTGGGATCGGTTGGGGCTGCCACGGTGTCCTTAGAAAAATGGTGCTGTTTATAGGGCACGTCTGTGGGTTTTGGGATCAATTATATCCAATGAGAAATTAAAAAGATCCCGAGCCGAAGATCCATCAACATCAACAATACATCAACATCATATAATATATATATATATATATATATCCTATAACATCATATTTTTCATGGTATTCACAAAGACAAATCATGGCAAATCGACATATTAGTTTACAGGGATCCACTATCCATCAGCTGTTAGGTTTGCAGACGGTCCACCTGGTGTCCTTTCCTGGAGATCCTGAGAGTCTGCCGGTGTTGTGTCTGGGATGCGAGGTGGGATGATTTGGGGGATGCTAATCACAGATGGAAAGTCAGATACTTCATCTTTGGAAGATGAATTCCATTGGCAATTCCATCTTTTGGGATCTTTTGGGCATTTTTGGGCCATGTTTAAGCATTCCACATGTGTTGGCATTCTACATACGTATGGTTTCACCACGTTTCACCATGTTTGACCTTCAATTTCTCGAAGGGTAAACCATGTATGGCGAACCCGAGGTTGGACGCCGTAGCGTCCCTTGCGTCCCTGGCCTCCAAAAGTGGACCTGAGGGCCCCCTGCGGAAGTAGCGGAAGCGGTGGCGGGAGGGGCGGCGGAAGCGGCGCCGGCAGCGCCCAGCCTGGTGCGGGTGGCGTCAGACACTTGGTTCCTAAGTCACGAAAGTTTCATCTCCTCTCTGGTCATTTAACATATATAGCCATTAGAATATGTAGTAAAATAAATCACAATGTTTCAAAGAATTTTAAATCCTCTATAAATGGGCAATTAGTCCGCTATGTGAAATTGCTTCAAGGGGTAATCGTCAGCTATCTGAGTTCTCCGTGCGGACGGCGGCACTTGTTGCATTTGGAGGCAAGGGCACAGTGCTGGAGTTTTTTTTATAGGTTTATGAAAGGGATTCATTTTGACCAGGTCTCTTAATTTCATCAAAGAAAAAGGATCAAAGGTTTCAATCCTGGCTCCAGCTACATATGTCAATCGATTCTTCTCCCATGACTTCCGGCTATTGCGATTTGGGGTTGGTTTTGTAACCTGCATGGCTTCCATTTTGGGGGCGCAGTTTTGTACACACCAATGCCCTCAGCATCCTGTCGGCATTATTCTTATCATTTCCATTACCTTTAATCGAAGGAAGTTTAGAAGTCAAACTTCCGACAACATGGACAGATGAAAAGCAGAGTAGGGAAGAGGCAGAGAGAAGAGAAAGATTAGAAGAGAAAGAGTCAGAAGAAAGAAGATGCAGATGCGCGAAAAGGTAGGAAAGTCGCGATTCACTGTGTTTTTCCAATGATTTGTGGCTCCGGAGGGTCGAAAAGTAGGCTCGCTAAAGCGGCGGGGCGGAGCCAGCTGGCCAGATGAGAGATGAAAAAAGTGCACGCCGTTGTGGCGCGAAGCACATTTCCAAGTCAAAATGTACAAAACACACCATGGTCGGACCACTTTTGGAAGTTGCGATGTCGAAAAAGTGCACGCCGTTGTGGCGCGAAGCACATTTCCAAGTCAAAATGTACAAAACACACCATGGTCGACCACTTTTGGAAGTTGCGATGTCGAAAAAGTGCACGCCGTTGTGGCGCGAAGCACATTTTCAAGTCAACATGTACAAAGCACACCATGGCGGACCACTTTTGGAAGTTGCGATGTCGAAAAAGTGCACGCCGTTGTGGCGCGAAGCACATTTCGAAGTCAAAATGTACAAAACACTAGGGGTTCGGACCACTTTTGGAGGTTCAGATGTCGAAAAAGTGCACGCCGTTGTGGCGCGAAGCACATTTCGAAGTCAAAATGTTAAAAACACCAGGGGTTCGGACCACTTTTGGAGGTTCAGATATCGAAAAAGTGCATGCCGTTGTGGCGCGAAGCGCATTTCGAAGTCAAAATGTTAAAGACAGTAGGGCCTTAGGGGTTCAGATGTCGCTTCGCTTCACTACACTACATTACATTACACTACAGTCCACTATACTACACTACATTACATTACACTATACTCCAGTACACTACATTACACTACACTACACTCCAGTACACTCCACTACACTGAATGACACTACACCACACTACATTACACTACACTACGCTCCACTACACTACACTACACTACATCACATTACACTACACTACAGTACACTCCACTACACTTCATTACACTATACTACACTACATTCCATTACACTACAACTACAACTACACAACTACACTCCACTACACTCCACTACACTCCACTACACTAAATTACACTACACTACACGACATTACACTACACTACACTACATTCCGCCACGCTCCACTACACCACACTACATTACACTACACTACATTACACTGAATGACACTGCACCACAGATAGACAGGTAGACAGATAGATAGATAGATAGAGAGATAGAGAGATGGAGAGAGAGAGAGAGAGAGAGATCGATCGATCGATCGATAGATAGATTAGGTAATTAGATGAAAGAGGAAAAAAAGAGAGAGAGAGAGAGATAGATAGGTAGACAGATAGATAGGCAATTAGATTGAAGAGAGAGAGAGAGAGAGAGAGAGGCCAGCTGGGTAGATGAGATAGATAGATAGATTAATAGATAGATAGATAGATAGATAGATCGATCGATAGATAGATAGATAGATCGATAGATCGATAGATAGATAGATCGATAGATCGATAGATCGATAGATCGATAGATAGATCGATAGATCGATACATCGATAGATCGATACATAGAGAGATACATAGAGAGATAGATAGATACATAGAGAGATAAATAGATAGAAAGATAGATCGATAGAGAGATAGATACATAGGTAGATAGATAGATAGATAGACAGACAGATAGATACATAGATAGATGGACAGACAGACAGATAGATAAATAGTTAGAGACACAGCTAGAGAAATAGATGGAGTCAGTGGCTTCGCTCTGCCATCCGTGATTCACAACAACGAACCTCTCCTATAGGTTTCCTATTTTTGAAACTTCCGCCACCGCCTTGTGCGGTACTACTGGTATATTATAATATATTCTGTTTGAGCGTCATCAGCTGCCAAGAACGGTCGATCCTGACAAAAGGAATCGACCAAAAAAAACACTCGGCATACTCCCTCTCATTACTTACAATCATAACTGTATGCCTTCCCTTCTCCCCCGATTGCTCTCAAGGGGTTCGCATGGTGTTTTAGTAAGTGCCTGGCACAAGCTTCATTTCACCCATTTTGACACCAGTTAACACCAGTTAGGGAAGGACGGTTGATTTACTTATATTCACCTCATTTCGAGCTGCTGGGGGTTCCTTTCACCCAAGGAACAAGTGCAAGCGGTCTTCCGCGAGTGGGACACCAACATGGATGGCTGTCTCAGCGTCGCCGACATGTCTCGTGTGCTGGCAGAGATTGGCATCAGCAAGGCTGGGATGGGATGGATGTGCTCTCCCTCTGTATCTCTTGAACAATCAATTTGATTGATATCAGGTTTTCTTGATATAATTCTATAATATACAATATATATATATATATATCATGTATATCATATCAGAAGCTTCGACCAAAAATTTGGACAAAAAAAAAAAACAACTCGTAGTCTACCCTGCCTCGTCTGATGGAAGCTTCATGATGAGAAATTATGAGACGTCACCAGGAGTGGCCAAGGACTTTCCTCTGATTGAAAGTAGTCGTTGATACTCTCAGGTAATCATGGAAATGGAAAGTCCCTCATTTAGTTCGATGAATTTTTGATGTAAATGACGTCAATTGCCTAGTGTAGTTTATGAATGTCCCAGCCATGTTTCATTGCCAGAGGGTATTATATTATTAACCGATATTTGATGAATATCCCTCTATATCCCTCTCATATATACATATTAATATTATTAATGTCCCATGAACACTCCATTTTTTGTGTCCGTGATACCGCCATTTCTCTGTTAATTTCTGGTGCATTTGTCCAGTTGCCACAGGAGGATGCCGAGAAACTCTTCAACGAGGCGGATCTCAACAAGGATGGCATGCAACTGGGATCGAGTTTCCACGGGAGTTTTTGGATCCAGTTGGGTGAAACCAAGAAACGTCAGAGGCATAAAACACTGGAGTCCCGATTTCCCAGGCTCTTGATGGTTGTGGATTGTTTTTTCAACACCTCGGAGCTAGCTCCTACGCCTGAAACACCAACGTCAACACCCTCTCCATTACAATCAAAGCATGCTAGGGGATGATTGCAGGATATTGCAGGTATACGGTATACATCAAATGCAGCATCAATTGCTTGTCTCATATATTAGTGCTCACATATATATATATATATATTTATAATGCTCATGTATATCATTGTGGGACACCAGGGTCTTTGGCGAAACAACTGTGAAATGACTTGCGCTCTGTCTTTGCTATCCAGGTATGGTTAATGTATGGATCAAGAAATCAGAGGGACCCGAGGGACCCACAGATTCCGGCTGCTCCTCCAATGACTCGACCCGAGGCTTGACTACGCAGAATTTACTCAGTGGCTCTACACTGACTCCAACAAAGAGTTCAGAGACCACGTGTTTCACAAAAGGGCCCGGTTGCAGCGTTTCACCGGGATGGGTTGGTGAAGGTTCCTTCCAATGATCCAAGCAGACAGTCCCATGTTGACCCGTGTGGTGTTTAGCCTTGAGGCCCAGTCTGCAATCCACCCTCGTAAGGGAGCCTCAGAGACTCGAGACAAAGTGGAACAGCTAAGCCACTGAATGATGATTTTCGCATTCAAAATGGCCGGAAACAAATGTGCTGTAAACAGGTCCATAATAATTTCATGATATTTCATGTGTATAGATTACAGTACTGTAATGGTCGCATTCCACACAAATTAGATTTTCCAGATTTGGGGGAACTGAAGAAGATCCCCCCTTGAAATAGCACCGCTTGTTTAGGCCAAGGGTTGTCTTCGCTCGAGTTTCTGGCCTAAAATCTATGAGTCATTGGAGAAAAAAAACCTAGTAAACACATTCTGTTGGCCTTATCTTTGTCATAATTAATTCCTTTTTTTGTGGGTGTTAGAATGCAAGCTCCAGTCGCAATGACATAGCTGTGAGCGCCCAAAAAAGCTGATGTTTATAGGGGGCATGTAGTGTATGGTCCAATGATATCATTCAATGCCAACTTGTATACCCTTATTTACGAGTAGTTAATTCATCCCATCAGGAAATATTTGTGAGATTCTGTGAGTATCCATCAATTTGGGAATCCCAAAAATAAACTGCACTCCATCTATCCAATGACCTACCGCTCGGGTGGTATTACACACCCTGCCCCAACACATGTAAAAAAACATATAATTTTCAGTGGTTATATACACAATAGTCAATAGTAGTGGTGAACATGATTTAATAACAGCACTTAAGATAACAAAGGGTAATACATGGCAAAGTTCAAAGTATTTTTTTCTACATTATCGTACAGTAATGACAACTTTTAACAGTTGATTGTTTTTTCCACTCTTAAGTTACAACAGTGGCTGGAACGTAAGGTGGCCGCAGTAGCCTGTGGTGGTGGCTTTGCGATGGCTCTCACCGCAGGGGGCGAACTTTTCGTGGCTGGGACGATAGGCGGCTTCGGTTTCAAGGCTGCGGTTAACTTTCAGATCTTGGGGATGGGTTGAAACCACCAACCAGGGTTGTTTTGTGATTTCTTCTCATACTGTACAGTAAGGTTTGTATATTATAGGATATCTCAGAGATTGGGTAGTGGTCAAAACATGGTCAAATCGTATTTCTTCTCAGGGGTGTGCCAGCATGTACCGAATGAAGGAATTGGAGAAACATCGCATGAGGGTCTTGTTACTTGTTGAGGATTTGAGGTTCGGACGGAATTGAGAGATTCCCCACCAAAAGCGCATGGTGAGGGAGCGTAGCTGCTCAAACCATGAAAAGATCACCAGGTCACCAATACCATTGCCCTCCTCATTCTTGTAATGCACGCAATCATGACCGTTGGCATCGTCGCCGTCCTCCTCCTCTTCCTCTTCCTCTTCCTCCCCCCCATCATCATCATAATAATAATAATAATAATCATCATCATCATCATCATAATCATCATCAGCAGCATCAGCAGCATCATCATAACTACGATCTGGTTATTTGACATAGCCATGAAAAATCACGATTTTTGATAGGTAAACCATCTATAAATGGGCCATTTTCCATGGCCCATGGCTATGTCTTTAGTTGTCAATTCATGTCACCAAGGCATGGGGAAGTTCCCCCGAGGGTGCCATGGGCACCGGTAGCCTTGGCGACGTCACACGGTGCGATTGGGGCTGGCTCTGAGCATGACCCGAAGTATGAGTATATGAGTAGAATATATTTTTCTTGCACCAAATGATAAATAATCCAATATAGAATCTAAAAAAACCTAAGTTCCATTTTTTTGGATGTTCGTACTAAGAAAACCCACACACACTTCAATGATATATTCAAGGTGTTTCAAGATAACCCCCACGGAGATGATGCCAGAGTTAGATCACTACCATCACGACTGCTGTTTACGGCGAATCTCATGGTTCCTTTTGTGGTTCCAATAGGCTGAAAAAAAATCTGCCAGGCCCACTTTGGTACGAGGGCCGTTGGCAAAGTGCCGTGTTGCAGCCTGGGGCTCAGAAGATGCCACTGGTGCTCATTGATACATTGATTTCATCATTGATTCATTGAGGTGACAGTAAAACACGATACAGTACCCTTTGGTAATTTAACAGAACTATTGAACATTGCCATAGAAATAGTTGATTTACCATTAAAAATGCTGATTTTTCCGTAGCTTGACCGTTGGGATCCCCGGCAGTTTGACCACGGCACAGGTCATCGCCTGCGGTGAGTGCCATAGCGTGGCGGCGACCTTCGATGAGGCGACGTCCGGGGCCTGATGGGAATATACTGGAATATCATGGAATATAGTATATATATATATATATTATAATGGAATATAATGGGAATATTATATATATGATGGAAATATAATGGAATATAGTATGTGAAATATAGTGGAATACAATGGAAGATCTAGATAAACATATTTATATATATATAGGATTATATGGGATTATTATGTATGATTATATATTCATTACATACTAGGAAGTGTACAAGCAACTGGATATCCATGGGCCCAAAGTCAAGTAGTTTTCGTACTTGAAGTCTTCTGGGGTGATACCCATGATAGCATCTTTGGGATGATAAGCATTTGGAGGGTTATGCTCAAAACATGGTACCCCAGAATCCATTGGTTTACCATACTCCTCTCCATGCAAAATGCCATTTTTAGACGAACTCTTAGTTGTTCATCTTTGCACGAAGCAGCCAACCCCAGACTTGGGGTTGAAGGAAAATCTACTGCAAACCCCTTAAGAGGTTCAACATCATGGCAAACATCTACTCAAAAATCCTGTAGATGGTGTTCCAGAAGACTGGCTGCCCCTTCAGATATAATCAGATATAATCAGATATATAATAAACATATATATGTATATATACATATGATGAGCATATATATATATATACAGTATATATATATATATATACACTAAACATCTTAATTTTTTCTTGAAGATCTATTGAATCTGCCAGGAAGACCGCCTGGGTGCGGTCTATTCCTGGGGTTTGGTCGCAGCAGATGGACGCCTGGGCTACGTGGATGACGAGGCGATGACGGGCGCAGCGGATGTTATGCTTATTTGTGGCTAGTTATCATTATATGTAGTGTATATATATATATAGAGTATAGTCATTTAAAGTCAGTTATAGTTATCTACATTATATATATGTATATATATATATATTTTATATATATATATATATACAAACACGTACATACGTACATATATTTGTATTTTTTAAGGTTATTCTAAAAGTGCATTGGTAATATATATATATATATGTATGCATGTGTATATATATATATATATATGGTCAACAACCAAAACCAAACCATTCAAGAGAAATGTTGCAGGAAAACCACATATTCATTGGTGGTTTTTCAAGAAAAACAATGGTCTCTTGTAGATAGTCCCTCAATCCAACCCAATGATTGGTTGCAGTGTGGTAATCCAACCCTCCGAGGTAAACAAACATAGATGTGGTATTTAGCCAACATTAGACCATTCCAGTTCCACATCTATAGATGGTTTAATACACCATTTTCCACATCTATAGTTTGCCATCCATGATCATTACCATTGTAGCATCTGTAAACTAGCATAAACTACCAATACATATGTGGGAATTACACCATTTTTAGATCATTTTCCTCCATAGGTTACCATCTGGTTATTTAACATAGCCATGGAAAATCACCATCTTTAATAGGTAAACCATCTATAAACAACCATATGTTACCCATTTTTTGCCATGCTGGCAGCCAGGTTCATCCCCAGTCGTCTCCACGAGAAGTGTCGTGGATCAGCGCACAGCTTGTCGCCGGGGCACCCGGAGGGCACCTGAGGCACCCGGATGCCAGGGAAGTGACCGATGATTGAAGTTCAGTTGAACTGATATATGTCAGGGGTTGGTAACTGTTCGATTTTGGGAATATTGGACATCACCTTATAGTAGCCATTATAGATCATATACCTAATGGTTGGGTGATGTTCAATGGGGACATTTAATGACCCATTATGTTCATTGGTTTTAAAAACTTGGATGTTAGATATGTTTGGAAGCTGGAACTGGATATTTGTGGAGCTTATGGTTTGTCCACCTTTCAATACCTGTCATCTTTGGTTTAGCGAAGGGACTTTCAAAGGCCCAAAGTGCTCGAGTGACGGAGCTGGGCGGGGTCTTCCACCAGAGAGTTACAAAGAAGGTGCCGTGAAGAACTTCATGGAAGCTGGAACCGACAACAAAGCTGTCTACCCTATGGAAAATCACAATCTATTGAATGAATAGATAAATCATCGAACTAAACGGGCCATCTGCACTATAGCATAGCTTTCTTAAATTACCAGAGGGTAACCAACAAACCTGGGGATGACATTTACCATTTTATGGTGATGTACTGGGTATTTTTTGGGGTTGTCAGATCCACCAGCAATTCGTGGCTTGGCAAAGCGAGGACAAGCCAGAATAGCCAGTAAAAAATGCTAGAAATTTAGTGGATTTCATGTAGAAAATCAAGCATCTATTCCCTAAACATCCACAAACATCCAAATCCACCAAACATCTATTACTGATTGGTGGTTTGGAACATTTTTTAGTTTCCATAATATATGGGATAATCCTTCCCATTGACGAATATTTTTCAAGATGGTTAAAACCACTAACCATATATAATTATATATATATTGGTTGATAGAATGGTTGATATAATGGTTAATAGTTAATTGTTGACAGTTAATGGTTCATATCATGGTTAATGGTTGATGTCATGGTTAACAATCCATTGAACTCCAAAGAAAAGGTGCCCCCCGGGAAGACGACTGCGCAGGCAGTCTTGACCCTGCGACGAGGCTGGGGAAAAGCTGTTGACCATCGATTTTTGGACGGGAATCGACAGGTGAGTTGGGGAAAGATGAGATGTTGATTTTCAGGCATATATCATGTATATATATATATATACCTATATATATAAATAATGCGTATACATATAATATAGATAATATAATATATAAAAAATATATTTTTTTTTTATAGTAATAGTATAGACACTAATTGACTGTAATTGACGAAAGATTCATGCCCATTGGACCGTCGACCCATCTTGAGGCGCCTTGGCGGTTCCAAGGGGGTCTTCACGGAGGTCTGACAGGGTCACAATGATGGAATGGTGGAAAGAATCAGAAGTATTGTGTTTTTCTGTTTTTTTTAGAACAGTTGAATTTTGGAACAGTTGAGTTGTTCTATTTTTTTTATCTTAAAATGAAATCACAAAAAAAATCTGGAACGAGCCAGTTGAATTAGCAAAGCCACCACAAATTTTGGTGTCGCAAAGGATGGTTAAAACTTCAAACATCCGAGCCTCCGCTCAGGTTGCCACAACGCATCACGCAAGTGAGCTGTGGCTGGCGACACAGTGTGGGGATCCCCGGGGATCCCCTGCAACCGAAACCGGATGTTTTTTGGGGATCAGATGGCGCATATTTGTCAAACATGGTGAACATCTGTGAACATCTGTGGCATGCCCAAGCAGCGACCTGCAATTCTTTAAATGCAAGATATATGTTTTTTTGCTGATACCTCAGATGTACCTGGAAGTGCAGCTTGCCATATGCAACAAACACCTGAAGCATTCGACCAGGGGGATTGCAAAGGACAACTGAAGGTCCAAATTCAGAACACCCAATCAAAATCAATCAAAGATATCAAAAGGTTTTAGGTTTGGATTGTTTTATCATCAGTGAATGAAAGTATTGACTTGTGTTTCCCATAAACTACGAGAATAATCGAGAATACAGGTTGGTTGTATCTTTGTTTTCACCTTTGCTTGGCATGATTACCTACAGTACCTCAATTCATTCATATTCTTTAGAATAGGTTGAAGAGTGTTGAAGCCACACCAATCGGTATTCTTCATGTGTGAAGACCTGCATTTAGTCAGTCCCTGGCGAGAAGAACGGGCTGGTGGTTTCAAAATGTTGCCCAACACTGGCGATGATCATACCCAATGGATCCCAATGGCATCCAATGGCCAATACCGGATCTTGAACTATAACTGGTTGGTGGTTTGGAACATGAGCTTTATGACTTTCCATTCAGTTGGGAATAGTAACCCCAACTGACGAACTCATCTTTTTCAGAGGGGTAGCTATACCATATTTTCCATTATGGGATGTCATCCTTCCTATTGACTTTCATATTTTTCAAGATGGTTGAAACCACCAACCAGTAGTGCTTATTTATGGTTTATTGATGGGATAATTAATGGTTTACTAATGAGTTATGGGATATGAAACCACCAACCAGATAACTCGCGAGCGGATTCATCTTCGGGAACGTCCATGGAGATTTATTTCCCCCCAGGATTTCCGCCAGGTCCTCGTGTGTCAGGGCTCCGTGGTGTGCTTCGGCGCCAACGACTTTGGGCAGTGACTTGGCAAACCGCAGTCGTTGGAATCATCCCCAGAATCACTATGGTTTGAATGGGAAAATCCACTAGAAATCCATCAGAAATGGAGGTTTCTAGATTTCTAGCCGGGAAAATCCACCAGAAATGGAGGTTTCTAGCTGAGAAAATCCACTATAAATCGATGTTAAGTAAATATTTTCTGTGCTAATGGATGATTAGTAGATAATTGTTGGATAATTCATGGATAACTGGAATCATGTGGTAAACCCAAGATTGAGACCATCCTCAAGACTTAAAGATTACCATTTGTATGGGTTAGATTGAAACCATCCTCAAATGATAGGTATAAATTGGGGATGGTTTCCACATGCGTAATCTTGTGATAGAAATGGTTGTCTTCAAGTCCAACTTTAAAAAATGATGTGTGAACTAGTGTTATTTACTTAGAACTATTGGCTAGCATTGCCAATGATTTGTAACCGCATCCCTGTAATATTAAATACACCTAAATGGCACCACATATCTGTAAATCTCCCACTAAATCGTGTTTTCGGGATGGTGTTTAAGATTCGTGGGAGTGGACTAGTCAATTTAAGGTAATTAAATAATTACCATGAAAAAAGAGGATATGAACCAACAAGCATTGGGTGAGGGTATTCTTGAGACCGTCATCTTTGTAAACCGACTGGCTGAGTACGTGTAGACCTGGAGATTTGACCCTTAGATTTAAGTGTGTTTTGTTTGACCAACTGGGCTGTGAAACAATCTGAGATGGTTGACCCAAACACATAGTATATGATACTAATATATATATATAATTATTTATATATATATATATATACAGTATATATATATACATACATACACATATCCGTATATCACTATATATCAGTGTATGTATGTTTGTATTTATATATATATAACGACTGAACTATCAATTTTCAGGTGGATTTTTTCACCAAAGCATGGATTCCATGGAACACCCCAGGGCCATGGCGTGCCGGCCAGGCTGGGTAGATGTGCCAAAGAGCCCCAGGAAGTGAGGCACAACCCCAAAATGCGGGTTCTATTTGGTATGTTGTTGTTGTTTTTTTTGGATTTTTTCACCAAAGCATGGATTCCATGGAACACCCCAGGGCCATGGCGTGCCGGCCAGGCTGGGTAGATGTGCCAAAGAGCCCCAGGAAGTGAGGCGCAACCCCAAAATGCGGGTTCTTTTGGTATGTTGTTGTTGTTGTTGTTTTTTTTTTTTTAAGTACTTTATGTGTTATGATGTATATCTTTCATCCAATATTCCAATGAAGTGTGCAATCGATTCTATACTTTATATATCTTTATATACTTTATATGTAGATATAACTGAGGGTTTTCATTTGCGCCATGTTTGATTACGAGAGGGTAGGCATATTTCGCGTGCTGAGCACTAGACATCCTCCAGGTCAAAGATACCTCCCTTTGCTCATTGCCCATTGCTGGAGGAGATTGGGACTGGCTCATGCAACATGCAAACCGATATGTGAGGTATTGTGAGGTCATAAGTTTAAGTCATAACTACAAATGATGGTTTCCACAATGGATGATCGTGTTGACTTGCATATGGGTGAGTTGAAACAGAAACGGGGGTTCTTAAGGCCTGGGGGTTTCCCAAGTCACCATCGTTTGTTTCGGTACCAAAATGGTCGAATGACTTGATTTTGGGGTACGCCTATCTTAGGAACCTCCACATATCCGATCCAAAATCATGAACATCATTTAAAAAAGGTCTGTCTATATCTATTGATAGATTCCATTGCGGGCAATGTGTCACGGTACGCCGCAGTCGATTCGTGAAAAAAAACTGCTTCGTAGATTGCCATCGCAATTCTTTCATCACAGTAAGCCACAAGTCTTACAGCTGCGGTTGAGAAGTCTTCATATGTCTTCATCATTGCATGGCTTTCAGCTTCCACTTCCACACTTCATTCCAATATCCGACACCATTGAATATCCCATCCATTGAAGCCATCTTCCCAGGACAGCGACCATCGCACCATAGAGGTGAACGAGGGGAGAATTTTCTGCGTGAACGATCTATAGATATCTATAAAACCATATATAGATCTATAATGATCTATATCATTTTTTGAAACCATCTTTAGATCTATAGATGTCCCTAAAATTCTGATATCTATAGATAGCTTTATAGATAACTAGAAATAGCCGGACATGATTTTTCAACACATATAGATACAGGCAGTGGGTAGCTCAACAATTGGGGGATCCTGTTGCAACTGTGTCGTTGGATCAACTACTGAAGTTCGCCCTTGGGTAATAGTCTTAGGATATAAACATCCCCCATCACTCGAAAACTGCACATGTCTTGTTTAAGGATCCCAAAATGGGATTCCAAAAGTGCCAGGTTCTCACAAGCCCACTGGAAGTCTTGGGTGATCTTGAAGGATTCTGCGAAAAAACCACCATAAACAAATCCGTCGGGATCTAACATCTTGAAGTATGCTATAAGCACATATTATAAGCACCAGAACACCATGGGACTGGTGCAACCCATCTCCCCCGGATGGCCGTCGCGACGCCAGCAGCGGAAGCGTCGCGTAGGAGGCTCGACGTCTCTGTTGCGGTCCGCTGCATACGGCATGCGTCTGCTCCACTGGGTGCGCCATTGGAGCGTCCGGAGGGGATTCACATGGAAAAGCCCTCTGGTAAACTAACTAAAAACTATGGAAAATCACTATTTTTAATTGGCAAATCAACTATAAATATCTATAAAATGATATTCCTATGGCCATTTTCAATAGTAAACTCTTAGTCACCAGAGGGTAAACTTATCATTGAGATATCATGGAGAGATCATGGTCATCTTCGTTGATTTCTGTTCTACTTTGTGTGTGTGCGTGTCTTCAAGAATTTCGGTTGCTGTTGGCTGAATCCCCTGCTCCCAGGCATGTCCATGTTTGGGGGTTGGACCTACAGCAAGGAATGAAGGCGCACTGGAGCTGTTTTCGGCACCCTGTGTTTGTTTTCCTGATTTACCGGCAAGAATGGGGAGTTGAACTATGCAACGAGGGATACACCAAAGAACCACTTAGATTATAACCAAATATATCCAAAGAATGGTTGGCCCACCCAAAATCCATTCATCGCTTTGAGGCCCTTCTTAAATTCTATACACTGTTGCTGGATCTTGGTGGCAACGGTTAATTCACTGGTACTGCTGGTAGATAATTCTTCCCTTGCATCTATGCCCCAATCAATGATCGGTTGCCTCCAAAATGCTTGCATTTTGTTTATCTTTGTTGCATCCACATAATTAGGGCTTAGCTTTAATAACTCTTTCAGAATATATTATATACATATACATACATACATACATACATACATACATACATACATACATACATACATACATACATACATACATACATACATACATACATACATAATACATACATACATACATACATACATACATACATACATACATACATACATACATACATACATACATACATACATACATACATACATACATACATACAACATACATACAACATACATACATACATACATACATACATACATACATACATACATACATACATACATACATACATACATACATACATACATACATACATACATACATACATACATACTACATACATACATACATACATACATACATACATACATACATACATACATACATACATACATACATACATACATACATACATACATACATACATACATACATACATACATTACATACATACATACATACATACATACATACATACATACATACATACATACATACATACATACATACATACATACATACATGTATTATACTGTATGTTATGTGCAGATGTTATAGTTACTTGCTGACGTCACAAGACAATTGTATATGGCTATGCGGGGTACCTATCAATCAACCCACATAAATGCCACGGGAAACACTGTGAAACCATGTTGATTTTAAGTTTGAGCTGACATTTGATATTGGATAGCCATATTGAATTAGACATCGTTGTTGGCACTAAAACTCCGCACTTCTGGTTCATATTTTGAGAATTGACAAACCCAATACTACACTATCAGACATTGATTATGAATATACAGAGAGCTGGAAGTTCATGTAATCACCCTCGTTGAATTTAAGTTTTTCATAATCTCATAGAGGTTTTGTTTCACCAAAAATGATCTAACTATAGCCTAACTATAGCCCAACTAGAGCCCAATAACCATCCCATTCTACGAATAGATGGTTTGGCCTCGTTCCAGGCCAGAGCCCCCTGGTGCGTCCCCGACTTCGGTCCAGTGAGGTCATGGAGAGGGGATCTCTCTCCCTCTCTCTCTATTTAGATAGTACATACTAGTAATTAATATCTATACATTATATATAGTACATCTATATATATATATGTATATATATATATAGATGTATGCTTTTGGTATATAATTATTATATCTACAAATATCTATACTCATACACAGATATAATTGATAATTATTTGGAAAGGCGAAGATGATCCTGACACATTGATGTTGGTCATCCCATCACCCGCTAGTGTTGAACTCAGTGAGGACCAGCCTTTCGAATGATTCCAACGTTGGTTTTGTGATGACTTTCAGCAACATTTTGTATGGATTTCCACGTTAACATGGGCGCAAATGAGATGAAATCCACTGATTCATCATATTCCTCATGAAAATGCACGAAATTGGGGCCGCCTTCCCATTTTCAGTTCCAGAATTTTGTACAGGTCTGCTTTTGAGCATTTTTAATCAGATCTGAGACCATCATGAATGACTTGAGGACCCCTCCAGCTCGATTCTCATAGCCATGATAGCCTATGTACTGGAATTCCAGTATAGCAACCCACAAAAAGAATCAACAAGATACAAAAGAGTGCAATCCTATCTAAAACAATGGCAAATGATAGTTCACCAACTTTCCATATATATATATGTATTATATTATATATTATGATGATGTTGTTGTTGGTGAATCCATCATTTACATATAATATATATATATATGCCATTGGACAGGCCGGTGGTGGCTCTATGTTGCGGTGCCCACTTCCTGGTTTGTTCAGCGGAGGTGGTGTTTGGGGCCTCAAGTAATGTGAGAAACCCAATGCCCGAAAACGACCATTTGGGGATTGTCTATACAACCCATTTATGGTGATTTTTTGTTTGGATGATTTATTGTTGGGTCTATCACATTATACGTATATCGATTGATATTATGTGTATATTATAATTATATCAATCATAATATGATTGATTATACTGTAATATTACGGCCAGGCCCCTTGTGTTGCCCGGAGATTTACAGGGAAGTTCCCGGCAAATTTCATGATGATGATGATGATGATGATGATTGAAGATCTTCAACGGGCGTGGGAGAATTAAACCCTTATTGAAGATCTTCAATGAATGGAAGAGTTTAACGGGGGTGGGAGAATTAAACCCTTATTGAAGATCTTCAATGAATGGAAGAGTTTAACGGGGGTGGGAGAATTAAACCCTTATTGAAGATCTTCAATGAATGGAAGAGTTTAACGGGGGTGGGAGAATTAAACCCTTATTGAAGATCTTCAATGAATGTAAGAGTTTAACGGGGGTGGGAGAATTAAACCCTTATTGAAGATCTTCAATGAATGGAAGAGTTTAACGGGGGTGGGAGAATTAAACCCTTATTGAAGATCTTCAATGAATGGAAGAGTTTAACGGGGGTGGGAGAATTAAACCCTTATTGAAGATCTTCAATGAATGTAAGAGTTTAACGGGGGTGGGAGAATTAAACCCTTAGTGAAGATCTTCAATGAATGTAAGAGTTTAACGGTGGTGGGAGAATTAAACCCTTATTGAAGATCTTCAATGAATGGAAGAGTTTAACGGGGGTGGGAGAATTAAGCCCTTATTGAAGAATCTTCAATGAATGTAGAGGTTTAACGGGGGTGGGAGAATTAAACCCTTATTGAAGAATCTTCAATGAATGTAGAAGTTTAACGGGGGTGGGAGAATTTATATGAAATGTATAGTGTGAACAAAAAATCCTTGTAATTTACGCTATTCTGGGCTTGGGCAACACAAGGGGCCTGTGGGTAATATTACATATTATAATATTATTGAGTTACAGTAACATTCATAGTCCCTGTCAAACCATGTGATTTCATCCCCTGTCATGGTTTCTTGGTGGGCAAGGGGATGAGAAACATAAGTCAAATATGGACAGAAAACTAGACCTTAGAGGTTTCTTTTTGTGGGTTGCCATGTGTGAAATGGATTGAACATGTATTGCAAATAGCTTACCTTGGTCGTTTGAGGAGGATCTAGCCAACAAAAATCGGTTGTCGAGGTTGCCTCGCTCCACGGAAGCGCAGATTGATGTGCCTCAAGAGGACAGGATCTTAACAAAAAGGCGTTCCTGAGACTGTTTGCGACGACTGTTTGGCGTAGAAGAACAGACAGTTTTCAATGGTTTAGGGGATTCACAGAGATTTTGGGATCATAGAACGGAGGTATTGAATGTTGAGGGGATCGGATTGGAACAGGAGCTGCTTCTGGGCTACTGTGCAGAAAGCCTAGCACCAGGTGCTTGGATCGACGATGACAGTGGATGTGAAGGTTTCACGAAACAACTTGGGACATGTGTATATACGTATACATATATATATTTACATATATCTGTACATATATCTATCCATACATATGTAAATATGTATATATATATATATACATGTGTATATACACATAATAGACTGCTGGCTGATTTTTTTTTTGCAAGCTGATCCTCAAAGCCATCATTGTTCACCAACATCCAACATGATCAGCTCGCCGCAGGCACCCGTTCTGGCTTGGGCCCCTGTCTTCGAAGCAATCCAACAACAACAGCAACAGCAACAACAACAAATAATACAAATTCAAAAAGGTCACATCTATATGAATATATGATAATATATATATATATTATATATATATGTTTTTTTACAGATAGTTATAAATATGTTTGATTTACAGTAGATTTACCTCGATCTTTACCCATCTCGTCTTGCCGGTGTCCGCCAGTTTTTTTTTTCCAGGTCCTGCGACATCCTCCAACTCTTGGAGGCATCGTTCATACCAGGAGACACTGGAAACTATGGCAAAATTGGAAGTTGCTTTATATAGTTGCTACATAATATGTATATATATATATATATAAACATCTGTCAATATATGTGAATATTTCTTAATATGTGTTGATATAATCGTGTGCATCAAAAATATTGTTGAGGCCAGAAAGGTGGTGGCCAATCCACAAGTGGGGATATAAACATCCAAGACTTGCTAGTGACACGAACAATATAAACAATCATGGGAATATACACAGGAGTTTGGTGAGGATGTCGTTGTTTTGTTTTGTTGGTGGCTGTGTGGATATGACAATCACTTTGCTTGATGATGGACATGATGGACGCTACATGACGCCATCATATGATAGAATATGATAAGAAAACTCACTGGAGTTTTCCCTCTGGTAAACTAACATAACTATGGAAAATCACAATTTTTTTAGGGAAAATCCACTATAAATGGCCATTTTCAATAGCTATGTTAGTTTACCAGAGGGTACATCTTCAGTCCCAGAGGCTCAGTCCAAGTGCCAGGCCATCTCATCTCCCACCAAAGTGCGAAGAGGAGTCCAAGCATCATCAGAACTTGGTGCGCTCACGGCGCTTTCAGGGTTGGCTATCGGCTTTTAAGGGGCTAACCCATTGATACAGTATCTGTATCATATAGATATAGAAAGATGGATGGATGGATGGATAGATAGATAGATAGATGTTACTCGTACTAAGATCTAGGATTAACTGAGTTTTATTATCGTGATTATTCTCTTTATCAAGTGTCAATTTGTTTCGGTGGCCAGATTGACATGACATGATCAATGGCTAAAGGCCAACGGTGGGATGGAGATGCAGCGAATACTGGGAGACATGAACAAGATATGACATGGAGATGGTACCTTGTACTGTAGTTGGTATATATATATATACATAGATGTATATATATATAATTATATATATATAGTCAGATTCAATTTATCACCATTTCAGATTCGGATGTGATTTTTGCGTTTAGGGATTACAAGCCCAACATACAAGAAAGCACAGGCAAGAAATCACAGCCGGGCGACAGGTGCGAGAACTGGAAAGAAGCGCTTGGGGCCTCAGCGCATTTCCTGTGCACAAAGATATTTCTAGTTGTTCATTGTGTAATATGTTCATGGTAGTTTTCCATCTTTCCATCCCTGTGGCTGCCATGATTCATGCAAAAGACTAGTCTTGGTCGGAAAAGTTGCTACTCAACCAGATAGACATATTTGTGTGCCGATGAAAGGTTTCAGTGAGATCGTGCTGGAAACTATGCGCCCTATAATTACTGCAGAGACTCTGTAGCGCGTTGACGAAAGCATAGTGGCGGTCCACAGTAGCGATACATGAGGTTGCAAAATGATGTAAAATGTCAATATGTCATGCATGTTGACCAATGCTTGTCAATGGATGTCAATGGAGTGATATGATAAAACGATATAAAACGGGTTTCACCAATGTATCACCACAAAGTTGCCATGCTCTCATAGCATTCCATGGCGTTACAGGTTCAACGTCGGCTTCTTCAAGAACAGCGGGAGGTGCGTTTGTTTTTCCTGTTCTGTTTTCAATGCTATCGAAACCGAAAATGGGAAGCCTGAATTTCAATATTTGGTTAAAACATATGAAATATTATAAAATCTATAGAGCTAACATGAGCTAACTACAACCGCATCTATCAAATCATATAAAATAGATAGAGCTAACTACAAGCGTTGTATCTGTACCAGAGGCTATCCCTAAACCCGTGCAGGAGCAGCAGCGTCAGCAACGTGAGCAACGCCGCGAGCGGCGGTTGCAGGAGCATACAGAGCTCTGGTTTCAGCTCCTCCCAAACTTCGTGCCAGGCTGGGAGAACGGTTGGTTCATCCGGGATGGTCAGGATGAATCTTCCAACGCGTTGCGTCTTAGGCGTTGCCCATTGGTCAAATCCACATTGAGTGGATCAAAGATCATTAGCCCAATCTTTTGGTTTCCTCTGAAAAGGGGCAAAGGTTTGACATATCCATTTTTGTCCGTTCTTGATGCTTTGGCCCGTTTTTTTGCCGAACATTTTGCTGACATCCTTGAATGTTTTGCTTATCTTATCCAAATGTATCCCAACAATTCCCATCAGAAGATGGGAATATTCCATGATTTTCCATCCAGAATGGTTATCTGGTTGGTGGTTTGGAACATTTTTTAAAAAAAATTCCACATATTGGGAATGTCATCATCCCAACTGACTTTCATATTTTTCAGGGGGGTAGGTACTGTATACCACCAACCAGTAATATAATTCCTAATTACATACCCTTTGGTAAACTAACATAACTATGGAAAATCACCATGTTTCATGGGAAAAACACAATTTTTCATGGGAAAATCCACCAACCAGTTATTTTAAGCAACTTTTCCATGAGAATCTGAGGGCCGGGATGACTTGTGATTCCAGGCGAAGGCGTCACGGCGCGGATGCAGCGGCTATGGCGCCAGGGCTTACCACCGAAGGTGCGAGAGGCGCTTCAGATGGAGGCATCATAGATTTCATTGTAATACAGTAATGATTAATGATGATGCAAAAATATTATGATATATTGATAATAGATGATATATTGATAATAGTAATTTAGATATTAGGCATCATTATGATAGTAATATTGAGGAATACTGACATATACTAAATCATGAGGATGGTTTATGGCATCGGGTTTACCACATTTAGTTTGTGGATGTTTGCAGCTATAAACCTGCATTGAATTTGCGGATGTTCCATTCTGTGGAAAGGTCAATGGGGTATTCAATCATAATATGGCCATTTAATAGGAACATTGTGACAAACAGATAAATAATGGAGTTTTGGGATACCCTATTCCCAGACAGAGCCATGTATAGACATTGTACAAGTACATGAGTTAATATCAATGTTGGCATGCTAGTTTGAAGCCAGTTGATACATGTCAATATGTTACTATGTATGTAAGTTACATAAGAATATACGAATTGTATGGTTAATTGGTTAATGGATATTGAATGTAGTTCATTTCATGGTGATCTTAATTATATAATTGTGGACTCTATTACAATTATAACCTCCATTACAGTTTCAGTGATGTTGCGGCTGAACAAAAAAGCAAATTATCAGATGGATTATTTTTACATTTGAGAACTGATTGAACATTGGGAATATGGGGTATGGGCCTAAGATTTAAACCAGTTGCTAGTCATGGATAGGAATTGAATTATCCCAGTTTCATTGTGATTTAATCTACTCCTCCATGACTCCTTCCAAACAAATCTTCTTGGCATTCTTGACTAACAGAGAAGGGAGGGAGGGGGTTGTGGATACGAGGGATTGACATTGGCTTTCTGATGCAGTGGAAATTGCACTGACTCATTTCACCCTTGGGTTGATTGTGGATTATTATATACTCCATGTTACCAGTATGGTGGATAAAACCCCCCTACAGTATGCAGGTGTTGTGGCCGGTGGCCATCGGAAATGTGTGGTAGCTCAGGGGGTATGGCGGTCAAGTCATAAAAACTGTGGTGCGAACAATTGACCCTACCCGTGATGATGTGTAAGTTGTGCAACACATTCAAAATTACTTTCTCCGAGTGATCCCCACCCACTATATATTCTCACAGTCTACTTTGGCATTCTATCTGACATTTTCATACATTTTATCTGACATATATTCTGATATTCAAGTCTATCTGGCATTCTATCTGACATTTCATCTTGCATTTTATTTGACATATATTCTGATATTCTATCTGGCATCTTGTCTGACATTCTATCTGGCATATGTTCGGGTCCAGGCGTGCCCCACTGCATCCGGAGCTTGCAATATGGCTCGGGTCCACTAGTGCCCACAGTGCCGACAAGCTGGCAGAAGAAGAAGAAGAAGAAGACGCGGAGAAGAGAAGAGGAGGAGAGAAGGCGGAGGTGAGGAGAAGGAGGGGGAGGAAGAAGAAGAAGAAGGTGAAGAAGAAGAAGGAGCTGCACTTGTCTTAAAATCTAGAGACCCTCACCTGGCAGGTGGAAAAACACATTGATGTTTAACGTGTTGAGATCAGTATTTCCTGGACCGTCATACTGGAGTTGCTGGAGCATGAGCAGATTCAGCAGCCATTAAAATCATGTCCATCCATTGTCCAATCAGCGGCTGCCCTTGCCGTTGATATTGAATGTCTAATGCCGTCCGGAATAGATGGTCTCCCAGGGCGGTTTACTTGCAACCATTGTAGGCAACCAGGCAGCCCCATTTTCTTTTCGATGTTTCAATCCGTGTCTTTTTGATATTGCAATCGTCAATGATGGCTGGTGGTTCTCTGATATGATATATACATGTATATATCAGAATAGTATAACATAGTATAACATATACATACCCTAGCAAGAACATATACATACTGTACCCACAATACCCCACTTATATATATATATACACCTGTATATGTCCGCATTGCCTATTACAGTTGGTTGGGGAAAGAACCCCTCAACCCACCATCCTAGTCTTGCGCCATGCTGAGGTCTTGCGCATCACCCCTGAGTTGTTTGAGATACACAAACAGCGAGCGCTGGATGCACGAAAGAACCAGGACAGCGTACCATGGAGGCACAGGGATGCTCCCACTGGTCGTTTAGCTGGTTTCTTTTGTTTTTTTTGTAATATGTATAATATAATGAGTACATGTGATGTAACATATAACCTATTATTTATAATATGTATAATATATATATATATATCGTTTATACTATATCATATATAAGATGTAATGTATCATATTTAAGATATGTCGTATGCAATGTAGAATATAGCAAATATCATATGTAATGCATCATTTACGATATATGTAGTGTGTGATAAATTTTGGATATATGCTGATGAACGCTGAACCATTTCATATAGAACAGAAAATATATAAAATGATATGTTGGTTGTTTTTATTTTATATAATATAGACAGTTTAGATATCGAATATCTAATATATAATTATATAATATATACAATATTTAATATCAAACATATAATATATATATATATATATATTATATAACATACAATATTCAACATTTGATATATATATATATATACATACATATAGCATGTAAAATATAATACATATGACTGTAATTTATATTATATGTTTCAATATCTCACATACAATATGTTTTAGTATAAAATCTAATAAAATATATGAAATTGAATATTTAATACACATATACATAATATTGCATATGTGTTATATATTGTATTTTATTTCAAACATAAATAGTTATTTATATTTAGTATACACTGTACTTTACATACAAACATACACTATATCATATGTAGTTTGTAATATTTAGCAGTTTACGTATAATTTATAACATAATTTATTATAATATATATATATATTATTTAATATTATACATATATGATATATATATATATATGTGTGTATATATATATGTGTGTATATACACAAACATTTAATATATAATGTATAATGTTTGATATTTACTCTATTATATATTTTTTTTAGATTAGATTATACTGTTTTACATTATAGTATTTTATATTCAACATATAATACATAATATTTGTAATATATATATATAACATATAATATGTAATATGTGATAGTTAATATTAATATTCAATATTATGTTCTGTGTATATATATATACACATATGTTATGTAATGTATCATATATCATGTACAATGTATTGTTGTTTATATATATATATATATTGTATTTAACAATATACAATATATCCATAGTATAATATATATATATATATATTATGTGATGTAAAATATGTTGCAATTTTGTTGTTTTTCAGGAAAATAACACTATATACATAGGGCAATTGATTGAATGTTGTCTTAATTAAACAAGTTAGAAATTGGCACCGGCCACAATTCCTCGGATAGGAAGTTGACCAAAAAAGATCCCATTTTTGGTCAACAGATGGGACTTGGCTACTTGGGTTGTACCAAGACCCGAATGGGAGTGCCAACTTGGTTTTTCTGTCATGGGACAGCTTGAGAAAAAGGAAGATGAGAAATGAAAAATCAGAAATGTCGTTGCTGTTTGACAAAAAAAACAGAACGAGGGGAACACAGACGCTGTGAAAAATAGAAAGGGATACCGTACTGCAACTGGTGAATATTCATCTTATGTTTTACTTACGTACTATCTGCAGTGATGTATATATATATATATTATACACACTACACTACTATACACCCTGGGTTTATCGTAGATCTCCATGTTGTTTTTTCATGTGCAGGTCTTTGCTGGTAAATTTAGACAAAAACCCACGAAATAAATTGAAATAACATGTCTTATGAGTACCTTCGCCAGCATCTTCAGGAGAATGCTGCATCCAATGTGCTAATTACATTGACCGATGCGCCATGCAGCTCAGACAGTGGTTGTTCGTATAGCGATGTTTGGGTTTGTCCTTGCGTACGGTATAGGATTTTCACGGGGATGTAGCTATGTTTGTGAGAATACTATGTGTGGCAAAAAAACTGTGTTGATCCTATTTTGTGGTTTTGTTTTTGCAATAGTTTTTTTTTGGTTGCTGTAGCATCAGACTGCCTCACATAGTCATAATCACTGCAGATTCTGATCCGTGCTGGAGGGCCCTTAATTTGACTCTTTGCTTCTCTGCAAACGGAATTATGGTTGAGTTTGCTGAAACTCCCTGTCCACTACTTGTAGGTCTGTGGTAAAAACAAAGTGCAAGCCGCCATCACCAGCCAATGTTTCTTGTTCAGGGAATAAACTGGATCCTGGTGGGCATGTCATATGAGCAGTGTTCAAAACCCCTCTGTCATTCCATTGTACTGGTTTGTTAATAGGGATTCCCCTAGCCCTATTGGATTATTATTTGCAATTACAATCCTCAATATATTGGGTAGATATGTTCCGTATGTTCAATGTTGCCCAACTATTCTGAAGAATCTCTTGGAGGATCAATTGGGATGATCGATGCGAGGCCCCGAAGCCGCGGCAAAGAACAGAGCACCACTTGCATCCCATTTGTCGGCACCCAAGAGAGCAGAATGATATAACCGAGCGGAACGTGATGGAATAGGCTATTCAGTAATGTGGGTACAATAATAAAACACCCATTTGAGAATGGTTTACTGTATATACCACACATTTATGGTGAAATTGGGGATGGTTTATCATTGTTTTACCAACATTATTGTCATTAAGCATCGTGTCCCTTTGCAGATGCATTATTCGGATGGTATGGCCTATGGCCATGCTTCGAACTCAGGCTAATTAGAGCAAGGCATTGCATTTTGCAGAGACATGTCATCTGGACTGCACAAATACAGATTGCAGCATATACATTCGTCAAAACAAAACACATACTAACTATATATAGAATATATACTAGCACATACAAATGTCTGATACTAACTATATATAGACATTACATATACATTCTGTATCCTACTGTATATATCATAATTCATAGGTCTGCCGGGATTCAGGACCTACCTCGGACCTTTCCCACCTTGGCCTTTTTCGACGAGGCGCCGACAACCACAGCCAGACATGGCTGGCTGGATAAACACCATTTTGGTTGGAAAATGAGCTGTGGATACGAATCGTAGATTTAGATCCAGCTCAGGCAGCGTGTTGTCAACAATATCCAAGCGTAGATCAAACCAATTTCTCGTCTGATTGCATGATTTGAGGAAGAACAGTTTTTCATTTCTGTTTTCTATCATCATTTTTGATCAGTCTTGTTTGTGCAAACCCCGCTGATTTGTTGATTGCTTGCACCACAGCTCAACAAACATGGGCTGGGCGCAGGGAGGGCCTTTGCACGAAGACTGTGCTCGCATTTTGGAGGTTGGGGACTCAGCAAGGTTTCCAGTGGATTCCCATCCAGAAATCATGGTTTCATAGTGTTTAGTGCTAGGGGAATGGGATACATCAAGAACATTTTTCTGCGAACTTCTGGGGATTCTGGACGATTGGATCAACAAAACAGTGAGCATTTGACAAACAAAATTCAACGATTGGGTCTACCCAGCAACACAGCCATTTGTCATTGTCGTCATTTGTTCAAAGATGACGGAATATCGCTTAGCAATGAACATTTGGGGTATGGTTAAACCAAAACATGGGAAGAAGAAACATGGGATTGAAGACACTAAATGGTAGTTGGAACAAGAGATGTGGGAACGTACGCTTACTGTGCATTTGTGTTAAATGTACCATCAGTAGTGACAAGGTCTGATATGTCGCGATTGAACCAACAATTGATTTTTAATTGAGTGGAAAATGGGCTCAACGACCATCGGAATATGTCATATGTTCAGCAGCACATACCTGGGCACCTTAGGCTGTCAAAACTTATCATAAAACTCTTGGGAGTGGTGAACACATCTGAAGAACCAGTTGCCACATGCAGCTATTGATGTTGTATTTGCTGCAACATTTCAACGTTTTCAACCCCACTTCTGTAGTTAAACAACCTTACAATGTGGCCCCCCCCCGAGTTGTAAGTTTGTTTATAATCCCCACGAACTATCTATAGTTATAAGTATCATTAAGTATCATAAACCATAGTTATTGCTGGGCTTTTCGTGGTGATTTGCCAATCAAGGCCTACACGTTCTTCCGGCCAGACATTGGCTACGTGCAAGGGATGTCACTGCCTTAATCTGCCATAGGAGATCACCATTTTTTGAGGGTCAATGGGATGAATCCGGCTATATCAGCTATTTTGCTGGATATGTTGGGCTTATGTTTCACATTTGTTTTGGGCATGTATTGTATCCGTCTGTATCCCTCATGATCTTACCAATTCAGGAGAGATGTTGCAGTGATGGCACCCAGGAGTTACCTGGCTGCAATGCTCTTGCTGTACCTTCCATCCTACCAGGCATTTGCTTCCACCTCAGGAAAAATCAGAACAGCCCAGCAGCCCAGCAGCCCAGCAGCCCAGCAGCCCTTCATGGAGCGGTTGGGCCATGTCACCCATGTCCTAAGGTTGGACTTTGCAACCTTCTGAACACTCCATCAGTGACCCACGTTGCCACGTTGGCTCTCGTTGTGATATCCATATCTCCGGATAGAGATGTTTGATGTTTGCCACTTTGAATATCATCAAATAAGTGCTAGTATATTATCGACAAACATCTACAAATATCTACAAACTATAATATATATATATACATACAATCATATACATATATATATGTACATATATACATATACATATATATATATATACACATACATATACTGTGTTGCTTTTATCATAGGTGAATAGTTGTTATAGGGTTATACATAATATATATACTATGCTATCGGGCCACCCCCACATATTTATATTTTATGTAATTATAGTATATATATATAATATGTTATCCGGGTCACCCCCATATGTTTACATATGTATATATATATATATTATCTTATCGGGTCACCCACACATACACACATATATATATATATATACTTTAAACCCCACAACGCTTCCACTCAGCCATCACAGCAGCAACAGCCGGCTGCTGCTGCTGCTGCTGGCTGCTGCTACACCTTTGAAGAGATGGAGGAGATGCAGGCCTCAGCAAACGTTCCAATTCGTGATATATATATATATATATATATCAGGTTTATCATTTAAATGGGATATACAAGATTGGTGGGAAATATAGTCATAATATATTTGAGATATATATACCAGATTTATCATATTTAGATTGGTGGTAACATATACATCATATATTTGAGATATATACCAGATCTATCATATTTAGATTGGTGGTAAAATATATTCATTCATATATTTGAGATATATACCAGATTTATCATATGTTCGATATATATATATGTGTGTAACCGAAATTGGTGGTAAAATATATTCATCATATACTTGAGATATAAACTAGATTTACTATATTTTTGGGATATATACCAGATTGGTGGTAAAATATATTAATCATATATTTGATATATAAACTAGATTTATCATATGTTTAAGATATACCGAATATTGTTTGTATCCCTGATTGGTGGTTTGTATCCCTGATACCATGTTAAAGGGATGATCAAGGGCCCTTAGATTGATCACTACTGGCAGTAAATTGGAATTTCAATGGATTTTCTTCAAACATGAAGATAATCATGGTTCCTTTGAGCGCTCACTACCGGTAGTGAATTGGGATGTTCTTCAACAATTGGGATGATCGGGGTTCCTTACAACATTCACTACCAATAGTGAATGGGGAATTCTTTCAAACATTGGGATGATCGGTGTTCCTTAGAACGCTCGCTACCTGATATAGGGAGCGTTCTAACAGGGAGCGACCGTCGCAACCTCTTAGAACACTCACTATAGCGGTAGCGAGCGTTCTAAGGGCCCCCGATCATCCCAATTGTAGGAAAAATCAATTCAAATCCCAATTCACTAGCGGGCGTTCTAAGGGCTCTCCATCATCCCTATTTTTGAAAAATCCATTCGAATCCCAATTCACTACCGGTAGCGAGCGTTCTAAGGAACCCCAATCGTCCCAATTTTTTAAGAAACCCATTGAAATCCCAAGTCACTACCGGTAGCGAGCGTTCTATAAGGGCCCCCCAATCATCCCAATTTTTGACAGAATTACCCATTCACTACCGGTAGCGAGCGTTCTAAGGAACCCCAATCGTCCGAATTTTTGAAGAAACCCATTGAAATCCCAAGTCACTACCGGTAGCGAGCGTTCTAAGGAACCCCAATCGTCCCAATTTTTGAAAGAATTCCCCATTCACTACCGGTAGCGAGCGTTCTAAGGGCCCCAATCGTCCCAATTTCTGAAGGAATTCCCCATTCACTACCGGTAGCGAGCGTTCTAAGGGCCCCCCAATCATCCATATGTATAATTGCTGCTTTTAAGATAGATAGCGTTCTAACAGGGAGCGACCGTCGCTCCCTCTTAGAACACTCACTACCGGTAGCGAGCGTTCTAAGGGAGGTTTCCTGTCGCTGGAGCACCCTCAATCTTGCGTTCTTCTCACTAAGACCCCAGCGAAAACACAAGATCATCCCTGGTCCGATGTTTGCCAACCCCCCCTTAGAACACTCACTACCGGTAGCGAGCGTTCTAACAGGGAGCGACCGTCGCACCCTGTTAGAACACTATCTATCTTAGGGAGCGTTCTAACAGGGAGCGACCGTCGCTCCCTCTTAGAACACTCACTACCGGTAGCGAGCGTTCTAAGGGCCCCCGATCATCCCAATTTTAGAAAAAATCAATTCAAACCCCAATTCACTACCGGTAGCGAGCGTTCTAAGGAACCCCGATCATCCCAATTTTTGAAAAAATCCACTCAAATCCCAATTCACTACCGGTAGCGAGCGTTCTAAGGAACCCCGACCATCCCAATTTTTGAAGAAACCCATTGAAATCCCAATTCACTACCGGTAGCGAGCGTTCTAAGGGCCCCAATCATCCCAATTTTTGAAAGAATTCCCCATTCACTACCGGTAGCGAGCGTTCTAAGGAACCCCAATCGTCTCAATTTTTGAAAGAATTCCCCATTCACTACCGGTAGCGAGCGTTCTAAGGAACCCCAATCGTCCCAATTTTTGAAAGAATTCCCCATTCACTACCGGTAGCGAGCGTTCTAAGGAACCCCAATCGTCCCAATTTTTGAAAGAATTCCCCATTCACTACCGGTAGCGAGCGTTCTAAGGAACACCGATCATCCCAATGTTTGAAAGAATTCCCCATTCACTATTGGTAGTGAATGTTGTAAGGAACCCCGATCATCCCAATTCTTGAAGAACATCCCAATTCACTACCGGTAGTGAGCGCTCAAAGGAACCATGATTATCTTCATGTTTGAAGGAAATCCATTGAAATTCCAATTTACTGCCAGTAGTGATCAATCTAAGGGCCCTTGATCATCCCTTTAAAATGGTATCAGGGATACAAACCACCAATCAGGGATACAAACAATATTCGGTATATCTTAAACATATGATAAATCTAGTTTATATCTCAAATATATGATTAATATATTTTACCACCAATCTGGTATATATCCCAAAAATATAGTAAATCTAGTTTATATCTCAAGTATATGATGAATATATTTTACCACCAATTTCGGTTACACATATATATCGAACATATGATAAATCTGGTATATATCTCAAATATATGAATGAATATATTTTACCACCAATCTGAATATGATAAATCTGGTATATATCTCAAATATATGATGTATATTTTACCACCAATCTAAATATGATAAATCTGGTATATACATCTCAAATATATTATGACTATATTTCCCACCAATCTTGTATATCCCATTTAAATGATAAACCTGATATATATATATATATATATATATCACGAATTGGAACGTTTGCTGAGGCCTGCATCTCCTCCATCTCTTCAAAGGTGTAGCAGCAGCCAGCAGCAGCAGCAGCAGCCGGCTGTTGCTGCTCTGATGGCTGAGTGGAAGCGTTGTGGGGTTTAAAGTATATATATGTATATGTGTGTGTATGTGTGGGTGACCCGATAAGATAGTATATATATACATATGTAAACATATGGGGGTGACCCGGATAACATATTATATATACTATAATTACATAAAATATAAATATGTGGGGGTGGCCCGATAGCATAGTATATATATATATATTATGTATAACCCTATAACAACTATTCACCTATGATAAAAGCAACACAGTATATATATACATACATATAATATAATATATATATATATACATTGAGCACAAGCCATGCAGTGAAGCCACTTGAGGTACTTGGACTCTACCGACTTGAGCCACAAGCAATGGCCTGTCGAGTTCGGGAACTCAATGGAACCATTTCAACAAGTTCTGGTGTCTGAAAATTGGGGAATATGATGGTCATAGAATTGGATGATGGGATTTTTTTTTTTCGATATATTGGGAATGTCATCATCCCAACTGACTTTCATATTTTCCAGATGGTTAAAACCACCAATCATAGAATTGGATGATGGGAAATTTTATAGTAAAGCCCTATATTTGATGGTAAAAACCATGGTTTCCTGTAGATTTTCCCTTAAACCAATCCATTGATATGGATAATTTGTGTGATTATGATACTATTTTTTTATCCCAAAACGGCAATTTTAGTGATAAATCATGATAAACCATTGGAAGGGTACCTTATTCTCAGACAACACATTTAAATGAATAATATTTAAATTGTTTGATAACCTTATGAACCATGTTTTTTGTTTCGCAGTGTATTACAGATTTGTCATGGAACAACCGCTGTCATTTTTCATGGTTGTTGATTCGGTAGTTTTTAGCCTCCTGAATTGACTGAAAGCGAATCAGTTTGATCAGATTTGATAATTTGATCAGACATCAGACATTCACAATGGATTTTATATGATTTTATATGATTTCATTCACAATGGATGGTATCATATGATATCCCAGTTGATCATCCTGTTGTCTTCTCAGTCCTGTCCAAGGCCAGAGTGTTTGAACAGTTCGAAGCCCAGCGGGCGGCGACCCTGCGCAGTCATTATGGTTTTTTCAATGACAGTTTAAGCATGGTTCGGCATTGCTGTCCCAACAGAAAAGGATCAACAGGTTAGTTTGACATAGTTTAACTATTCCACAATTTTCCAAATCTGCGTGCCATTGCTAGCCCATTTTGGGTCACCATACCACCGACTTGGTGTCAGGAACATGTTCGTTTATACAGGGCCCCCTCAAACATTTCCCGGAAATTTCATCAGTTTAGAGTATATATGTTAATTCATCCATTAAAACCTGATAGTAATGATGATATAGATGATTGTTATCCATTGTTATATGTATATAATATATATATATATATACATATTATATATATATAAATAATATATATATATATAGTATATATATATATATTGTATATAAATAATACGTATATATATATATATGTTATATTATATGATATTACATTATATTTTATTAAATTATATTATATTATATCATATATTATATTATATTATATTGTATTATATTATATTGTATTATATTATTATTTTTTTAATATTATATTAATTTATATTATATTTATATTATATATAGTATGAATATAATATAAATATAATATAAATTAATATAATATTAATTCATATTATATTTATATTATATTTTTTGATCATCACAATGACAATATTTTGATGATAATGATGGCAGACGGTGGCTGCCTTAGTTAAGGCTCTGTTTTCAACAACTCCCAGCAGTGGCGAGGTGTCAGCTCCTCAGGATGCGGCTGAAGAGGATTGATACGTATCGTTTTTAGATACAATTAGATAATAGTTAGATATTTTGTGTATAGTTAGATATAGTTCAATATAGCTAGAGTGACAAAAAAGTGGGATACTGACAGTTTGTGAACAACATGACATGTCATTTCATTTTATTTCCTCTGGTCTATCTTTTTGACACAGACACACATAAATCGTGAAGGAACAACGCTAACAATGGGGATGTATTTGTAATCGGCGGAGATCAACATTAGATTTGTACGCGAAGCTTGCGATGCCCAGGTATTGAGAATGTTGGTCTCACACCAGAAATGCCATTCGCTCAGAGTACGGTTGTGACTTTCCCTCCCACTACCTTGGTGAGACACTTTATGTGTTCGCATTTGTATCCGATTCTACATATACTAGTACAGTATAAAAGCATGATCATCTATGGATTGTACATGATACTATTAAACATATAAACATATAGTTTAAAAAAAGCAGAACACAAACTATAAACATACTACAGAGATTTAAGACATTTCATGTCCGTCCGTGTTCTGAGGTTCTTAATTGATTGGTTTCTCACCATTTTTGCCAAGCCTGGGGGCCCGGAGGATGGACATCATGGCCGTATATGAGTATAACTGGTGTGTATATATATATATATAGGAACCGTAGAAATAATGATAAGAAGAAAAAGAACAATAATGATATAATAATAATGATAATACTCAATATAATGATGATAATAATAATAATAACAATGGCAGTACTAATGATAATCATAATCATAAAATCATAGTCACGATCATGATACTGAGGTGTCTCAGTGTGGATGTGGCCTCGGTGGTCTGGGACCTCTTTCTCCTCGATGGTGAGGCGAGTCCAGGCTAAAAAACACGGGATAATGAATGGAGAACCAGATATGCATAATGGTTAATGTATAAACATATGAGCTATGAAATATCCTGTTGTATATATATATATATATATGTATATATTATATAATTGAGTATAGTTATATATATATATATACATTCTTTCGAATTCAATACATGTGATGTTTCACATACATCTTGGGATGCCGAACAGTGTTTTTTTTGCCTATTGAATGTCAATTGTTTCTTTCTGCAACATTGTTTTTTAAACCTGAATTAATGAAGGATGATGGTGGGATGTGATGTATCAACTGCAAACTCCAGCTTACCCGTCCTGCTGTCCTTGGCTGATGTGACCATCAAAAACAGGAATCCAACTGGCATGGGCTAGGCAATTTCTTGTGTTTCTAAGAATGTTTTACCACTGCCTATTGAATCTTGAAATCTGCTGGCAGCTTCGACATCATGTCATCTCCTGTGAGGTTGTTGTGGCCTTTCACTATCTAAGACATAAGGGACCCCCTTTTGAACTGGTGGGTTTTCCGGCGCCTAAAACCAATCATGCACCTGAGTTTTTAAAGGATGCCCACCTTTAGGCACAATCGAGGGCTGTGCGTCCCTTGGAATAGACCATTTTAATCGGAAAACACACCGTGTATTGTCTTTAAACTGTTCTTATTTTTTATGGAATTTTATGGCATGTGAGACCCTTTCTGGTCGTCCCAAGAAAATCGGCTGCTGGAGAAATCCATCATATCCCCATGTTGGTGATAAGCTCCAATGCTGTCCGGGAAAAAAATGCCATCGCAAGGTCCCATTTGTTGTATACCTTTGTTACCTTTTCTTGGTAACTACCATTGTGGCTCATGTGGTTACATGGTATTTCTATGTATTTGTGGTATATTTTATATTTATTGTTTATTATTTACAGAATCCATGGTGTATACCAATGTTGGTGTTCCCCGAGCCATCAGGTGGTCCTTTATTGCACAGCCATTGCGATCCTTCGAATTCTGGAGAGCTGCAAGAGCTGATCGTCAAGGGATGGCGCATGTTTTTGATACAAATCGTTGCCGTAATTGGATGTCATTATGTCATTGATGCCTTTGTTCTGCAAGACTGTTCTTTTGTGCGTCAGTCGCGACCAGTGCTTCGAAATGTCTGAACTTGATACATGTTTGGTGCTTCCTACTAGCGGCTCAGCGGTTCGGATGCTCCATATGGTCATGGCTTCAGAATTTGGTCTTTTTAGTTCAACTCGTTGACCAAAAAGAAACCGGAACAGGAATCTGTACTTGGTGGCGAACTACCCAGTTAGTAAGTGGGATATAACCCCAGTTATAAATGGGATAAGTAGGGTTAATCCACTTATAATTGGGGTTATAACCCACTTACTAAGTGGTATGAACCACCAAGTATGAATCTGTTCGTTTGGTGCGATCAATTGCTCCAGGAGGATCCATTGCTCCACCCTGATGGTCGCCGTGGACCCAAAGCGGCTAGGGGACCTAAGTCATGAACCATGAACCATCATTTAGTGAACTAATCGTAACCATTTTTTTCACGAAGTTAAGTATGATCATCAAAAACACCAACGAGAAGTAGAAAACCACAATTCGGAACTCATCATCGGATGATTGAAGAATGCAACAAGGATTAAAGAGTCATTAGAGAGTTCTGACGAGGATGTTTTTCTTGGATGTTTGAGCCAGTTAGGATGAAAATCATTTCAGTTGGGGACAATTTATGTCAGAATGTTGACATTCAGACAGATGGTATGTGCCATGATGGGCCAACAATTCAGGCACGAGTGGTGAATGCCATGGTCAAGTTACAGTACATGCTTTGTTTTCCCAGAGTCTGTCATCCATAGTTGTTTACATATCCATTCTGTGGATGGGCCAGCGAAATCCAAGACCATCACCTTAATTGGATGGTTTTTCAACATGTTGGTTTTTCACCCAACAAAAATCATGGGATAACTATATTGGTAACTATATAGTTGGTAACTATTGATAACTATGAAAATCATGGGATTTTCTAGTGGGATGTTTACCACCTATCAACTGGGGCTTTCGGATTTGGCCCATCCACCGAATCCACCGGATTTTTCACGCGAGGGGTTGTGGAGAGAACGGTCGTTTCCAGGTCCCGCCAGACCTCGAGAGTTGTTTCCGGGTCTTGAACGAGGACGCCGTTTGGTTGAAGGGGATGTTAGGGGATGTTAGGGGAATTTTGATTTCAAGTCTGTTTGATGTTTATATTGCATACCTGTGATGATGATCCATTGACTTTCAGTTTGTGCGAATGCGTGGATCAACTGCCAACCAAAGATTCCTTTTTGTCAAAACTTTGTCTGGAAGACCTATAATGTTCCCAATGTTGGCTGCTGCAGGTAGAGAAATTTACCAAATTCCGTGGGTTCTCCATTCAAGAATGGTCCGCTTCACGCATAGAATTATTGAGGAGCAAAGTTTGAAGATTCCTAGCTTCACATCGTCCATCAACAGGGGTTGGTAACTGTCCCATTTTGGGTATATTGGACATCACCTTATAGTAGCCATTATAGACCATATACCTAATGGTTGGGTGATGTTCAATGGGGACATCAGTCATGACCCATGATCAAAACGAGATGGCCGAGATGGCCAAGATGATGCCTTCAGGAGTTGCGAAGTCGCGTTCACGATCCCGATGAATTGCTGTGGCACATCGATCAGGCCAGATTCTGGTGCCACAGACACTGGGCCGGGGGTGTTGAACTGGCTCTGATCAGTAAGTGAAGGTAAAATATTATAAAACCACAGCTGATACTTGTAGAATGTGTAGAGTTTATCCAGTATTATCACCACACAGTTTATCCATGTTTTTGATTGCAAACTTGTGTTTATTCAATTCACATCTTGTGCAGTGCCAATCCTTCTTGATGCTTTAATGATCTGCATTTGGCTCCAACGTGCTGCATTCTCTGTTATGAGGTGTTGCGGATTATATTCTATTTTATAAACCCTGTTAACATCTCACGATAGTAGGTAACGAGAGGTTAAATTAAATCATTGGTCAATCTCAATAATGATCAATAATGTGGGTAAAACATTGTCATAAATCACCCATTTGGGAATGGTTTATGCCACCTATTTACGGTGATTTGGGGGATGTTTTTTTTTCTCAATAATTGATTAAATAACTTATGGGTTACTCTAATAATGTCAATAATATATTTGAGTTTATCAAGACAATAGGATTGATAAAAATGATTATTGGTAATGTCCAAATAACTTTTTTTTGGTTAAAAAATTAGGACATATCTAATTATATATTGGTGAATAAATAGGGTCATTGGATAGTACTAACCAATAAGTCCTAATTGATAAGTCCTAGATTATTGGCGAGCCGCACAGGTCCGACGAAGGACGCCGCACAGGATTTGCGTAGTAGGCTCAGTGGGGTTAGTCTGACACAATGAAGTAACAACATTACATATATACGTATATATATATATATATTAATAAATATATATGTATATATATAATAAATATATATATACATGTAATATATTTATTTATTTACTTATATTATGATATTGTATAATCTTGTATTTGTTTAAATCACAATGTATACCATGTGAATCCATATTTTGCAATACGTACACCACTGAGCTCCTGGAACCATCATCAACGTACCTGTTGACCTTTGAGGTCGAGATTCGCGCCATCGAAAATACCGAGTTCGGAACTGGCCGAAGCAGGTCTCTCAGTGGATCTGTCCCAGTTCTGAAGCACCACAGGTGCGCTTCGTGTCAAAGACTTAAATGAGGATTTGTTTTGATTCCAAGACTTAAAGGTCCAAATGAAGTCATGTTTGTAGGTCACAAAGAATTGAACATGTGGTAGGTCTTAGACTTTCGACCACAGCCTGTGTCAGCCAAATTGTTGGGTGTTTGGAATGAAATGAGGCTTCACCGTTCCAAGCCCAACTGCTTCGTTTTTTGCAGCGGTGCCATTCTTAGCTGCATGTCCTTGACCCCCTGATGATGTTCCTTCCAGGCGTTTGACAAGCATGGCACTATATATATATATATACACATACCCTTTGGTAAACTAACATAGCTATGGAAAATCACAATCTTTAATAGGTAAATCAATTTTAATAACTATGTTAAATTACCAGAGGGTATGTGTTTATTGTTGTTGCTCATATCCCCATTGTTGTTGATTATTTTTTGGTATCCATGGCATCCCCCGTCACGTAGTTGCATCTCCAACATCATATTTTATTATGCTGGCTATATTTGTATATATATATATATAACTCATATATATATATATATACATGTGATTATATATGTGGCTCTATAATATGTGGCCATAGAATACCATATATATATATAAATCTCCCCATGAAGTTTTGAACACCAAGGCGAAGGATCGGATGTCTCGCTTGTTTCGCTAAAAGGGGCCCGGCTGCGGCATGTTTTTTTTCGAAATCACCTCGACGATATTTGGAATGAGCTACATATAACAGTCACAGTATATTGTTAATGACATAAATTGACAATGACATCATGAAAAACATTTGACTTAACAATGACATCATTGTTTGGTTTGTGATTAATAACATTATTAGTAACAACAGTACAATGGTACACCTCAGTCTGACGGTATTTGATTCCAAGCTTCCATTTAATATTGGTTTGTTTTATTAATATTAGATGTTAACTTGAACTTCTTGAATCCACACTTGTTTCAGGAAATTCATCTCAAATCCATGAAATACATAGTGATATAGAGTTTGTTGGCAGCCGATAGTCAACTTGTAGATGATCACTAGTCAGTTGTCAGACGGTTTTCAACATGTGTTTGCCATTTGTTTTCAATTGCAGTCTATGGAAGCGTCAGCAAGAAACGCACCTAAGCACCAAATTCCAATCCAGTTGCAGGCGATTCTTTCAACGAAAGCCCAAAAAACACCTGGTAAATTCCTATTGCGACTGCCATGTTTGACTACCCACTTTTTATGGAAAACATATCCTTCAGAGGCCACAATTTGTGGAAAACATAGGTTTGGATATGCCACACTCACATGGAAACCCTATGTCTCGAACTGCGCTGAACCTTAAGCGTGTGGCCCATAAAGAAGGGCCTTCATTAGTCAGCGGCCCCCCCAATATATTATATATATATATATACATATGAAGTATATGATGTAGCAACAAAAAAGGTTGTACAGCTATTTTGTTCATCCCCATTTGTACCGAGAGAAAAAAAACAACAGCAAACGCCAAAGCATTCATGCAGCCGAATATGTTCGACTTGCTTTGAAGCTGCAATGGGACCATGCTGGAACAAGCCAAGTCCTGCAGCAGCTCTTGCTGATGCATGGAGACGTGGCAAGCCTACTACAGCAGGCAATGGATGGCAGCACTAAAATTGAAGGAATATCCTCCGGTTCTCCGCAATTTAATACATTTTGATGTGGTAATCGACAAGTCATGAAGAAATCACACATAAGACTATCCAGATATGATTTTCCTCTTAAGCATGTTGATTTCTCATTGCCATGCTTTACTTTACCAGAAGTCCAGAAGGTACAGTCGTGGTGTCAAGAATGGGATCATTGGAACAACGAGAAACCATTGTGAATACATATTGTCTATGTACATAAATTATTATTTTTCAATTATAATTATAATGAATAAATGTATATATATATATATATATATATGCACACATATATATGTATATATAATATACATATTATATTATGTTCCAGGTGATGGAGTTTATGGTCGCTTAGTTTATCTCCGACCCGGCGTGGCTTCCACAGCGCAACACCTTGTGGATGCCAAACGACCGGTGGCCTTCGTGGCAGATGGCGAGTCATGGGCATCGTCTATTGGTTTGTCGGCCACTGAAACTCTGTCAATCTGCCATTGGTTTGTGGGTTGGCGATAGGTGCATATATAGGAAAAATCTACATGTATATACATGTCTATATTTTTATTTATATATTAAGATACTTGTACGATACAGTACATCTACATATATATATATAAAGTACACATATGTACACACGTTATATGTTCCCGCTTTCCAACAATCAAGTTGCATATTCGTCGGGAAGACTCCGCGGTTGAAATTTCGATTCTGCAGCAAAGTCCCACTCTATGCTGCCGTGGCAGCCCTTCCAAGGAAATTCTTTTGCGCAATGGTGTGCAGCAGTCATGGATTGACAACGAAGCAAAGATTGGAACACGTTTCTTGAATAGACTTTGAGAGTATTGGAGAAAGTCTTGCAGTCACTTTCCTCGTGAATTGATAAAAAATCACCACCTTGCGAGAATCGTGCAAGTCAAGCTGGTGTGGTGTTGTTGGGATTGCAAGGACAGACTCAGATTAGATCTACTTGAATGACTTTTGCTATCTCCAGATATCTTGATCGATGGTGTTTCCAAGATTTTCCAAGTACTCCAGATAGTTTGCGATCATTTGGGACATTCTCTTCATTATAACCCTGAGCATCCGATATTGATTACAATCAATATGGGGCAAGCACTTTTGATTTCAATGTTTTTTCAATATAAAATATTGATTTCAGAGCCCTTGGTGTTATTTTTCTATATTGATTTGTTTGCTGGGTTTGAAAAGCAAGCCAAAAATCAATATAAAAATCAATATAACAATCAATATAAACATCAATATTTTTCCAATGTTTCCACTTGTCTCCCCTTTCCCTTTTGGACCCCAGACATTGCAGCACCAGCCCCCTCCTTTGGAGAGTTGTATGCACAAATTTCATGGCAAAGTGTTATCCTTTGCCAAGGATCAGGACCCTTTCTCAAGGATTAGCTCCATCACTCCCTTTTTCAAGGGATATCCTTTCTCAAGGGATGCCCTTTCTCAAGGGCCCCTGGCAACTTGCCCTTTTGCAAGGGTTCTATCCTTTTGCAAGGATCAGTGCTGGTATCTTTCCCTTTCCCAAGGGATGTCCAAAGAGCTCCAGGGCTAAGGTGGCAGTGCCCTTTTGCAAGGGGTTTCCTTTTGCATTAAGGAGCATCCTTTCTCAAGGATTGATTTTGGCAATTTCCCTTTTGCAAGGGACATCCTTTCTCAAGGATTGCTTGTGGCAAACTCCCGTTTTCAAGGGGCACCCTTTCTCAAGGGCTAGTCTTGGCAATTGCCCTTTTGCAAGGGCAATCCTTTTGCAATGATTGTGTGCCAGGGTGTCCCTTCCTCAAGGGGCATCCTTTGCCAAGGATCAGCTCCACTCATCCCTTTTTCAAGGGGCGTCCTTTGTCAAGGACCATTGTTTCCCTTTCCCAAGGGATGGCAGCTTCCCCTTTCTCAAGGGGCACCCCTTATGCTCCATCCACCCTTTTGCAAAGGGTGCCCTTTCTCAAGGATCATTCCTGGCAGCCATCCCTTTCCCAAGGGTGCTCCTTTCCCAAGGAATTATCCTTTTGCAATGATTCAAAGGCCAAACTTCATAATTGGGGTCCAGCTGATGTGGGGCACCCTGTCCATTTGTTTTGTGCTGCAGGACTCTTTTGCAAGAGTTTCTCGCAATACTTGGACCAGGGCTGAGAGTTCATTGTTCTGCAACAAGGCAAAGTTCAGCTGCCCATATCTTTGGAATTGCCCTTTGATTACCCTTGGCCACAGGAAAGCTTGTGACCTGATAGTTGCAATCCGATGTTCTTGATGGGTAAGAAATTTGGCCAAGCCCAAGCTAATATGAGGCTGCACCACAGGAAACCCATGAGCAACTGGCTTCAGCCAAAGTGCAAAATATGTGAAGCCATCATTGTTTTTCCTTTGGATCAAGCAGCTTTGGTCCAAAGAAAAGCTTGCCTCACCTACATTTTGCAGCCACCTTTCATGGTAGACTCCCCAATATTCTGTTGGGGGGTCCATGGTTGCAAGAACTCTATGTCTTATTTCCAGCTGGCCCCTTTCCTAAGGGTTTGGTGGGCATGGCGCAGGCAAGCTGAAAGGCGTGTTGCTCATCACCCTTTCTCAAGGGCTAAGGGCTTTAAAACCCCAACCCTTTTTCAAGGAGTTTCCCTTTTGCAAGGGTTTCTCTATACCTTTTAAAGGTTTGCCTTTTGCAAGGCTTGGCTACCCTTTTCCAAGGGTTGGAACTTGCCCTTTTGCAAGGGCTGGATCTTCTACAACTTTTCACACTAAACCTAAAGCTTTGAAGCAAAACGGCTGCAGAGGCATGCATGTCAGGTAAGCCTGTATGCCTGCCCAGTTACCATTCCCTTTCCCACCTTCGCAAGCTGCAGCCAGCAAACTTTTTCTAGGCATGTGAAGTGTTTCACAGGCTTTGCTGCACAGAAGCCTTGAGGCCATTTCTAAAAACACTACCCTTTTGCAAGGGCTGGTTCCCTTTTGCAAGGGCTCCTTTTGCAAGGGTTAGTCCCCTTTTGCAAAGGGCTGGTTCCTTTTGGCAATGACCAATACCCTTTTGCAAGGGTCAAAGGGAAGGCCTGTGCCACTTAATTTGTTGCAAGGGCTGTCATGAGCAAGTGACTGTCCAGGGATTGTTCTTGGGAGAGGAGGGGTCCAAAGATCCAAACCATCAAGCTGTCCCTGGATTCATATTCCACTCCATCACCATGTGTGAACAGAGGGATGGTGACTTGCCCCCACCCTTTTTCAAGGGTTGCTGGATGGTTAACCAGCCTGTCATCATCACTTGCTCCTCACAAACTGCAGCAACCTTCTCTTGCAAAGAAAGATTGCCAAGTCTGTTGAAGTTCTTAGCAGAGGGCTTTCCCTTTTTCAAGGGCTTGCTGCCACTGCTGAGGAGATGCTTGCCCTTTCCCAAGGGCTTGCCCTTTGGCAAGGGCTTGCCCTTTGGCAAGGGCTTGTCCTTTTGAAAGGATTTGCCCTTTGGCAAGGGCTTTCCCTTTGGCAAGGGCTTGCCCTTTGGCAAGGGCTTGTCCTTTTGCAAGGGCTTGCCCTTTGGCAAGGGCTTGTCCTTTTGCAAGGGCTTGCCCTTTGGCAAGGGCTTTCCCTTTGGCAAGGGCTTGCCCTTTGGCAAGGGCTTGTCCTTTTGCAAGGGCTTGCCCATTTGGCAAGGGCTTGCCCCTTGGCAAGGGCTTGCCCTTTTGCAAGGGCTTGCCCTTTGGCAAGGGCTTGCCCATTTGGCAAGGGCTTGCCCATTTGGCAAGGGCTTGCCCCTTGGCAAGGGCTTGCCCTTTTGCAAGGGCTTGCCCTTTGGCAAGGGCTTGCCCTTTGGCAAGGGCTTGCCCTTTTGCAAGGGCTTGTCCTTTTGCAAGGGCTTGCCCATTTGGCAAGGGCTTGCCCTTTGGCAAGGGCTTGCCCTTTTGCAAGGGCTTGCCCTTTGGCAAGGGCTTGCCCTTTGGCAAGGGCTTGCCCTTTGGCAAGGGCTTGTCCTTTTGCAAGGGCTTGCCCATTTGGCAAGGGCTCGCCCTTTGGCAAGGGCTTGCCCTTTTGCAAGGGCTTGCCCTTTGGCAAGGGCTTGCCCTTTGGCAAGGGCTTGCCCTTTGGCAAGGGCTTGTCCTTTTGCAAGGGCTTGTCCTTTTGCAAGGGCTTGCCCTTTTGCAAGGGCTTGCTTTTCCAAAATTTTCTTTTTCAATGGTTTTGCCATCTTGGAAATTGGCATTTTCTTCCTAAAAGTGTTTGAAGTTTAAAATGGCTGCAGGTGCATGAAGTGTTTAGTTCATGTGTGTGTGTGTGCATATGTGTGTTTTGTACAAAATGTGTACAAAATTGCTTTTAAACAGAAACAAGCAGAAAACAAACATATAATATATTATAATGCATATAAATAGTTTTCTTGTCAAAACTACATAACAAATAAAACACACCATGCATATATCATACACAAGCATGTTCATGAATAAATAAATAAATAAGTAAATATATATATATATATTTATTTATTTATATAAATGTATTTTATTAATTTTATGCAATTATATTAAATTATATTGAATATTTATTATTTATTTTTTTTGCAGGTGGAAGAAAACCCATGATTTTTCAACCGAACCAAAGCAATACATTAACACAAACCAAAACAATATAAAACAAACATAGATAAAACATTTTTTTATTTAAGCAAAACACGGGTTTTCAATATTTTCCAAACCAAAACAAATTGGTGTTACTACCCAAACAAACATACAACACATATAAATTCAATACCAAAACCAATGTTCAACAATCATTGGCTACATTAATTTCAACTTTTTCAAGGTGTTGCAAATCTAAATCTGGTTTCAATCACTGGTTGTTGCATTTTTTCAAATGAATTTAGTTTTGATGAATTTTGATGAACTTTGATGAACCTTGATGAAATTTGATGAACTTTGATGAAATTTGATGAAAAACATATTTTCATCAAATTTCATCAAAGTTCATTTCTTTTTTCAAAACCTTGATTTTTTTTGATGAACTTTGATGAAATTTGATGAAAAACCATGTTTTCATCGAATTTCATCAAATTTCATCAAAGTTCATTTTTTTTCCCCACCTGCCAGGTGAGGATTGTTAGATTTTATCTAAGTTGCCTGGTCCTCCTCCTCCTGCCTCCTCCTCCTGCCTCCTCCTCCTCCTCTCCTCCTCCTCTCGTTGTCCTCCTCCTCTCGTTGTCCTCCTCGTCCTCCTGCTCAACTGCGACTCGCGATCCACAGTGTTCTCTGTCGGACCTCAACCACGACCATCCACGCCCAGTGTTCTCTGTCGGACCTCAACCACGACCATCCACGCCCAGTGTTCCCTGCCGGACTTCAACCACGACCATCCACGCCCAGTGTTCCCTGCCGGACCTCAACCACGACCATCCACGCCCAGTGTTCCCTGCCGGACCTCAACCGCGAGTATCCCCGCCCAGTGTTCCCTGCCGGACCTCAACCGCGACCATCCACGCCCAGTGTTCCTGCCGGACCTCAACCGCGAGTATCCACGCCAAAAGATATGCCACATAGAGTGCCAGAAGATATGCCAGATAGAATGTTAGAAGATATGCCAGATAGAATGCCAGAAGGTATGCCAGATAGAATGCCAGATAGAATGTCAGCTAGAATGCCAGAAAATATGCCAGATAAAGTGCCAGAATGTTTGCCAGATAGAATGCCAGCAGATTTGCCAGATAATATGCCAGAAGATATGCTAGATAGAATGCCAGATGGAATGCCAGAAGATTTGCCAGATAATATGCCATAAGATATGCCAGATAGAATGCCAGATGGAATGCCAGAAGATATGCCAGAAGATATGCCAGAAGATATGCCAGAACATCTGCCAGAAGATATGCCAGAACATCTGCCAGAAGATATGCCAGGAAGAATGCCAGAAGATATGCCAGATAGAATGCCAGATCGAATGCCAGAAAATATGTCAGATAGAATGCCAGAAGATTTGCCAGTAACAAAATGTATAAATGTCATGGTGGGGATCACACGAAGTAAAGTAATTTTTCAAAACCTTGATTTTTTTTGATGAACTTTGATGAACTTTGATGAAATTTGATGAAAAACCATGTTTTCACCAAATTTCATCAAATTTCATCAAAGTTCATTTCTTTTTTCAAAACCTTGATTTTTTTGATGAAATTTGATGAAATCTGATGAAAACCATGTTTTCATCAAATTTTATCAAAGTTCAATTTTTATTTTCAAAGCCTTGAATTTTTTGATGAGCCTGTTAAAAAACAAATAAACTGATAGAATTGGATAGGATTGGATTGGCACTAATATTTTTAAAACATTTTTTTCAATTTATAAACCCTTTCAAAACCAAAACAAATAATTTAAATATATTTCAATGTTTTTTGTGTACACAACAAAACAGTAAGGCAACATTTCACTGTCAAACCTGTATTGGACTATATTGAAACTATACTGGAAATATTTTTGAAAATACATTGTATAATTTGAGATAGATTCCAGATACTATTTGTGTCTGACTATTAAAATAAATAATTTGAACACTTATTTTTGCAATTAAGGATTTTCCCAACTGCATCTTAACATATTATATAAAAAATCAAGCTTAATTCATGGTTTTTCAGGTATGAATTCACTGGTTTTTAATTTTGGGTCAAACAGTTTAGTACTCTGTGTTTCTATGCTGTTTCAAATATCATTGTGGGATTTGCTTGGGTCAAGAAACTGCAGAGTCAACAGAAACATAATCATCTGCCTGCAGCCTGAAACAGACACCAAACAGCATTTGAGAAAACATCCCAGTTTACAAAAATGAACCTTGCCACCTTAAATCTTGAATGTTTGTGATGTCCCTTTTGCAAGGGATAATGTTTAATTTGGTGTGCCTTTTTTCCAATAGTATCTGTGTTTCCTTGCTTTGTTGTTTTAGAGCCCATACAAAACTCAAAAAACATCAGGTTTTCAAAAGGCATATGTCCATGGCAAAGGTTTTTAATTTAAAAAAACAGGTTGTGTAAAGTTGCATGTATTTATATTTAGTACATTAATTATTTAACTATTTTGATTTATTTATATTTATTTATTTCATTTTTTTGCTGCTTGCTACACATTTGGTAGCTTCTGTACAAGCCACTGTTGGGCTGCAGCTACAAGTGGCCCTTTTGCAAGGGCTGAGCTATGGCTCAGGTTAACACACAGCAAACAGAAACACACATTGTTTTTTTTAATATCACCACACCTGTATATATATATATATATGTATGTATGTATGTATGTATGTATGTATGTATGTATGTATGTATGTATGTATGTGTGTATGTGTGTGTAAATACACGCATTTGTTATTGCAAATGCTGTGTGTAGACCTGAGCCACATGACCCTTTTGCAAGGGTTGCTCTTATTTGATCCTTTTGCAAGGGTTATCCTTTTGCAAGGATTGGGGTGAGACACTGTCCCTTTTTCAAGGGGTATCCTTTTGCAAGGCTTGGGGTGAGACATCCCTTTTTCAACGGGTATCCTTTTGCAAGGATTGGGGCCAGTCACCTACCCTTTTTCAAGGGTTATCCTTGGGGGTGGGGACACTTACCCTTTTTCAAGGGTTATCCTTTTACAAGGATTGGGGCTAGACACCTACCCTTTTTCAAGGGTTGCCATGTGAGAGCCATACCCTTTTTCAAGGGTTTTGCAGAGCACCCTTTTGCAAGGGCTGGAAGCAGTCTCAAAGATTGTAATCCCTGATGAACTGCTTCACTGCGTCTGCAAAGGATGCAAACCTGGAGTTTTCTGGCATCCATGCATGGCTCTCTCTGGGTGTCTGGATGCCATAGGTTTTGACACCCCATGAGCCTAGCTCTTGCAAGATGTCCTTTGAATCATCAAAGGCCACCTGGCAGCCCCACTCTGTGGCATACTCTGCCTTGCCCCCCACCCCAGTGCGACTGGTGCAGCATCCCCACCAGTGAAGTTGTTCAATGAGATCCGGGAGCTTGTCCCACATTTCCTTTTCAACTTTGGTGATTTGCTTGGCCCCACAGAAGGAGAGCACATGCACCTCCACTCCTTTGTCAAGGAGCTTCTGCAGGGCCATGAGGTCCTGGACCAGCACAGTGTCCTGGGGACCATTTTTCAGGCAATGGTGCCAATCAACCAACACAGCCAAAGGTTCTGATTGGGCTTCAGGGGACTGCTTCTTTTCTGACCCTTTTTCAAGGGCTGCAGTCTCCTTCCCTTTTGCAAGGGATTTTGCCTGCTTGTTGGTGGCAGTCTTTGACTCCAGAACTGCCACCTTTTTGGCAACATTTCCTTTTTCAAGGAATTGCCCTTTTTCAAGGGCTGTTGCCTCCTCTTTTTCAAGAAGTTTTTTTCCCTTTTTCAAGGGGTGCAGCATTGCTGCTGCTTGCAGCTGTCCCTTTCTCAAGGGATGTGCCAGTTTCCAGCCTGGGACCAAGCCTGGGACCAAGCTTCCCTTCAGCTCCTGCCACTTGGCTTCATATTGCCCTTTTGCAAGGGCTTTGTTCCCTTTCTCAAGGGGTGTCCCTTTTGCAAGGGCTTTGTTCCCTTTCTCAAGGGGTTTCCCTTTTGCAAGGGCTTCGTCCCCTTTTTCAAGGGGCTTGCCAGTGGATCATCACCTTCTTGGCTTGCTTGGCAGCTCTTCTGGCTTGCCTAGCCCAAGAGGTGGTGCCCCCACCAGTCTTCCTTCCCTTGGAATTTCTCCAAGGTTCATCCTCCTCCCACTCCTCCTCTTCTTCCTCCTCCATGTCCACATTTTTCTTCTCCTTCTTCCTACTCATAGCTGCTAGGCTCAGAACCAAAAATGGCTGCAGGCAGGACATGTTCATGTGTTTAGTTTGCTTGTTTTAACAACTAAACATGTTTTGTTTGCTTTAGCATAGCATAGGAAAAGAGACAAAAACATATGGACAACAAACATGGCACAAAAGGAAATACAAGGAACACCCTTTTGCAAGGGCTACCCTTTTGCAAGGGGCAGGGTAGAGACAAACACATTCCCAGACCCCAAAACCATGTCAAAAACCAACCACAAAATCAATATAAAATATTGATTTTGGAGGCTTCAAGGCTTCAAAATCAATATAAAAATAGAGGAAAATGAGTATAAAAATCAAAGTGGATATCAATAAAAAGAGGTATTTGGTCCAACTTTTTATATTGATTTTGAAGCTTCAAAAGCATTAGTTTTATATTGATATTTATTTTGATTTTTTAGTAAAATCAATATCGATATTTTTTTTGGAAAAAATATTGATTGTAATCAATATCGGATGCTCAGGGAACATATTATAACATTTGTGGATAACGCTTGCTGTGTGTCAAGGTTTTGTTCTCGCCTTGTTGGATGACGATGGTGCAATTTGGCCCGCTACGTGGGATGGTCTGGAAAGAGTGGTTGACACATACTATGCTGGTGACATTGCCAACAAAATGAAGAAGCACTGGCCCACGTTGCGCTCTCACACCTGGGATCACTTGGAAACCTTGGGAAAATCCAGCTTCTCTGCAATGGAAGAGAAAGATGGCCAGATGACACCAGAATTCTACCTCCAATGTGAAGATTCAGTTTTCAATGCTCGCAGGTTTTTGGCCAATTCTCTCTCTGTGAACCGTTTGTTCTCAGGGACAGGTTTCACGGTTGATGAGCGCAATTCCGGACACAAAGGTACAGCTGAGTATTTTGCAGTGAATCGTTTGTTGAGTTCAATTCCTCCTCCACAGCTGGTAAATATCAGCTTGTAAATATTAGCGTTTTCCGCTGCTTCACGTTGAAGGCGGAACGGTACAAAACGGATAGTTATTGGACCCACGTCTCCACCGGGATATGCAGCATTCAGGCTCACACTGACCATTTCATGACTACCGTTTCCAACGAACTTCAGCAAAAGATATTTGTTGCATAGATATACAGCAGTACTATTGCTGGAACATGCCGGAACAAACTTGCACAGTGAACCCATTCAAAGTCCAAGTTTTTTCAGGAAGTAACCTCTCCTGTGCATCAAAAATGCGTTCACCTGCCCGCATACATAAATAGAGGCTGCACTTGAAAAAGTGAAAACCTCCTGTGTCATGAAACATGGAATTTTGCCCTGTTGATATTTGATGTCTACCACCATTGAAATGCAACGCATTGAATGCTGTGTCCCACACATTTGGTTGTATCTTTTGGGCTCAAGATAGTTTCTGTGTGAAGATACAATACAATAGGATACAAATATGGATACAATAGGTTCGAACATGTTCGAACATGTTCGAACCGAACCGTCCACCCCTTGCTTCTTTGACATTGGTTCAGCTGAGGTGCCAACATCGGTTGATGTGTTTCAATTCCACTCCGTTGAAATCCTTGCAGTTTGCAAAGAACGGATCATATCATCAGGTACTGAGTTACTGTATATCATCCCATTATTTATATATAAGTATATATATATATACACCACCATTAACCAACAATTATGTGTAGCTCTACCATGGTATAATATTGGCTTTGTAGTACTGTCATCTTGGCTTCGCGGCCGAAGCTGTTATGGCGAGGGCCGGGCGTCTTAGTTCGGTGATCGTTGACATGCGGTGACTGCTTGAAATGTCGGGTGGAAGAAGTGGCAATGTTAGACTACCATTTATAGTGATTAAACTACCATGTATAATACTCCAATTTTTATTTTAATATGATTCTTATAGTGATTGGAATATTCATGCACATGATACCCTCTCATTATTTCACAGAGCTAAGCCAGGCCCAATAATTATTTAAACTATGGTGATTGTCGCTACATGAATCGAGGCTGTTTTTTTGGGGGGTTTAACCTTGTGCAAATGGACAAACTCAGCAGGAACAATTGGAAAGTAACATGTTATTGAAAGATGGGGGACACTGCCAGTTGTTACAGTTTAATGTTACAATTGTTTATTGAAAGTAGCATGTTATGGGAAACTACACAGTTTAAACAGAGCAAACACTGCCAGCTACATAGTTTTGAAAGGACAACAACAGCCGTGCTCGCTCTGGAGCATCACTGGAAAACCAAGGACTCCCTGACAACATGGGAAGAACCCCCCTACCAATTCCTTTGCTGAAAGTGTCAGAAAAAGACAAACCTTCTTCTGAGCTATAGGTTCAAGTGTTTGCATGCATTGAGACTGCAGGTTTCGGCTTATCAACTTCCACCCTACACATCTCTACACTCAGGCTCATGACCCCTTTTGACCCAGAATCTCAGAAGGTTTCCCTGGAGGAATTCTATGTAATGATTCTGGCAGTGCTCTTGCCACATGTTCGCGGACGTTGCGCCACACTTACAATCGTCATCATCATCATCATCATCATCATCATCATCATCACCATGATCATCATCATCATCATCATGTTCATCTTCATGAGGGGTCAAAATTCATCACCCCCTCTGAACAATATGTTGATTGGGGTAATAACATCATCTATATCTCCATGAGGGATCAAAAATCGCCACCCCCTATGAGCAATATTTTGATTGGGGTAATAACATCAACTATATCTCCATGAGGGTTGAGGGGTCGTCTGTACACGCGAAAACGGGTTCGTCTGTACACGCGAGATAGGGCTCGTCTGTACACGCGAAAAGGATCCTCTTCATCCAATTCATCTATATAAGTTCATAATGTTCTACAACATCACCTTTTATTTTCGCAATGTCTATCCTCTACAACATCACCTTCTTTTTTATTTTCCACATCAACAGCATCATCCACATGTATTGGCAACAGCCATGTTATTTAAATTATTCAAAACCTGCAGGATATTACCGGCATCATCCATCATTTACAAGCAGCAAACCAAGAAGTCGGGGGGCGTAAGGTTCCAAGATAAAAACCTATAGATCAGCCAAGAGTAGTGCCTGTGTCTGCTGGAGAGCAAGAAAGATGATCAGGTTGGGTGTGCCTGTGTGTGAACAGGAACATGAACATTATTACCCCACCCCACCCCACCCCAGCGGTAACTGATCAGCCAAGATGGTTGGTATGCCTGTGTGTGCACAGGAACATGAACGTTATTACCCCACCCCACCCCACCCCACCGGTAACTGATCAGCCAAGAGTAGTGCCTGTGTTTGCAGGACAGCAAGAAAGATGATCAGGTTGGGTGTGCCTGTGTGTGCACAGGAACATGAACGTTATCACCCCACCCCACCCCATCCCCAGAAAGGTGCCTGCGTCTGCTGCAGAGAAGAAAGATGATAAGGTTTGCTGTGTCTGTGTGTGTGCACAGGAACATGAACGTTATTAGCCCACCCCACCCCACCCCATCCCCAGACAGTTCTGTGTGTACAGATGAACCCGGTATGTGTGTACAGATGAACCCGATATGTGTGTACAGATGAACCGGGTCTGTGTGTACAGATGACCCTGATTTGAGTGCGCAGATGACCCTCCATCCCTCCACATGAGGGATCAAATTTCGACACCCCCTATGAGCAATATATTGGTTGGGGTAATAACATCAACTTTATCTTCATGAGGGATCAAAATTCGCCACCCACTGTGAACAATATGTTGATCGGGGTAATCACATCAACTTAATCTTCATATTCACCTGAAGTCAGACGCGGAGCAATGTCAGGGTTGCAGCGTTGTTCTATTGATTCTATTGAAGCGGCTCAAATTGAAGCTACCAACATCATCGAGGTGCTGAAAGAGGAGGTCGGTTCAACGCAGGCTCCCAGTGTAGATCGTATGCTACTTCCGACCTTGAGGCAGATGCCTCTGTCAGCACTTCTTTGCTTGATCATGGCGAGAGATGGCTTTTGCGTCTTGCTGAACAAGAAGTCGAAGTGCTGCGCTGCCGTTGGGGCTGAACATGGCCTGTCTGACCGCAGCAGGATTGAAGATGTGTAAGTTCCTTTAGTGACTAGAGGGCAATTTCGGGCTGGAAGGCATTGATTGCTTGTACCATGCCATCCGATACTGCCATACATGTTTAAAACTGCCACAACTCTAGCGAGCTTCTACTCCGTGCCCAAAGGCAGGGGATTAATGAGGATTGCAGAGTGCCTTGAAGTTCAAGAATGTTCAACACAGACAAGACAAAGAGCTTAAGTATACATTATATAATATAATATATATATATATATTTATACTTATATTTATTATATGTTAGCTGGTTGGCGCTGATCGGTTTTAGCTGACTTGTGAAAATCCAACCACTTTCAGAATCGTATGTAATGTCCAGCTGGTTGATACTGGTCGGTTTCAACTAACTTGTGATTATCCATCTATTTTCAGAACCATATGGTGATATCAGCGGCTTGTCTCATTTGGGGAAGCCGACTGAAATTGTTGAAGCTCCCAGGTTGATTGATGATGCTGGAATGATGATGATCATTATCATCAGTTTTGCATATGCTTGCTGCTTCAGACCGGTTGCAACGGCATCAAGGTGTTGCAACCATTCTACTTGGTTGGGGCATTTTGAGTACTGTTTGCATTCTCACCGATTCTCATGCTATTTCTTTGATATCGCTGGTTGTCCAGCAATACTTCGGCTCCAATTCCTGATCTTCAACGCACGGGTGTTGTACTTTGGCAGGCTTTTTGGTGTGACAGAGCTTGGATTTTCGAGCAATACTCGATCTCCATGCCAGCAGAACTTGGTAGTGGCAGGATGCATGCAACTTTCGGTCTTCACGAGTCTCAAGTGGCAGAACGCATGATCGCCCCCATGGCAAGTTTTGATTGGATCCATCGCATCCTGTTCCTAGTTCTTGGGATGTGGTCTGCAGCAGAATCATGCTGTATTGGTTTCATCGTACCTCGAAGGTTCTGTCGTTCTGCGAACGGATCTGTCTGAAGGCGCAGGAAAGAATGTTTTTTTTGATTCTTTTGGATAGCAAGCCTGCATAAAGCATGATTGAAGAGCAAATTACTGCAGAGAGACTGGCAAGACTCAGACATCATCAGACATCAGCACTGGCACTGTAATGAGTTTTAAATCCATGTGAATGTACATTTGGGCTCTAGGTGCGCAGTGGTTGTAAGTTGTACGGTGTTTGGTTGTGCCCTTCCACTCGACACCTGGTCATGGCAACCCTCCGGTACCTCAACACCTTCATTGATGAGGAGCCAACTGGGCGCGTCTTTGAATCCCGTTCCAAGAGCTGGCCTCAACTTGGTGGCTTGGGGCATGCGATGGAGGAGATAGAGGGGAATGTGGAGACGCAAGCTGCCAGCTATGTTGCTGAGTTGGAGGGCAAATGGAGCGTCACCTTTGGTGAACGGCCACAGATTCCCCCAGAACCAGAGACGCAGATGGCTCTGCCGACTCAGTCAGCACAAGAAGCAGCACCAGAAGTACCGCCCGCAGTGCAGAATGCTGCGGTGGCAGAGATTTCTCAGGCCCCAACCAGCAAAGGCAGCCGTGGTCATCCAGTAGTGTGCTTCCGCCCTTGCATCCGCTTGGCGAAGGGAATCTGCGAAATGGGAGATGCTTGTGACTATTGCCACTACAAGCATCCCCGCTATGTAACTCCAGACAAACGCCAGCGGTTTCTGTTGAACCACATGGACCCTTGGTCTCTTTTTTTTCTGTTCTTTTGTTGCTGCACATCGAAGCGCAGTATACATGTATATAAATGTCAGATGCCCCCACAATCTCAGTAACATTCCATAGTCCCATAACTGTGTGATCTTGTAGCCGGGTAGCCATGAAGGATGTCGAGCTATCTATCTATCTACCTACCTATCTATCTATCTATCGATCTATCTACCTATCTATCTACCTATCTATCTATCTGTCTATCTACCTATCTACCTATCTATCTATCGATCTATCTACCTATCTATCTATCTATCTACCTATCTATCTATCTATCTATCTATCTTTCTATCTATCTATCTATCTATCTTATCCTATCCTATCCTATCCTACCCTATCCTATCCTATCTATCTATCTATCTATCTACCTGAACCTGCGTTTGCTGACGACCCCTTCTCTGGCGGGCACATCATGAACTCCAATTAGCCCACAGATACGGGGACTGATTCCTGGGAGACGTCTCCCGTTTCCATGCCTTGGGGGTTAACGTTGTCATGCTGAAGGTACCAAGTGGAGATTCCCCTAGCCACCTCCAAACTGTCCATGCCCGTAAACTTGGTGAGTTTGATTTGTTGTTTTCGTCCATTGAGCAGTTGCCCCATGCCCATGTTGGGTTTTATTCCCCAAACGGTGTGTCCACACTGAGGGGTTCTTACGGTAGGTGCAAAGGCCGGGGCTTGATCAGGGTGCTCGCTCAGGTCTCGCGCATTTTTCCTGTAAAATTCTCCATCAATTGGCTCTTGTGAAATGTTGACATGCGTTTCATTGCGTTTCGACTGTGCAGGCTCACGCAAACTGTGGGCCGTGGTTTTGGGACGCGGCATTTTTTTCTTAATTTCTGCAAAAAATAAAGTGGCTCTTTTGAAATCTTGCCATGCGTTTCGACTGCGCAGGCTCGCGCAAAGTGTGGGCCGTGGTTTTGGGCCAAAATTCCGCATAAAGTGGCTCTTGTGAAATCTTGACATGCGTGCAGGCTCGCACAAAGTGTCGGCCGTGGCTTTGCGCCGCCGCATTTTTCCGGCAAATTTCTGTATTGTGGCTTGTGAAATCTTGACACGCGTTTCGACTGCCCAGGCTCGCACAAAGTGTGGGCCGTGGTTTTGGGCCGCGGCATTTTTCCTGTAAATTTCCGTATGAAGTGGCTTGCTGAAGTGCATTTCGACTGCGGAGGCTCGCACAAAGTGTGGTCCTAGGTTCTGGGCCGATCATGATCATCCTCATCCTCATGCTCATCATCATCGTCGCCATCATCATCATCACCCTCTTCACCTTCACCCTCACCATCATCATCATCATCATCATCATCATCATCATGATCGTCATCATCATGATGATGATCATCATCATCACCATCATCATCTCCATCATGATAGTCTTCATCATCACCATCATCATCATCATCACCATCATCATCATCATCACCATCGTCTTCATCATCATCATCATCATCATCATCATCTCCCTCACCCTCATCATCATTTTTACCGTCATCATCATCATCCTCCTCATCATCATCGTCAGGATAATCATCATAATCATCATCATCATCATCATCATCATCACCATCATCCTCAGCATCAACATCCTCAACATCATCACCCTCAACCCCACCATCCTCAACATTAACCTCATGCACCTCATCATCCTCAGCATCATCCTCTTCAACATCACCATCCTCACCATCACCATCCTCAACACCATCATCCTCATTCGAAGGGAGGGCTTTTTATTTTTTTTTGTTTTGCGGCAAGTTATGTTTTTTGGATTTCTGGTTCTATGCTTTCCTGCGTCTTTGATTTTCTGCTTCTCTGATTTTCTGGTTCTGCTTTTCTGCTTCTCTGCTTTTTCTGTTTTTCTGCTTGTCTTTTTCTTTGCTTTTCTACTTTTCTTCTCCTCTGCTTCTCTGCTTTTCCTGCTTTTCTGCTTTGTGCTTTCCCTGCTCTACTTTTCCGTTTCTCTGTTTTCCCTGCTTCTCTGCTTTTGTGCTTCTGTCTTTTACTACTTCTACTATTTGACTTTTCTTTTCTTCAGTCATGTGTTCTTGCTGCTCTTCTTCCTGCTCCTCTGCTTCTTTGCTTCCTGTCTCTTTGTTTTTCAGTTTCTGTTGCTTTATTCTTTCCTGTTTGTATCCTAAATAAAGCCCTAGAGAGGCAACCCAAAGAAACCTTAAATAAATCCTGATAAGAAATATTGATAAGAAACCCTACACGAAACCCTATATGAACCCTAAAGAAACCATAGACTAACCCAAAAAAAACCATAAATGAAACCCTAAAGAAACTTTAAATGACACCCTAAATGACATCCCAAAGGAGCCCTAAACGACAGTGAAAAAAAAAACATGAAACCTTAACTGAAGCCCTAATGGAGACCCTAAATTGACACCCTAAAGAAACCCTAAATGAAACCTTCAATGAAACCCTAACTGAAACCCTGACTTGAAACCCTTAAAGAAAAACATAAACGAAATGAAACCCTAAAGAAGCCTTAATCGAAACCCTAAAGAAACTTTAAATGAAACTGTAAAGAAACCCTAAATGAAACCCTAAAGAAATTTCTAAATGAAACTCTGGAGCCTCACTGAAACCCTAAACAAACCCTAAATGAAACCCCGCATGAAACCTTAACTGAAACCATCAAGAAAAACCTTAAATGAAACCTGAAACGAAACCCTCAAGAAGGTTTACCTGGAGGAATTCTATAAAATGATTTGACCCTTTTGCTGTTTGAATGCTTGTGAGGAGATAGGCGAACTTCTGGCAGTGCTCTTGCCACATGTTCGTCGTTCTATTGAAGTGGCTCAGATTGAAGCTACCAACATCGTTGAGATGCTGGAAGCGGAAGTCGGTTCAACGCAGGCTCCCAGTGTAGATCGTGTGCTACTTCGGACCTTGCGGCAGATGCCTCTATCAGCACTTCTTGGCTTGATCATGGCGAGAGATGGCTTTCGAGCCTTGCTTGAACAAGAAGTCGAAGTGCTGCGCTGCCGTCTGGGCTGAAAATCCTTCTGGCTGAGCCGGAGCAAATAGCAAGATGTGTAAGTTCCTTTAGCGACTAGAGGGCAATTTCGGGCTGGAGGGCATTGATTGCCTGTACCATGCCTGCATCCGATACTGTCGTGCGTGTTTAAAGCTGCCACAACTGTAGCGAGCTTCTTTCCCTTGCCCAACGGCACGGGATTCATGAGGATTGCAAAGTGCCTTGAAGTTCAAGAATGTTCAGTACTCAGAGCTTAAGTATACATAATTATATTATGTATATATTATGTTAGCTGGTTGGTGCTGATCGGTTTTAGCTGACTTGGGAAAATCCAGCCACTTTCAGAATCGTAAAAGTAGGGTGATCTCAGTTGCTTGTCTCTTGGGAGGGAAGCCGGTTGAAATTGCTGAAGCTCCCAGGTTGATTTATGGTGCTGGAATCATGATAGCAATGACAATCTTCTCAGCTGCTTCAGACTGGTTGCAACAGCATCAAGGTGTTGCAACCGTTGTCATTGATTGGGGTATGTTGAGATATGTTGAGTATGTATTCTCACCGATTCTCATGCGATTTCTTTGAGATCATTTCTTTGATATCGCTGGTTGTCTAGTAATACTTCGGCTCCAATTCCTGATCTTCAACGCATGGCTGTTGTGCTTTGGCAGGCTTTTTGGTGGGACAGAGCTTGGATTTTCGAGCAATACTCGATCTCCATGCCAGCAGAACTTGGTAGTGGCAGGATGCATGCAACTTCCGGTCTTCACGAGTCTCAAGTGGCAGAACGTATGATCGCCCCCATGGCAAGTTTTGATTGGATCCATCGCATCCTGTTCCTAGTTCTTGGGATGCGGCCTGCAGCAGAATCATGCTGTATTGGTTTCATCGTATCTCGAAGGTTCTGTCGTTCTGCGAACGGATCTGTCTGAAGGCGCAGGAAAGAATGTTTTTTTTTGATTCTTTTGGATAGCAAGCCTGCATAAAGCATGATTGAAGAGCAAATTACTGCAGAGAGACTGGCAAGACTCAGACATCATCAGACATCAGCACTGGCACTGTAATGAGTTTTAAATCCATGTGAATGTACATTTGGGCTCTAGGTGCGCAGTGGTTGTAAGTTGTACGGTGTTTGGTTGTGCCCTTCCACTCGACACCTGGTCATGGCAACCCTCCGGTACCTCAACACCTTCATTGATGAGGAACCAACTGGGCGCGTCTTTGAATCCCGTTCCAAGAGCTGGCCTCAACTTGGTGGCTTGGGAAATGCGATGGAGGAGATAGAGGGGAATGTGGAGACACAAGCTGCTAGAAATCCACGTGAATGTAAATTTGGGCTCTAGATGCGCAGTGGTTGTATAGTGTTTGGTGGTACCGGTACCGTCCACTCGACACACCTTGTCATGGCAACCTTCCGGTACCTCAACACCTTCATTGATGAGGAACCAACTGGGCGCGTCTTTGAATCCCGTTCCAAGAGCTGGCCTCAACTTGGTGGCTTGGGGCATGCGACGGAGGAGATAGAGGAGAATATGGAGATGCAAGCTGCTAGCTATGTTGCTGAGTTGGAGGGCAAATGGAGCGTCACCTTTGGTGAACGGCCACGGATGTCCGCAGAACCAGAGACGCAGATGGCTCTGATGACTACACATCTGCCGACTCGGTCAGCACAAGAAGCAGCACCAGAAGTACCGCCCGCAGTGCGGAATGCTGCGGTTGAAGAGGTTTCTCAGGCCCCAGCCAGCGAAGGCAGCCGTAGCCAGTAGTGTGCTGCCGCCCTTGCATCCGCTTGGCGAAGGGAACCTGCGAAATGGGAGATGCCTGTGACTACTGCCACTACGAGCATCCCCGCTATGTAACTCCAGACAAATGCCAGCGGTTTTTGTTGAACCTCATGTGCCCGTGGTCTTTGCTTGCTTGCACAGCTCTAAATGAGTCCAAAGTGATTAAGTATATTAACTACTATTCAGATTTGCTGGGATGCTGTTGGCAGTCTTGATACATCTTTTCACCTCTGCTATCTTGATTTTGCGGAGAGGGGCGAACTTCTGGCAGTGCTCTTGCCACATGTTCGTCGTTCTATTGAAGTGGCTCAGATTGAAGCTACCAACATCATTGAGATGCTGGAAGCGGAAGTCAGTTCAAGGCAGGCTCCCAGTGTAGATCGTGTGCTACTTCGGACCTTGCGGCAGATGCCTCTATCAGCACTTCTTGGCTTGATCATGGCGAGATGGCTTTCGGAGCCTTGCTTGAACAAGAAGTCGAAGTGCTGCGCCGCCGTCTGGGCTGAACATGTTCTTCTGAGCCATGAATTTGGCACATGATGAGCGAAGAAGGCTCACATGTTTGAAGCTTGCGACGACCTGGATGTTGCTTCCAGGCCTTGAAGGTCCCAGGAGGGTTCCACATTGCTTCCAAGATGTCCCTGCAAAATGCGTCCTTGTTTGAAAAGCACAAAGTTACACGAATACGATGCCTTTAGCCATGAGTCAATTGAATTTTAAATTGACTGATTGATTGGGGGTTTCAAATGGTTTCCCGTGGCCAATACACATTCGCAAACAGACACACACACATATATATATATATATAATATTTTTCCCCTGTATGATAATCCCGTGACTTTCATGCTCCTGGGATGTCTCAACCACCTCTTAAGATACACGCCACACTTCCATCAACAAACCTGCTCCTGGTTGACCTTCAGAGTGTCCATAGCATATGGTGGTCACCCATCCAACTGGGTTTGGGCCAAATCATGGGGAAGCGTGGGGAACCATTCCAAAAGTCTGATCGGAGGGAACGGTGAGCTGAGAGATGGCTGTGTTCATAAACAAAGAAAGGGACCCTGTTGGAGCTACAATTAAATTTTCCCAGCCACAGGCCAGCGTCTGAAACCATCCAGTTTCAGGATACAATTTTGACCCATGCCCAGTTGACTGGTGCTCTCGGTTGGCGTAGGTTGGAATCCTAACAACCCACCACCGAGGAGCATCTCATTTTTGCGTAGCTGAACCGCTGCTTCGTATTTGCTGAAGAAGTTTTTGTTAAGAGAAGTGGATGCTACACTTTGGTGTTCCAACAGTTTGCTGTGGAAAACTCCCTGTGAAAGTAGATGATGCATTATTTTGGCTATAGCCGGTGGTTTTCCATAGCAAACTGTTTGATTACCAGGGGGTATATAACACCGGGATCACCATCACAAAGAGCGCAATGGATTTCCATAAATTTACCACTTCACGTCAAGTCATGCAGTTGGTTGGTCCCATGCTTCCTGCAAGTATGGCTGCGTTCAAACAGTTCCCTTCAGAAAAGATGCGCTAAGCATCCTTGCCTGCCGGCAAGTCTTGTTGAGAAGCATTGTGAAGTTTGTGGGAACCTGGGTCTGAGTCAAAAACGATTGGAATTCCAAAATGGATGGCTTACAAAGGCTTCAGGCGTTTAAGAAGTTCAAGATAAAAAGAAACATATTTAAACATGACAATGCCTTTTGCAGATTCAACCCCAGTAAACAACCATTAATTGCGGAACCAGTTGTGACTCCAAGCTGGCAATGGACCCTGTTTCTGTTTAGCCCCACTTGCCTTGCCACCCCGAGGTTGGTGTGGCGGACTTCCACAAACCGTATCTGAACCCCAACCAGCGATGTCAATACTGGAGAGAGGCGCTGCGTGGAAATTTACAGCGACGAACTGTTGTGTCCTGATTGGTTTAGGCAGCTTGCACAGATGTATTTTTCGGGGGACAATAATATGAAGCCGCTTCTGACAGATGAAATGTCCGAACTATTTGAGGGATTTTGGCCTATCCTGAACCTATACCGATACCCATTGTTGTATTACCCCTTATACTGTCAAGCAACACGTTTGATCCCCAAGGTGGTCAGTTGCATGTGGGGGTAGGTCAAACCTAAGTGTTGTTTGACAACAAACATGACCAATATCCTCAAATCCCAGGTTCCTTAAAAAATGCTGACCCATTCTCATATCCTAAGTATGATTGGTGATAGCCATTCTCATTGATTTGCTGCGTAACCATGCGTAACCCTCTTTGTTTGTTGGTTGAGACCCCTGTTGGTGTTTGTTTTTAGCTGCAGATTTGTCTGTGCTGGCTTCAATTCCTATTTTGCTCAATTACATCTATTTTGTGGCTGGTTGGATCCCGATTTTCTTGGATTTGAACCCATACAATTTACTCGTGAAAGCCTATAGTTTCTTCGGCCGATTCCGTTTGAATCCCAATTTCTTTTGCGCTTTAACTGTTACAGCGTCCCCTTCTTCAGTGGTCAAAGCCTTTGTTCCTGATCTTGGGAAGGTCATCGGACGAGACGCCTGGGTTCGGCAGCCTGGGATCTTTGATGATAGAAATGCTGGGGGAAATATGGGGTGTATCCAACAAGAACTTACAAGAATATAGAGTGTATTTTCAAACTTTTTTAAACCATTGGGTACTCAACATCTCAACTTCAAGAAACCATTTTTGCAAATCCCAACGACATCACTGGCCGATTTTACCTTTTTAGATAGTTCCATTGTAAGGGGAATCATCCCGAACATGGTTTCACACCATTTCAAAGCTTTCCAGTTGAATGACAACACGCCCAACATGGTGAGTTCCACAGAATCCAGTGGTTTTGACTGGATACAGCTTCGAGCATAGATGATGGTTTATGACGGTTTATGAGGATATTCCCCACGATGCGTAGCTTTATCTCAGACTAGCGAATTATTCTAATTCAGCCCCAAAAACATGAACCACACCACAATAAAACCATATGAAGTGCTGAATGGGAGTGTATCGTCATGTCGCCAGATGAAACCCTTCACAAGAAACACAATGGTTTTTGCCATGGTTTTTGGTGTTTGCCCCACCAATTGATGGGGAATTTCCCTGGTTTTCCCTGGCTTCCCATTGCGCGAGGAGCATGCTTTTCATCCTCTCAGGCGACCCTTGCCACGACCGAGCTACCAGGTGGACGATTCCCATGGGTCCCATGGGTCCCATTTTAACGTTAAGGTATGTTAAGGTTGGTACATCTTCCATGGACCATATGCAGATGGGATTTACATCATGTTGCATGCAACCAACAGCTTGATCCTGAGAATCGGGTCCCATTTTGGCTTGGAAAATGTTCGAACTTCCGTAATATCGTAATTCCCAACACGTAGCAGGGTCTATGTTTGTTGGGAAGATGGTAATCACAATAAGTTCTAGGCAATATTCTTAAGCAGAGGCAACTGTAGGTGTT